CACTTTTTAAAGCTGTGAGTCCTTTGGAATTCAGCACATAGGTGAAATGCTCGTTCCAATTTAAAGGAGCTTGTTTTAGGCCATATAAAGATTTCTGTAGTAGACACACATTGTTTTTATTGTTTTCATTCTTGTAACCGTCTGGGATTTCCATGAATATTTGTTCATCCAATTTTCCATAGAGGAAAGCGGTCTTAATATCAAATTTCTTGAAATGAAATCTCTTTGAAGCAGTTAATGCAAATAGTACTCTTAAAGGACACATACTTATTACTGGGCTAAAAGTTTCTTTGTAGTCAATTCCAAATTCTTGCTCAAATCCTCTGATAACTAGTCTGGCCTTAAATTTCCCATTTTCTTTCATACGAAATACCCATTTGCTACTCAATATTTTCTGTCCTTCAGCTTTCTCTTTGTCTACGTAAATCCATGTATTATTTTTGTTCAGTGATTCCTTTTCATCATTTATTGCTGATATCCAGTTGTTCTTTTCTGCACTATTTATAGCTTCTTCATATGTGAGCATTACATATTCATCAAATATTTTGGGTCTTCTAACTATTCTTCCACTTCTTGTTTGAATTTCCTCAGGTTCTTCGTCGGGATTTTCTTCTATCTGGCCTTCTCCTGATCTGTTATTCTCGTCTTCATCTGGTTCTTCATCTGGCTCATTCACTAGCTCATTCATATCATCCTCTTCTTCCGCACTTTCAATCTCAGTTTTCATATTTACATTATGTTCCATTTTTTCTGGTGTTCCAAAAACTACATCTCTTCGAACTATTATTTTTCTATTTACAGAGTCCCAAAGTCGGTATCCACAAGGAGCATAGCCTACAAAAGTGTATTTTTGACTTCGAGGGTCAAACTTTTTTAAATGTCCAAGTACTTTTGTATAGGCATTGGATCCAAATACTTGTACTTTTGTAAGGTCAGGTCTTCTGTCAGTCCAATTTTCTATTGGAGTTTTAACCGTTGTTTCAGTAGGGCTTCTGTTGAGTAGATAACCAGCAACAAACACTGCCTCACCCCACATTTCTTTATCAAGATTGCTATCAAAAATCATAGCTCTGGCCTTTTCTAATAATGTACGATTTAATCGCTCAGCTTTGCCATTTAACTGGGGTGAATATGGTACTGTATTGTCCAGAATAATGCCTTTGTTTTTACACCATATTTTAAAGTTTGTGCTTGAATATTCACCTCCATTGTCACTTCGAATTTTAGAAGTTTTCAAGTTTTTATAAGCTTCGGCTTCATTTATGAACTCTTTTATGTATTGTGCGGTCTCAGATTTATGTGATAAGAGATATATCCGACAATAATGAGTGAAATCATCCAGAACTGTCAAAATGTATTCCTTACCATCCCATGTTGGTACTTCTATGGGTCCACAAAGGTCGGTGTGTAAAATTTCCAGGGGTCTTGTAGCACGAGTTCTTACACTACTGAAGGGCAATCTGGTTTGTTTGGCTTTTAAGCAGATTTCACAAACAAATTTTTCGGAATTATTATATTTCAGGTTCATTCCATCTGACATGTCCAGCAGTTTTTTAAGATTTGATTTTCCTAGATGTCCCATTTTTTGATGCCATAGTCTTATATTGTTTTTGTTTTCAGTAAAATAACTAATTTCTTTTGCTTCATTTTTAAATTTAATTGTGTATAATCCATTTTCTTCCCTTTTTCCTTCTAGTATTTTTTTATTTTCCTTCAGAACTATTACATTTTCTTTTGAAAAAATTACTTGACCATTGTTTTCTGTAATTTTATTTACTGACAATAAATTTTTATTCAAATCTGGTACAAAAAGTACCTCTTTTAAGACACACTCAGTTCCCTCTATGTGGCCTTTCCCTTCTGATTGCATTGTTTGGTTTTTCTTTGCTACTGAAATATTGGACACTTCTTCTGTGAAAGATGAAAATAGATCTTTTTCATTTGTCATGTGGGATGATGCACCTGAATCCATCACGAAAGATACTGTGCCAGTTGACGGAGCAGGATTTGCACAAAGAAAAGCAACTTTGTCTTCTGAATTTCTTCGAAGGTTTGGGTTCTTATTTCGAAAGAAACAATTTTGCTCCAGATGATTATTCTTTTTACATATTCTACACTGTTTAGGTTTCTTATTACAAGTACGAGCAAAATGTCCTTTTTCACCACATTTAAAACAGTTATTGTCACTTCTATTGAAGTTTTTAGAATGGTGGGGGCCACTTTTTTGGAAAGGTAGGGTCTTAAATGCTACATCATTGCTCGCTTCTGTTTGTTTGTTTAGCCTGGACTCTTCTGCCAGTAATCTGTTAGTTAGATTTGTCAATGTTTTTTCAGGGGTTGATGTTGACTCCCATGCAGTTATAAAATGTTTATACGATTCCGGAAGGGTAGAAAGGATTTTTGAAATTAACATACTTTCTGTTATGTCCTGATTCAATACTTTGAGCCTATGTGCCAGATTTTCCAAGCTACTTATGTGTATATTCATATCATTGTCTTTTTGATAAGCATAATTAAAAAATTTTTGCAACAAACTACATTTTTCATCTTCAGAAATTTTCTCATAAATACCTTTCAATTTCTCGAACATTTCATGAGCATTTTCACAGTGCATTATATGCATAAGGATTTTTTTATCAATTGATGTGATTATTATTTTCTGTGCTCTTGCATCTTTTCTCAAAAAATCAGTTTTTTCAGTTTCACTTGCCTGATCAGAGAGAATTCTTGTTCCATTCACTATTTCCCATAAGCCACTTGATTTGAAGAAAACTATTATTTGGAATTTCCATATCTGGTAGGTTTCACTATTTGTTAGTTTGTCAATTTGAATTGCTTCATCAGAAGACGCCATTTTAAAGTCTTTTTATGTCTTTTACACTTTTTTCACTTCACCACGAACAAGACTAATTTCAACTTTTTTTACTTTATTGGTTTTACTGGTTTTATTTTATTTTTCACTTGTGTGCTTTGTGTTGTAGGGATCTGTGGGACCTGGGCTCATAACCTGTTGTAATTTTATCTTATTTTATATTAAATAAACGCAGAATTTTGATTAATTTATTTCCACAATCAGAAGGGCGAACTTGGTTTTAATATATAAAATAGAGCATGAACAGTTACCAAAATAGCTTATGGCCATTTCCACCAACTATTTTAGGGAAGCCCTAACGATAGGTATGCCCTAAACTGACATTTCTCCATGTAAAAATGTCATTTTAGGGAATACTTATCGTCAGGGTTTCCCTAAAATAGTTGGTGGAAACGGCCATTAGTGATTTTCTAAAAAAAAGATCAAACTTTCATGAATATAATATTCGTTCAAGGCAGGACTATAACATATTGTCGGTTAGAACGGCAACTTTACAAAAATCATTATTTTATGAAGGTGTTCGCATGTTCAATGCTCTTCCCGAAGCAATAAAGAATGCACCAAGTTTGAGAGTTTTCAATGCAGAAATTGATACATTCCTGAGGGGCACATAGTAACTAAGTGAGTAGTAATATTTATTTTTGTAACTAACAATACCTTTTGTAAATACTTGTATTGCAATAACTAGCCAAGTGCTAAATAAAGATCTATTTATTTAATTTATTATTTATTTAGTCCCTTTGTTCTTTTTTTTTTATTATCTCAAAAACTAAAGGAGCACCTAATTTTTAATTAGTAGCCCTAATTAGCACCTAAAAAGTACCTAATTATTATTATTATTATATAGACTCCGAAATTTTTTTCTATTCTGACACATCACCAAGTAAAAGTGAATTCAACAATTTCCTAATAATGAAAAAAATCTGTAATTCAGTTAATAATTAACTGATCCAAGTTTTTCTTCGACTATTTAGGAGCATTTAAATAGGACCTAATTCTAATACAAAAAAAAAATATATTTTTTACTATAGGGGACTGCTAGCTTTCATAGATCTAGCAGTCCCTTAGTTTTTTTTGATTTTCTCAAAAACTAGAGGAGCACCTAATTTTTAATTAGAGGACCTAATTAGCACCTAAAAAGCACCTTATTATTATATAGATCCCGAAGTTTTTTTCCACCTTGGGACTGCTAGGTTTGTAGACCTATCAGACTGTTATCCTAACTTCTCTAGTTCAATTTTAGCTCTACGAGTCCCCAGAATAGAATTTTTGAATAGAAAGTTCAGCTTTAGGAAAGCTAGAATTCTGATTTCCAATCGTTTTCTGTCTCTTAATTGGTCAATTTCATTGGTTTTGTACGAATGCCAAGAATAAGATTTTCATGCCTTCTACTTAGTAAATAATAATTTCAGCTTCAACTGTAGATTGATCAGAAGTTTAAATCTTAATTCTGCTACTTGAATATTTTTGTAATAGAATTCAATTTTATAAGGTTTGAACATCTTCCACAAGTTAAAAATCTACAACGTCAAAAATACCTTTATCTACGACCTGCACAAAAGTGACTATTATGTCACTAATTTTTGCTCATTTGCGTTATGTAATGAGTCCTATGACCGCACTAGTGCGATAATCGGTAGGAGGTCATCATTTTTTTATAACTACACAATCGAGTAGGTACCTACACAATAGTTATTTATAATTTTTTTGCTTTAGTTAGTGACCTCAGTAGATATTCCGATTGTTTTTTTTTTTTTTTAAGTTGGATTTAGGTCAAAAATAAACGGCGTTGAAGAAGATAGGCAAATACACGTTTTCTTCTTCATCGCCGTTTATTTTTGACCTAAATCCAACCTTTCTCAAAAAATCCAATCGGGTTATTTATATTAGACAAACGACAATAGTCACTTATTATTGTGTAGGTCGTAGATGAAATGTTGTATATCACACGAACGGTTATTAGGCTCATTACAATACTCTTGTGGTTACCACGACTCGGTCTACGACCTCGTCGTGGCAATATTCCCCATTCGTTACTGTAATGAAGCTCATACCGTACTAGTAATATAAATAACTATTACGCATTTCAAAGTAAAGTAACAAGATATTTTGATGGAAAGATTCTTACAATTATTTCCAGCAGTACTAGCCAGCATTTTAGGCTGCAACAATTCAGGCTGATAACCGAAAAACGACCCAATATAGCCCAACAACGAAGAAGCTTGCGGCTTGGCCAAATTCACCTCCAAATGGCGCCGTCCCGGTTTTATAGGCAAATGCACCCTACCGTATCCTTCCAAGGTGGTTTCTTTGTAGATACTTAAAACCATTTGAGGCCCTATAAAGTTACTTATAGCGGAAACTCTACAATATTTAACAACTTACATCCAAAAAGATTAGTACTTTTGAACTGCGCATCGACAGGAAAATTAAAAACCACTTTGTCGTTGTTGCTGATTACGTTGGCGATTTGGGAAATCCCCGTTTCTAAACCTCCGATTATTTTCCAATCGGGGCCGGTGAAAAATTCGTATTTGCAATGGTAGCAAGAGCCCGCTGTGGACATTAATTCTACGAATTCGATTTGGCCGGATATCGAGAGCAAAAATGTACCGTCAGACATTCTGTAATAATAGTTTGTATTTGTTTGTATTGAAGCTATATAATGAGGGAATTACGTATCTATTATTAGCTAAAATAAAATGCAAAGTTTATTTAAAGGAATATATTGGGGTGATTATTGAGAGATAAATTTGTGTATAAGTAGTTTTATTTATAATTATTTCAATCCATGCCTCCTGTCTCAATCCAGATTCTCATTTTAAACAGTTTAATGAAGACAATGAAGTACCTACGCCAATGTTTTGCTGTCCTTAATTGATCAGCTGATTCTTCTGACGCTGATTCAGTAGCGTAGTAGAAAAATACTACACTTTCATGGGGAATTTTTCCTAAAATTCTCCTGTTAACTAATGGGAGCTTTTGAAGCTGTTGTTAACAATGACAATCGATTTGATTTCAATGAGTCAAATTAAGTTTACCTACTCAAGAAAGTTTTGAAAAGCTAAAATAATGTCGGAAAAGTCCCTGCTGTTAATTAACATTTGCTATTGAAGTTTACTATCAGAAAGATTAAAATGAAGGCTTATTAAATAAAGTCAAAAAAGTTTCTGTTAACTAACAGGAGCTTTTGAAGCTGTTATGATCAATAATGAGAATGAAAATCGATTTCATTATATCAAGTTTAGGTTTAATTAACAGGAAGATTTAACTGAAGGCTAAAATATTGTCACCAAAGTCCCTATAACTAACAGGAGCTTTCGAAGCTTAGAATTATTTAAATTTACATGCATCTTATAAATGTTCACAATTCATCCTTGGGAGCCAGGATTATAGGATTTTCGATCTTTTGTTATTCAATTTCAACTCTAAACTGATAAAAATTTAAAGTTTGATACTTCTTTAGTTCAAATTTGGCTTTATGCAGGAGCAAGGAATAAAATGTTGATGCTTTTCCAGTTGAAGTAACTTCAACTTTAACTATAAATTGGTTATAATCTCACATTTCAACTCTAACAGCAAAGAGATTTTTCACATTTCTCTATCTAGTAACTAGAATTGAAGCTGTACAGAGGTCTGTTATTCTCATAGAAATCACAAACCAAACAAGTCAGAGTAAATTTCATTGGTAGAAAATAGTCACAAAACGCGATTTGCACCAATCTCTGATTGGTTTGTGATTTCTGTGAGAGTCAGAACAGACCTTTTCTAAACTTTTTACACTACTCCAATTACAAATTAATTCTAGAGTAGGTACTTAGTTGGAAATTAGACTTTTATAACTTCATTAGTTCAATTTCTGCTTTAGGAGACTTGAGAATAGAATAGAATTTTCATTTTTTCAGCTCTAGAATGGTAAACAATTAGTGTTTTATACTATTCCTTTGTTCCTTTAATTCAAATTTCTGTTTACAAGAGCAGGGAATAAAATTCGTATTCCTTTTCCAGTTAAATTAGCTTCAGCTTTAAAACTCTAGATTGGTCAGAAGTTCACATTTCAAATTTTAGGATCGTTACAAATAAAATTTTGACACTTTTTGAATAAAATTTCGGTTGCGCATGAGCATGAAAAATCATACTTTTATGCTTTTTAAGCTTATAATATCGACTTTAGGAGACTTGACAATAGAATTTTCATGCTTTTCACTGTTAGATTTCAGCTTTAGAATGCTAAAATAATCAGAGTTTTATACTTTCTCATTGGTTCAAATTTGGATCTTGTGAAGTTTTAAGGAAGCGGTAAGCTTGGGATTTCCAATATTTTCTTGTTAAATTCTATACTTTATTTTTTTGAAAGCTGGTATAATGAAACTGTCACCTCATCGTTTATTGCAGGTGGTTCATTCACTCTTCAAAGGATTTAGGGGATTAAAATTGGTTGAGTATGATTGATTATACCAGCTTTCAAAAAAATAGAGTATATATAGCTATAATTCTGAAGTTTTTAAAATTGTTCTGAAGCCTTTCAAAATGCTACTGCTGGAACGTAATGTTTTAAATGAATTACATATTGAAGTTCTAAAGTGTTCTAACTTGGCTTGATGGAGAGTTCTGGAGCATTCTAGAAATTTTTCAGTAATTTCTAAATTGTGTGACAGATTTTGAAGTAGGTATTTAAGAGGCTTTTTTGAACCTCCAAAGTATTTTAAATTGGTTCAAAAGAATTCTAAAAATTTTCCAGTTCTAAAATTGAATCCTAATTATTGTTCTAAAATAACTCTGAATTAAGTCGCTCTTAAAAGCTTTACCAAAGGTGTTTTGTCACTTTTAACCTGAATTCTAAGATTCTGGGCGCTTTTAGAAATGTCTCTGGAGGTTCTAGAGAGTTTGAGTGTTTTGAAGCGTCCTAAATTCATTTTTAAATGTTTTGGAACATCGTATAAAATGGTTCTGAAGCTTCCAAATTGTTCTGAAGCGTTGCAGAATTTCTTTGGAAATTGGAATTGAATTTTTAATTGTTTTAAACTTTCCTTAAGGCTTATTAAAGTTCTAAATTGTTCTGTAGCATTCTAAATGGTTTCTAGTAACTTTTAAATTGGATGAGAAACGAATTATGTCGGAAATTTTTGTAGACATCTTAAAGACGTCCCTAAGATGTCCACACACAAACGATATTCATTTCAAGACCTTTTGCTTACGTCTTAAAGCATCTAAAATACATCTTAAGCACGTCGCATTATGTTACAAATGAAACCCAACCTCTTAGACGTCTGCTTAAAAATGCTTTTAGGACTAGGACATTCTAAATACGTTTTCAACGGGATGTCTCAAAGACGTGTTTGAATATATTTTTAATACATAAACCGCAAACTGTATCAAAACGCCCTAAGTACTCTTTGTAATTAGTTAGATGGTAAATGGCGAGCGGTATATTGATGGTGCTTATTTACTTAGAGCTGCTACCTAAAATCTGTGGAAGGGTCTATTTGCAAGAGAGAGAAACAAACTATTGAGGTGTACTAAATTATATTTTATTATTCATGAAACCCAAAAATCTAAATCAGCAAAATATCTTCCAATTCTGACAGCCTCATCTATTTTTCTAAATTCAATTACTTTACATCCGTTCAAAATGTCATTATTACGGACTACTGAAATATCCCTACTAATAAAGAAACGCCCTATTCCTACTATTCCTAATAACTTATAAGTTAACTCATCTCAATACTTCCGATTCATTCCTATTAACTACCCTTCTCCTATTTTTATAAATTCTTTAAAATTTCTAAGTCCTTTACTGACTGCTTATGAAAAACCCAAAATAATTACCTATTTGTTTATAAATATAGGTATTACTAACTTATTCTTATAAGACCATACAATAATTTCTACTTAAAAAATAAAAACCTCAATTAAAAATTCATTTCATGAACAATAAGTTCCTTTAACAACTTTCCAATATTTTAAAACAATTCTATTTCATGAACATCAAGTTTCTTTTCAAAATTTTTTATTCCATTTAATAGTTTATTTAATCAGAACAATTCTATTCTCGGATTCCTAGCCTAGCTAATAAATCCAACTGTTTAATTCATAATTCCAACTCAAAATTGTATATATTGTTGAATGCATTATAAGTTCCCTTCATATTTTCTTTGCACAATTAAATTAGAATGTCATTATATGTGAAGGCAATTAAAGTTATGCAATAATGTCCATTTTCAAAACACTCGAGTTATTGATATTTATGCAATAAAGTTCCACAGTTAATTATAAGGTCAAAAGTTTTTCTAGTAAAAATCACTCAAGTTTTAAGGCATTAAAAGTCATTTGTTAGTTCACTTCTTATCATTCAGAATCATTGATAAAAGTCAGAAAATTATTAAACACTATAAAGTACTTACATATAACTTTGCACACGTAATATTACTTAATTAATTACTCAAAAATTTTAGCTAGCACGCACATAAATGTTGACGACTTTAATTGTTCTTTCTGTCAAAATTTTTCCGCTACTTTTTCAAAGACTGTTACCGAGGCAATACAAGAAACTTTCCTTGACTGACACTTAAGGTACTGTAGATTTTAACTCAAACTGGACAGGACTACGAATTCATCTCTCAACTGACAACTGCCTTCCACTTCTAAAACCGCGGTATTTATATTAAATCGATCCCCCCGCAAAGTATTATTAATTATCCCCCAAAATCGTCAATAGGCGGTCGTTTGACGATCAATAAGACAATCCCATTGGCCGACCTAAATATTATTGAAAATAATGATGCAATTTCCTTGAAATTTTTATCATTTTAAGTTTAAAAAATCGAATAATTAATTTCTGGTTCATTACAAAACCAACGTATTCTAGACATCTTTTTTTTGGTCTTCAGACGTTCAGACGTAATGCAGACCTAAAAAAGACGTCTTTAAAATTTTGTGTGCTGTCTGGGTACTTCATAAAGTGCTACGTTTATTCGATGCGTCTTTACGGTATGGAAGGTTTGACACTCAAATTGGAGTCATATGAGATGTGGTTGTATCGCTAGATCCTTCCCAGATAGCACAATTCATACTAGCAATGTTTTGGAGATATCCAGGTTGGATATTCAGTAAGTCCCGAGTAGGTCTTTTAAAAATCCGTAAACTTCCCTGGGACATACCTAGGATATAGGTATTTTGTTACAATAAACCTCTCATTCATACTGTTGGAAACAAGTCCCATCATCGACGTTACTCGAGGAAATCCTGAGACTGTGTGAACAAAACTGTTACGAAAGTTCAAAGAGGATTCCTAGAGATGTAAGAATATAGAATTATATAGGACCATAAAGACCTCTATTTAAGGAGGTTCAAAAAGAACATACTTTCATATGGGACATTTAAAGTAATTCTTAGGGACGTCCAAGAAGAACTCCTAGGGATATTCATGTAAGGGTTCCCAAGGACGTTTGAATGGACATGGGACTGGATTTGAAATGGATAAAGTCCTCAAAATGTCCAAAACGTTCCAAGAATCTCGGTAATGAGCTGAATGTTAAAACTTATCCAATAATTGGACTTGCATAAAACCCGGTTGACACGGTCTTGGATGAGAACTTGGACAAAAATAAGTTGGCAGCCAGTTTAATGTTAAAACTGATATCCAACAATTTGGATAAGCAGTTAATTGATACGATCCAAGTACCTAATCATCAAAGTATCGCCAATGCTCCAAGTAGACTTGGACCATGTTAAGCAAGTCCAAAATGGTCAGCATTGAAACTTTTAAACTTCTCTAAAGTATAATTATTGCGGATTTATCAGACTTCTGCCTTTATCCTTTATCCATTAATAAAATTGAAAGGTTAATCAAGTACGCCTATGTTTTGCCATCCACAATGCATCAGCTGATTCTGACGCTCCTTCAGTAGCGTAGAATGCCATTCAAATCAAAATTTCAAAACTTCCAGCCTAGAATTTAATCCAAAAAACAACTAGATAGATAAAAATAATGCACATTTAAAGTCCGGGGGCGCCTTATCACAAAGCCAAACAACAAATAAATCAGTTATTTTCGTTTCGATACTCAGTTGTTATAAAAAGTAGAAGGCGCAAGTGCGTCTCGACCAACAATCAAGTCCAACTCGAAACGAGGCTCCTAAATATTAAGTTTTTAATTAATTAATAAGTGAATAATTTAATTTCCACGCCATGGCGTACTGTATGCGAGTTTTGCATCGCCATGTAAGTATTTACTTGGAATTATTACATAAAAATAAAAATACACATGCACCTTGTGGTCTATAGTCTATACTCATTACATAACATTTTTTTTTTTTTTGTACTTTTTGTAGTTTTTAAGTTATTTCAATTCTAGGGAGGAAAAGCAAGTGCAGTCCTTCAAGAAGTTCAAATAAGATGTTTCCATGTCTCTCCTCTGGCTTCGGCAGCTTCGAAAACTGCCATGTCGAAATTCGACCCGGAACCCATCCCTTACGAAAAACTAGTGAAAAACTTAGAAGTAGTCAAAAAAAGACTGAACAGGCCCTTGACCTTATCTGAAAAAGTCTTGTATTCACATTTAGACCAGCCAGATACTCAGGTAAAACATCTTTGTAACATTTGACCCTTTCTTATCTATTGCCAATTTGCAATGTATAGACTTTAACCCATCAACAAAACAAACATGAACTTTGCTTTTGCCTTCATACTAATACAAAGATAATTAATTTTTTTAAAGGAAATCGAACGTGGAAAATCATATTTGAGACTACGTCCTGACAGGGTGGCGATGCAAGATGCCACAGCCCAAATGGCCATGCTTCAATTTATTTCTTCGGGGCTTAAAAGGGTGGCAGTTCCCAGTACAATTCACTGCGATCACTTGATTGAAGCCCAAATTGGTGGGGTGAAAGATTTGGCACGTGCCAAGGATTTGAATAAGGAGGTCTATGATTTTCTTAGTACGGCTGGTAACAAGTATGGGGTCGGTTTCTGGAAACCAGGATCAGGTAATTTTGAGCTCAGAGGAGATTCAAAGCTTTTATTTTGTGTAAATTATCAAGCAATTGATCAAATTTACAAGTTTTTTAGAAAAGTACATTATTTTTGGAAACTGAAACATCATAACAACCTTGCATAAATTGAGCACTTTCTAGAAAACTATGCAAGGTACAAATATGAGATTTTGTTGTACTATTCTTAAGACATTGAAGCAGGACATACCAAAAATTCAAAGCAATCAAAAAATAACAAAGTTACAAGATTTCTAAAATTGAATATTTTTATATGACATGCATCATGCCTCCACATATCAATTATTTAGTCAAAAACTACTAAAGGCGCAAATATGAGATTTTGAGGGATTATTCCACTCATGTGTTAGAAATCCCATAAGGCAAGTGACGATTTTAAGAATTACAGCGAAAATTCTCTTTTCTATTTGTTTAACTAGAGAGAATTACAGCGATAATTCTCCCATGTTATTGTATACATGGTTGTCATCGTAATTTTTGATACAAACAAACGGTTCCTGATAGCAACCATTTATTTGTATCGATTGTTAAGATATTCAAATCGTTTAATACATATTTATTTCCATATTTTTTGCATTCTCATACGTGAAATAATCCTGTAAATACCACTTGAGCTTTTAAATGAACCAGATAATTTTTCACTCATGCGTGTTTTCTCTTCAAATTTCACTCGTCCTACGGACTCGTGAAATTATAGAAAACACAAAATCATGAAAAATTATCGGTAATTTTGAAGCTCTCGTGGTATTATCCCCGAATATTTTTGAGTCTTCAAGGCAAAATATACTGAAAATTCAAATCAATTGAATAGAAGACGACAAAGTTACAAGTTTTCTAGAAAAATACATGATTTTTGAAAAGTTGATACAGCAAATTACCATCTACTTTTCTTGAAGCTACTACTTTATTGACTATGCTTCTAATAATGATTTTTGAAGCTCTTCTCTTTGAATCCTTGCTTATTCACTTCAAGCAGGATTAGTTGCTTTATCTGAAGCTTTTGATATTGATTATTGAGACTCGTTTTCACAAATTGCTGCTTTTGATTATGGTTTTAAAAGCTTTTGAAATTAATTCTCAAGGCTTTGTTTTTCAAATAGCTTCTTCAGGATTTTCATTATAGTTTTTGAAGGATTTCTTACAAGGGGCAAACCACTTAAGAATACGTTGAAACTGTGGTATTTGTGGGAAATTGGATCAATGTATGAGAAATTGGGGAGATTTATTGGTTTATAACACTGAGTAATAGAAATAGAAAAATACTAACAGTCATTTGCAGGGTATTTGCCAACAGTTTGGAGGAATTTGCAGGGAATTTCGAGAAATTTATGGGGAATTTCCAGGAATTTGTGGGGAATTTCGAGGAATTTAGAGGAACTTTTGGGTAGTTTGATGAATCGTTTGCACAAATTCAAGGTGGTGGTTTACCCCTTGGTAAGATGCTTTAATATCAAGCTTCTGGTATTAATTTGTCAGACTCTTTTCCTTGAACTCTTATTTTCTCAACTTTTAATGATGATTCTCGAAGCTTTTCTTTCCTATTCAAATCCTTAGATTTATGTCATACCTATCGTAATAATTCTAAAGTTTCTATAGAATCATTCCTTGAAGCTCTTCTTATTGAATTTCTACTTTAGAAGCTTATATCATAATAATTATTGAAGTTCTTTCTTTTTTCTGAAATTTCAGGCATTGATTTGTTACTCTTTTCCATCATGCATGTGATTCTCCCTTCTTGATATCCAAAATAATTTGGATTTTTTCATGAAAATCCTGAGAAATATTCAAAATATTCAAAGTTAATCAAGCAAACTTTGGTGAGTGGTTTCGCTTTTGGCAAAAATCCAATAGTAGAGTGCTCCTTTTAATATATTTTGACTTTTGTGGGTGTGTCGGAGTTACAAGCTGAGCGAGTCAAAATTAGTGGAAAATTTTCCAAATCTTGAGATGGTCCTGAATAATTGCCCATATCTTTGGTAAATTTCAAACAAAGTAAAATAAATTATATATCATTCGAAAGAGCCCTAAATTCTCTATAAATCTGTGCAAAATTGATCTTGATAGCTCAAAAAGTTTTTGAGCAATTGAGCCTCAAAGTTGACTTTTAGTCCAAATTTTGTCAAAAACTTCAAACTCAATTTGCTCAAAAACTAGAAATCTGAAAATATTGTAAATTACAGGCCATTAAGAACTTGGTAAAAGCAACAAATTCTGGAAATTTTAATGCAATTTGCACAACGGTTACTGAGCAATTGAAGTTTGAATATTTTTGAAATCAAAATTCAAAGAGGGTACCATTATGAAAAATTAATTTTTTTTATTTTCTAGTTTTGCTCAATTTTGACTTTATGAATCGATAAAGCGGGTCAAAATTAGTGGAAAACAACTCTGATATCAATTCCCAATCGCCATTTTAAGCAGACACAAAAACAAAAAGAAAATCCTATTTTTGGCTGTGGAAAATTTTCAAAATCCTGACATGGTCATGAACAGTTGCCCATATCTTTGCTAAATTTTGAGCAAACTGAAATAAATTATACATCATTGGAAAGAGCCTTAAATTTTCCATAAATCTGTGTAAAATTGAATTCAATAACTCGGATAGTTTTCGAGCAATTGAGCCTCAAAGTTGCCTTTTAGTCCAAATTTTGTCAAAAACTTCAAATTCAATTTGCTCAAAAACTATAAATCTAGGAATGTTGTAAATCACAAGCCACTTAGAGCCTAATAAGAGCTATAAATGCTGAAAGTTTTCATGCAATTTGCTTAACGGTTACTGAGCAATTGAGATTTGAATATTTTGAAATCAGAATTCAAAGAGGGTACCCTTATGAAATAATTTCAAAACTTCTATAGAATCATTCCTTGAGACTACATTCTTATTGAATTTTTGCTTCAGAAGCCTATATCATAATATTACTTGAAGTTCTCTCTTTTTTCTAATACTTCAGGAATTGATTTATTGCTCTTTTCGATCATGCATGTAATTCTCCCTTCTCAATATCCAAAAGAATGTGGATTTTTCATGAAAATCCTGAGAAGTATTCAAAATATTCAAAGTTAAGCAAGCAAACTCTGCTTTTGGCAAAAATCCAACTGAAAAATCACCAAAACTGCAATCACAGAATAACTATAAACCCAAAATAAATAGATTTTTCTCTCCAGGTATCATCCATCAAATCATCTTGGAAAACTACGCATTCCCCGGTCTGTTGATGATCGGTACCGACTCTCACACCCCCAACGGCGGTGGTTTGGGCGGCCTGTGCATTGGAGTAGGTGGTGCAGATGCTGTAGACGTAATGGCCAGCATCCCATGGGAATTAAAATGCCCCAAAGTCATTGGGGTACACTTAACTGGCAAACTATCAGGCTGGACTTCACCTAAGGATATTATTCTTAAAGTAGCTGATATTTTAACTGTTAAAGGTGGTACTGGAGCTATTGTTGAGTATTACGGACCTGGTGTAGAATCAATTTCTTGTACCGGTAAGGCTGTTTGAGAGTTTGGAAAACAATTTTAAAATTGAATTTTGAAGGAATGGCAACTATTTGCAATATGGGTGCTGAGATTGGTGCAACCACATCAGTTTTCCCTTATAATAGAAGAATGGCTGACTATTTGAAAGCTACTAGTAGAGGAGCTATTGCAGAAGAAGCTAACAAAGTTGAAAAAGTTTTACTCAATTCAGATTCAAGTAAGATTTTTCTTCCTAAATCACAACTATGCACTCATATTAGGGTTTTTTTTTTAAATTAGATGCCCCCTATGATCAAGTCATCGAAATCAACCTAGACACTTTAGAACCGCACATCAACGGGCCATTTACTCCAGATTTGGCCAGTCCCATAAGCAAACTTGGTGAAAATGCCAAAAAGAATGGTTGGCCATTGGAAATCAAAGTGGGACTTATCGGTTCTTGTACCAACAGTTCCTACGAGGACATGGGCAGGTGCGCTAGCATAGCAAAAGAGGCCATGAAACACGGAGTCAAATCCAAAATTCCATTCAACGTCACACCTGGATCTGAACAAATTCGTGCTACAATTGAGCGAGATGGGATTTCACAAACTTTAACTGAATTTGGAGGAACTGTAAGTAACTTATCTATTGAATTGCTAAATAAACTTATTATTATATAGGTATTGGCAAATGCATGTGGTCCATGTATCGGCCAATGGGACCGTAAAGACGTCAAAAAAGGTGACAAAAACACCATTGTAACCTCTTATAACCGTAACTTTACTGGTCGTAACGATGCCAACCCTGCAACTCACGCTTTTGTAACTTCCCCTGAACTGGTTACAGCTCTCAGTATTGCTGGAACTTTGGATTTCAACCCTCTCACTGATGAACTAACTGGTTTGTGTTCAATCTCATATTAACCAACCAATACTAAAAACAAAACTTTAGGTTCTGATGGTAAAAAATTCAAACTTTCTTCTCCATTTGGTGATGAGCTACCAGCTAAAGGTTTCGATCCTGGCCAAGACACTTACGAACATCCTTTGGCCGATGGAAGCAAAATTAACGTCAAAGTTGATCCTAAATCAAACAGGCTTCAATTATTGGATCCTTTCGATAAATGGAACGGCAACGACTTGGAAGACATGGTAGTGTTGATTAAAGTCAAAGGAAAATGTACAACTGATCATATTTCTGCTGCTGGACCTTGGTTGAAATATAGAGGACACTTGGATAATATTTCTAATAACATGTTTATTGGGTAAGATTATTATCTTTGATATAATTAAAGATTTGATAATTTATCATTTATAGTGCCACAAATTCTGAAAACAACGAAATGAACAAAATCAAAAACCAACTAACAGGTGAATGGGGTGGAGTTCCAGATGTGGCCCGCGACTACAAAGCCAAAGGAGTCAAATGGGTTGCAGTGGGCGATGAAAATTACGGTGAAGGTTCTTCTAGAGAGCACGCCGCTTTGGAACCGCGTCATTTGGGCGGTCGAGCCATCATTGTGAAATCATTTGCTCGTATCCACGAGACCAACCTCAAAAAACAAGGTTTATTGCCTTTGACGTTTGCCAATGCGAGTGATTACGATAAAATTCAGCCCACTGATAAAATTAGTTTGAAAGGGTTGAAGAATTTGACTCCCGGAAAACCTGTAGAGTGCGAAATCAAGCATAAGGATGGCAAGGTTGATAAGATTCTTTTGAATCATACCATGAATGATTTGCAAATTACTTGGTTCAAAGCTGGCAGTGCTTTGAATAGGATGAAGGAAGTGGCTGCGTAAAATTTTTTAGAATTATTTTATTTATTCTATGGTTTTTCTACGATTTAGTACAAAAATACAATGTAAGCCCAAAATAATATCTTTTTTTTGTGTGTTTTATTGTAGAATAACCATTTATTGAGTAGCTGTATAATATTGTTGCTCTGTAAATATGAATGAGAATTTTTAAGACAATAAATTAAATTATTATAATAGTAACATTTATTTATAAACAAAAATATATTCAAGTCAATGGTGGTGGTCCATTGCTGACTGATATCGTGCACTCTCCCAGCTCCATTTTAGCTACAGCACTGGTTTCCAATAGGCCGATGTTTTGCAGAAATGCGCCAGCGGTATGGTGATGTAAAATAGTGCTGTCTTCTTCTTTGTTCTCATTTTTAAGCTCTAGTTGGTTTTTGTCTTTCTTGTCCAGTTCAATTTCTACCAAGGGTTCCATAAAGTTATCGTCCATTGAGTTATTAGAATCATCAAACTAGAAAAAAATTGTCTTATATTTTTGTTTAGGGGTTAAGGTTTTTTGCTTACGCTTTCTGAATTTTCATTTTGTTCCATTTGTAGGGGTTTGGTGAGATATTCCAAGTCTCCAAAAGGCATGTTTGTGATGTCATAGTCGTCGATGTGTCTGGTGGATAGTTTGAAGCCTGGTTTCAATGGTGACACTAAATTTTCATAAGATGTGAATATACAAATATTCTCAAATAATATTGAAAAGTTTTGGACAAAGTTGGCGGGAATATCTATTCGGATTATGGACCAAAACAAATTTAGGTTCCACAAATAAGGCGATCTGACATTTTCTCAGATAAATAATTTGGAATTATCAGAGGTTATTATAATAAGTTATAGGTACCTACTATATTTTGAAGAAAAACTGTGAAAATTTGAGGAATTTGGGATCCTCTGCAGATTGTACGAATTTCTTCAAAGCTTCATTTGCTCATAAAAAAATCCTAATTTAAGTTCTGAGAATTCTGAGCACTTTGGATATAGGTGGGTGGTACTCAGTTCCTTAAGAAGCTTGATTATTATTGAAAAAACTAAATGTATATCAGGACAATTTTTTCAGGAACTGTAGCTCTTATTATATCGACCAAATTTCGGTTATATGGAAACTTTGAAGCTCAGTAGCTCAGAGGCTCTATGAGCTACCTACTTCAACCTTATTTGGTACAATTTATAGAGAATTTAATACCTTTTTCAGCGATATATAATTTATGCTTATTAGCTCAAATTTAAGTGGACATTTGAGGAATTATTCCTGGCCGTGTCAGACTTTCAAAAAATTGCTTTTGATTGGTTGAATATTTATTTGAAGAGAATCAAGAGCCGGTATAATAGTCTTAATTTTGATTATTATTCTGGAGGAAATGTACATGGAAAGGTTGAGGGAATAGTCAGAAATGGGAAAATACCAGTGGCGTACACTCGATCGACCTACGAATGAATGGAGAACCATACGAAAATATACAAAACTGTATGATTATTCAAAAACTGTACCTACATAGGACACTGTATCATTATTCAAAAACTGTACATAGGAAACTATATGATTATTCAAAAACTGTACATAGGAAACTATATGATTATTCAAAAACTGTACCTAGAAGAAATTTTGGCTAAAATCTGTTCCAAAGACAATCAGGAACCACTGATAATTAAAATTTTGATTCAAATCAAATCACATATACCGTCTCTTGATTAGTTGATTGGTTAAATATGTATTTGAATGCAATCAAGAGCTGGTAATAGTCTTAGTTTTTACCAAGAGCGGTACTTGATTACTTTTCTAAAGGAAATATTAAACATTGGCCATTATCGTCTCCAAAGACAATCAAGGGACCACTAATAGTTAAAATTTTGATTCAAATCAAATATAGATAGAATACTCTACTCTGATTGGACTAGATGAAAGACAAGAACTGAAGCATCAGCTTAATTTATCCAATCAACGACTATATCATCTTTACCACTAGAGAATAACATCAAAAAAGTGAAAATTACGACCAAAAACAATTACCTGATTGGTTGAGACGTGGCCGTCCTCTAGGACGTTTAACCAAAGGTCTCGGAACTACAGGATACTTCCTAGGCCTTCCTCTGCCTTTTTTCTGTGGCGCTTTATCCTCCATAGAATTATTACTGCTTCCAGTATCCGTGTCCATTTTAGGTGCTTCATCACACTCAGCCTTATTTACACTCAAATCTTCTGCTGTTTCAGAAACATCTGGCTCCTCTTTGATTTCCGCCAAAAGATCTTCTCTGGTAATACGTTTGGGTTCTTCATCAATTTCTTCAGCAGTTGTTTGACCAATGGGCTAAATAATAATTATGTTAGTTGAAACAGAACCTCTAAACCTGAAATTAACTTACATAAAAATCATTTGAGCCCTCCATTATATTTCCAATATACTTCAAATGCTCGTGGGTCTTTTTAATGTGGTGCTTCAACTTATCGTGCCTGGAAAATGCTTTGTCGCACTGGCTGCAAGCGTAAGGCCTTTCACCTGTATGGACAAGCTGGTGTCTGCTCAAATGTGAAGCCCTTTTGAAGCTACAATAAATATTGAAGTAATTTAAATTTGGTCAATATAATGCATGTAGGTACCTTGCAGGACACAAGGTGCACTTGTACTTTCTCTGCTTCATTGCCCAATTGTTGCGCCTTCTCGCTTCAGCTGATAATCTTATGGGTGGAGTTACACTTTGTTGAGCAACTTCTGTTTCTTGTTTTGGTATGATGATTTCAGTTGAGGTTTCTAAGACTTCTGGAGATTTTGTAGATCCACTAGATCGCCTAATATTTTTAATTGTCTTGGCATCATCATTTTCAAAATCAACTGTAACGCGTTTTTGGCCTTTAAATCTTGTATCACGTATATTTAATGCTGATTTATCTTTCTGAATAAAAAATACTTTTAGAGTAAAAGGTATTATATAAAAACATTAATTCTTACTTCATCGACAATCCCTTTAATTCCAAACTCTTCAGCAATATCTGATAATTTCGCAGTCATATCGCTGGCAATTTGCGTTGAGCCTCTATACATAAGCTCAACTAAGCTTTTGATGTGTTGCACTGTCATACCGTGTAGAAGAAAGGCTACTTGGTGTTCGGGGTGTTCTTGGAATACCTTTTTGAAATAGGGACTGGATGCCGCAAGAATGACTCGGTGAGCTCTAACAGCACCATCTTTACAATGTAAAGTAATGTCGCTCAACGTTTCGTCCTTCAACAGGTTCTTCAGCATCACTTCGACATTTTCTTGGTGGCACTCTTGTAGCAAACGAATCGATTTGATTTGTGGAGATTTCATCTATAGAAGAAATAATTTTTCAAATAATAATTCTATATAAAACGAAGTAAATATTTACCGTAATTCAAATTTCAAAATATAATGTGTGTCTGTCGTCAGACAATTTTAACAAAACTGACGATGGCCCTTTGTAGGTCCCTCCAGTCGAAAAGGGGGACACTGCGCGCTATCGATTTTGGCCTGTCCCCCTCCTGAAAGGGCCTGAAAATACCCTCCGGAATTAATTTAGGGTGCGGGGGACGCGACGCGTCGAGAGGAGGGTCGTGTGGGGTGGCATTTTCTACTCGGATCTTGGAGGCTTTATCTTAAAGAAGTTTTTAATTATGAGTGAAGAGATTTTAAGTCTTTGTAGATGCTATCTAGATCTTATAGATTTCTATTGGTTTTCTTTATAGGTAGAGTAGGTACATTATTATAACAAGGGCTTTTTAAACATTTTCTTAGAGCCGTTTTTGACTCTCTAAGGGATGTAGCATTGTCTTCATTTATGGAAAAAAAAGTTGAGTCAAAAGATAATAATTTACCCCCTGTGGATTTTTATTTAAAATGTAGAGTTGTTTTTAGCTTTCAAATCTTGATAACAAGTCTAGAGTGACTTTTGAGCTTGTTTTCAGAGGGGTTTATAGAGATTTTCATCTGCTTTCAGGAAATCTATAGTTTGGTTTCAGAGCACCGTTAATAGAATTGGAATTCATTTCTCCAAATTTCAGGTCTTAGCTTCGTTTTCACGATAACCGGCTTTGAAGGTTTTCCAAAATTTAAGACAAACTTTCATCTTTGAGGCTCATCAATATCTTGGAAACTATTTGAGATAAATAATTCAATTTTATTTTATCTTAAAGAGTATTTAATTCTGATTCAGAATTTATAGATATGCATCGGAATTTCCAAGATATTAATTGAGTTATGGGCGATTTTGTGCAGCAATGTCGGATAATCAAAATTTCTTAGTAAAATCGAAAATCAGTTTACCTAAATTTTTTACAAGCCCTAAAAACTCGAAAAAAAATCATGAAAAGTGTTTTTTCACTAATTTTAACCCCCTTTTTCGAATGGTAAAATCAAAAATTAGAAAATTGAGATAAATCAAAATTGAAATTTTTCTAAGGGGTATGCAAGGAAATTTCATTTTCAAATATTTCGAAGGGCCATATTTCAAAAACCAGGGAAGCAATCGGCACGAAATTTTGTCTGAGTATAGATTTTGATTGAGGCTTCAAAAAAGGTTATTTGGGGCACCGAGCCCTAGGGCTTCGTTTTCGAGATAATTGACTTTGAAGGTTTTTCAGAATTTGAGACAAAGTTTCAACTTTGATTCTCAATATCTCAAAAAATATTTGAGATAAATTATTTAATTTTATTTTATCTTAAAGAGCATTTAATTATGATTCAGAATTTATAAATATGTATTGGAATTTATCAGATATTAGTTGAGTTATGGTGGATTCTGTGAGGCAATGTCGGATAATCAAAATATCTCAGGGTAAAAAATGCAAAAATCATTTTCAATTTTGTACATACCTACCCTAAGAACTCAAAAAGAGAAATCACGAAAATGCTTTTCCACTAAATTTGACCCTCAATTTCGATTAGTAAAATCAAAAATTAGAAAATCGAGAAAAATCAAAATTGAAATTTTTCTAAGGGGTATGCAAGGAAATTTCATTTTCAAATATTTCCAAGGGCCATATTTCAAAAACAAGGGAAGCAATCGGCACGAAATTTTGTCTGAGTATAAATCTTGATTGGGGCTTCAAAAAAGGTTATTTGGGGCACCGAGCCCTAGGGCTTCGTTTTCGAGATAATTGACTTTGAAGGTTTTCCAGAATTTGAGACAAAGTTTCAACTTTGAGGCTCAATATCTCAAAAACTATTTGAGATAAATGATTCAATTTTATTTTATCTTAAAGAGCATTTAATTATGATTCAGAATTTACGAATATGTATCGGAATTTATAAGATATTAAATGAGTTATGGGCGATTCTGTGAGGCAATGTCGGATAATCAAAATATCTCAGGGTAAAAAATGCAAAAATCATTTTCAATTTTGTACATACCTACCCTAAAAACTCAAAAAGAGAAATCACGAAAAGGCTTTTCCACTAAATTTGACCCTCAATTTCGATTAGTAAAATCAAAAATTAGAAAATCGAGAAAAATCAAAATTGAAATTTTATTTTCAAACATTTCGAAGGGCCATATTTCAAAAAACAGGGAAGTAATCGGCATGAAATTTTGTCTAAGTTTAGATCTCGGTTGGGGCTTCGTCTGTAGTAGAATATACCTAAGATATACCTATACCTATATTATTTATTCGATACAGTTTTGTACAGTATTTAAATTTCTTCCAGAAAAGTCAACCACTTAAAAATAATATGGAAATCCTTTTCGACTAATTTCAATTTCTTCTTCCGATTGGTAAAGTCAAAATTCTAGGGCTGCAATTATTTAAAAAATTGAGTTAAAAATTCTGTCCTTTTTTTTTAAACACCAAACCCGGGCGTTTAAAATACAATTTGGGTCGTCGGTCCCCTCCTTTATTCCCTTTTCACCCCCATGTTCGTTGGCGGACAAGGAGGGAGAGCCTCGAATTTTAACGCATTTCTGAGGGGGCGCACAAAGAGCCAGGGGATCAATAACAGGGACGCAATGTGGGCGCACTACAGCTACAAGACCCCCCACAAAATCTAAAAATAGACACCCCTGATGGTGTGTCTTGTGTGGGACATATTATATTATGGATTTTGTGGTTTAAAATTTCATTTTGTATTTGAAAAATTGTAGATTTTATAGAGGAATGATGGGGATAATAATACATTTTGTAATCTTTTTTTTCTATATTTTTATATTTTAAATAGTAATAATATCAACTCCTAGAATCCTAAACTCCATCTCTTGTATGGTTTTGCAAAGTAGATATTGATTCCCAGCAGAGAATTCTTTAGCCATATGGATCTTTCCAGAAACAACGTAGTGCCAACACAGCATTTTTTTCCAGTTCACTCTTCATAAAATATGGACTTAGTAGTAATAAGCCCTAATGTAAAATACACAGACAAATATATCGAGGCCCAATACAACTATCAATACACTAAATCTGAACAAAATGGAAAAAATATTATGGTATGTTATAGTTCCAATATATTCCAAGTTTCAATCAATAAACTTTTAAGGCAACCAACATAAACGAAAAACTGAATTTCCGCACTGAACGCAAAGTACCTAAGCTTGGTGTAATGCTAGTTGGTTGGGGTGGAAATAACGGATCTACCCTAACTGCAGCTTTAATAGCCAATCGCCTGGGACTTTCTTGGCCTACGAAAACTGGACAACAAAGGGCCAATTGGTTTGGTTCCATAACGCAAGCATCAACAGTACGAGTTGGAGACGATATTTGCATCCCTTTGGGACATCTATTGCCCACCATTAATCCTAACGATCTTGTAGTTGATGGTTGGGACATTAGCTCCAAAAATCTAGCTGATGCAATGGTTAGAAGCCAAGTGCTTGAACCTGCTTTGCAAGAACAACTCAAACCTCATTTGGTTACAATGAAACCTAGACCTGCTATTTTTAATAAGGATTTTATTGCTGATAATCAAGTAAGTAACTTATTTGAGTTTAGAAACCATAGATAATTTGTTTTTATATAGTCTTCTAGAGTGGACAATATTATAACTGGCAGTAAACTGGAACAAGTTCAAAAGCTAATGGAAGATATCGACGATTTTAAAGCAACGGCAAAAGTAGACAAAATAATCGTCCTTTGGACAGCCAACACTGAAAGACTTTGCAACATTTCACAAGGAGTAAACGATACATCAAAAAATCTCTTGAAGTCAATCAAGGATAATCACCCAGAAATTTCTCCTTCAACATTGTTCGCTTATGCAGCAATCTCCAAAGGGTGCACCTACATCAACGGGTCACCACAAAACACTTTTGTACCAGGATTGATCGAATATGCTGAAGAAAGGAAAGTTTTCATAGCTGGAGACGACTTTAAGTCTGGCCAAACGAAACTTAAAAGCGTGCTGGTGGACTTTTTGGTCAGCGCTGGTATCAAGCCAGTCAGTATAGTCAGCTACAATCATTTGGGAAATAATGATGGGAAAAATTTAAGCGCACCTGCTCAGTTCAGATCCAAAGAGGTATAATTTGTACTTTTATTGCCTTTTGGTTTCTTCACTTTAGTCCCATGTTTTATTTTTCTCTATAGATTTTATTTCTTTTTCCCCACATATTCTTAACTTTTCCAAGGATTATGTCTTCTACGTTTTCTGGTAGGTACTTCTTCTACATAAGACACAGCATCAAATGCCATATAATGCCATACATTTCATAATCATCATATTTTTGAGGTAATTTATTTAATATTTTATTTTTCTTACTTAAGTTTGATTAATCAGAATCAATTTCCTCTATTTCTTTTATAATATTTAGGTCTTTCTGCACATTTGCTTCTTCATAAGTTTTTTCCTTATTTTTAACATCTTCATCCATTTCTTCAAACTTAGCTTTGAACTGAAGCTAATAGGATCCTGAATTGTTCTTTCGTAAATGATCTGTTTTTCTTCAAAAATTCTCAAGATTTTGGATCCTGCGAACCTTAAAAAATTCTTGTTGCTTCTGTGAAAGCACCCTGAAATCTGAGTCATTATTCTGCAAATTTCCTGAATCTTCAGTAATCACTTTCTAAACTTTCTGGTGCTTCTAAAAAAAGATTCTTAGGAACTTTAGATCTTGTTAAATGTCAAGGACTTTTAAATTCTGAATTGTTCTTTTGTAAATGATCTGTTTTTCATTGAAAAGTCTTTACGCATTTCAAGATCTTGGATCCTGCAAACCTTGAAGAATTCTTGTTGCTTCTATAGAGGTACCCTGAAAAAGATCCTAACATCCGAGTCATTATTTTGCAAATTTTCTGAATTTTCAGAACTTTAGAAAGAACTTTAAAGATCTAAAGATTGATAGATTCATAGGACTTTTGGGGCAAAATTTATAGACGTTCTTTGATGGCCATTAGATTAGAATGGATACTTGTTACTATTTGATAAGTCAATTCTAAAGGAAGCCTTAAGGTCGAATTTATAGTCGCTCCTCGAAGTTTCCTCAGACCCTAAGGAAGTCTGAATGTTCAATTTACATGACTAACTTATCAAACAGTAGCAAGTGTTCATTCTAAACTCACAATCTTGGAAGAAGATTCAAGGAACGTCTATAAATTCAGTCCTTAGATTCCATAAGATCCAAGGAGACTTCAAGGAGCGACTATAAATTTGGCCCTTAGATTCTGAATTATCCTTTCCCTTGAACCCTGGAAAATTCTTGTTGCTTCTATAAGATTTTGAAATCTGAGTCAATTTTCTACAAATTTCCTGAATTATGAGTCATCACTACTTGACAATAACTTCCAAGTGATTCTAAAGGAACTTTAAATCTTGTCAGATTCCTAACCATCTCTATTTTTCTAGATATCCAAAAGTGACGTTGTAGATGACGTGGTCCAATCAAACAGAATCCTCTACCAACCTGGCGAAAAACCAGATCACGTAGTCGTAATCAAATACGTACCATACGTGGGCGATTCCAAAAGAGCCATGGACGAATACACCTCTGAAATCATGATGGGCGGTCACAATACTTTGGTGATTCACAATACCTGCGAAGATTCTCTACTAGCCGCGCCGCTCATTTTAGATTTAGTTATTTTGGCTGAATTGTTTTCGAGGATTCAAGTTAAAAAGGAGTTTTCTCAAGAGTATACACATCTACATCCGGTACTATCAGTGCTGGGATATTTGTGTAAAGCTCCATTGGTACCGAAAGGTACTCCGGTAGTTAATGCTTTGTTTAGGCAAAGAAGTTGCTTGGAAAATATTCTAAGAGCTTGTGCAGGGTTGCCTGTGGAAACTAATATGGGTTTGGAGCATAAGATTCCTCAAATGGTTGAAGAACCTTTGCCTAAGAAAGCAAAAATTTCAAATGGACAATAATAATTTATTGTGATCATAATAATTTATCAAATAAACTTGATTATTTCTTTTTGTTCTTTTGCTTCCTACGACTAATAGGTTTTTCTTCGACATTTTCCTTTTCCTTTTTCTTATTTCGTTCTAATTTATCCTTAAGCCTCTTTGTAATCTCAGCCTTTTTGTCATTCACTTCATTGTTTCCCACTAAGATGTTTTGCTGGATATTTTTTATCGAATTTCTGAGTAATTTGAGCTCGTTTAATGCCAATTGAGCCATCCTTCCTTCAGGACTTTTAGGTGGTTCATACAATAAATATTTAACAGAGTCTTTTAGGATTCTTTCTGCAGTTTGCAGTTCCAAAATTAAACGTTCCTGATTGATTTCCTTTTCCCTGTATTGTTTGTTTGAGATTTCTACTATTGCTGATTGGAGTTCGTACATTGTTAATGCTAAAAATCGTTTAAATTTTTTTATTGTTGCAATAAGTATGTATTATTACCTTTGGCTCTTGATATTCCTGGTTCTAATTTGGAAAATACCGACATTAGTCTGCCACAAAGATCAATTTTTCTGTTCAAATTATTTTTGGTTGGAGGTAATTTTGAGTACAGCCCTACCATATTTTGCTTCAGCTCTAGCAGCAAATAGTGATTAGGATGGAAAGTTAAAAGTAAGTTTTTGTACAACTTCTCCATTGCTTGAATATCAGTCAAATCTATTGAAACATTATATTAACTATAATTTTTGTAAAATAAATATTAGCTAACCCAAATCATTAATCCGCCTTCTCCCTTCATCTATAGCCAAGTTGATTAAAAAATCTTTAAAGCACAATTTGCACTGGTAGCATTGCCAAATTTTAAAGCTCTTTTCCATTTCCGTGAATCTCAATAGGCCTTTTCTGCACTTGTGGCAAATCAAAGAACTAATTTCTGTGCCCAATTCTGAAGGGTCTTTACACCTTTTACAGGCACAACTGAAATATTTGCCTTCAAGAAGAGTGTCTTGTCTATCTTGATTGCCCTTAAAACAATATGTTTAATACAAACTTTACAATAAAACTCTAATTCTTGCCTGTAACACACTAGCATAATTATTGAATATTGTTTCATTTTCCTTAATATCCACACTAGCGTAAACGCTCATCAAAAAATTATCATCTACAGCAATGTGAGTATTGGCACTGCAATCGTGAGCCATTATTGAAGCTACAGGATAAAGACCTCTTAGGCATTGCTTTTCCGGATTTGTTATGCTTAAATCCAATGGAGGTCTGACCTCAAAAGCATTAACATCTAAAATACCGCAAACTTTTTGCACTAGTTCCTCTTCAATATCCTCCTTTCTTAGTAAATTGGTTTCCTTGAGGATTTCCTCTACAGAAATCCTGTGCCGTCTCCATATGGCAGTATCGCGCCTTTTTTCCAAATGAGGCTCCAATTTTAGAACTTCCTCAAACGCTTTTGGATTATAAATACTCAAAAGCAAGACGCGTAAAGGAAAAATCACCGAAGGGTTTTCCGCTAAAATTTGGCCCTTGACTTTTTGAGTTTTCAAAGTGAGACATTCTTCTTCCGTATGATGAGTTCCTTGACAATAATCGGCGCACATCAGCGCAGTATTGCAGGAATCGCAAAAAGAGCACATAAGCAAATTGATGGTTTTGAGGCATTTGAAACATCTGGCCGGTCCGTTGAGATGGGGTCCGACTAGAACCGGGGCCTCTTTGAATATTAGTTTGCCTTGTTTTAAGTCTTCATTTGCCACCATGTAGCTAGAAATTTTATTGAGGAAAACATTCTTTTAACTCTGATCAAGTACTTACTTGCCTAAGACATCGTTATGGAGGATTTTGTATGTTTTTGAAGCCATTTTGCACTATTTGCTGGAAGCTTATAGGAATAGACTGAAATGTAATATAGGACAGTGTTTCGGTTTTAAAAATAGATCCGGAAAGTGTGTATATAGACTTTGATAGTTAGGCAACTTTACCAGCATTATTTTATTGGCTTGAAAAATACAAGAAAATTGCTTTTTATTTTAATGGAAAGTGTGCATAAATTTTCCCATGTTGATAAACGCAAAGTATTTTGTTTCAATTCCATTCAATTTTTTCTTTTCAGAGAAATTTAGAATATATAAAACGAACATTCAAGAGCCGCAAATAGACAAAAATTGAGACGGAAAAACTGAGAAAAGAAGTGTAGAAAAATGGTAAATGAAAGGACATTCATGTTTTCTCCATCCCAGGTGCTTGAAATTTTCTTTATATCGACTAATTCAAGAAGCTGGAATCAGCAAAAATTGAGATGGAAAAACTGAAACATAGAAAGAAAAAATGGTAGAATACGTAGATTCAATTGAATTAGGGCATGTTTGACCCTTTTACTCTTTGTTGTCGGATTTCTTTAATCACTCCTACACATCAAAATCTCTGATGATTACCCATTTATTCTTCGAACCACCCTCAAAGAAGAATGATAAAATTTCCTTCTTTTTCCTTACCAGGATTTTATCTCTGAAACTATAACTCAAAATGAAACAAGCTTCCCTGACAATTTCAATAAATTCCTCTCTAATGTTACAAGATACAATTAGAGATAAAAGATTCTCCATAGTTTTCAGAAATTTCAATCCAATTACCAAAATTATCAAGTCCATATATAATAAATATAATTTCTCCCACACTTGACCTCCCATACCCATCCATGGTCATTTCACCAACCAAGACCTGACGTCACCCGTCATGGTCAACCATCGATGGTCAACAAGGAACCAAACCGATACGGAGTAAACCGACATCAAACGATCCTGTAGCGTATGGCGCCGGGATTCGAATTTATTCGCCTTCAAGGATCCTTCTATACATTCGCGATTTTTGCGTCGATAGTTTTGTCCAACTTTTTTTTGTTGGAAAAGTGTTTTTCTTTATTTTGAAAAAAAAAAACGTGACTTACTATATAATAAAGTGTTTTTAAATTTAGGTAAGCAGGTAATATGTATTTTTAGATTTTGATGATTAGTTGCAAAATTAGTCTTTTTTGCAACTATTTGTCAATTAAAGGCACGTTCTAATATTATTGTTTAACATGCACAAAAGCAGTTGCGGCTAATTAACAATTTAAAACAGATTACAATTCAAATTGAATTTTAATTATAAGCACACTTATTAGTTGAATTTTAAACTGTTGAGCTAATTTAGAAGAGTTTTACACGCATAAAATTATTACGGTAAAGTTTCTGAGAGAAACACACAAGAGCTATTTTAAAATCCTGATGATCTAATCTTGTTGATTTAACCTTTGGGAACGAGGGCCAAGTTTATATTCAAAACAAATAATTCCAGGTGATTTTTTTTTGCGCATAATGATCAGTTGAGTTATGGTAATTTCAACATCATTATAATCATGTTTACTATTTACAACTTACTTATTAGGGTGGGTTTTTCAATAACGAGTCACCTCTGGGTTGGTTTTAACTCCAAGGTAAACGTGTCCAGTTTTTTTTACCCTGGAGTTATGCCTAACCCAGGGGTGACTTGGGAAACCAGCCCTTAGAAATTGCTTGGAATAACTTTTTGAAAGTTCAAGGTTTTATTGTAGAGGATCAGAGCCCCAGGATGTTGAATTTTTGTTTTCTTCTGAATGAAAACTTCCCTAGATTATTTGAATATATATTTTCTCTTTCGATGTTGATTTTGATTATTGGAATCAACATTGTCGTGTGCAAATGGATGACAAATATTCAATAATTATTGGATTGATCTTGGTCTTCCAGCGTTGATCCACCAATTTCAAATGAGATCCAATTATTTTTTTCTCAACTTATGATTTTCGAGCCTCTAAAGCTTACTTTCAATATCTTATAAGCGATTAGTTTAATTTTCAGCGTTTTAGCTTGATGTTCAAGTTCGTGAGTGTCTCAGCTCAACTTTTAGATTTTAGTGAATTCTGAGAAGCTCGGAAACGTCTCAATCTGGTTCTCAAGTTTCTCAACTTGATTTTCAAGCGTGTAAGCTGACTTTCAGTGTTTCAGGACGATTAGTTTCATTTTTAGAGTGCCAGCAAGTTAATTGAGTGTCTCAGCTCAATTTTTTGAGTATTTTAGTGAATTTTGACTTTCTAAAAAATGACTCGGATCAGCTTTCGGGTATTTATACTAATCTTGAGAGCTCGATTTCCAAAACACTTGGTTAGTTTGAATGTGTTAAAAGCGACTCAGATTACTTTCAAGTCGTCTTAGCTGAATGTCCAAAGCTTCTTAGTTAATATTGAGTATCTCAAAAGCTATTCAGCTCAATTTTCAAGCTTATATGTCTCATCAAATCGACTCAGCTCAACTTTTAAGTGACACTATACATCTTGATTTCCAAGTTGCTCTGTTAGTTTGAAGTATGTGTCTCAATTTTAGTTCTCTGCGTTGATTTCCAATATCTAAGCTAATTGCGAATGTCTCAGAAGCGACTCAATTCCCAAATTTCTGAGAATTCGTAGTTTTCAGTATCTCAGAGCTCAAAATCTAAATGACTCACTTTGCCTTTGGAGCTCCAAAATAATATTTAGGTATCTCAAAAGCGTCTCGATTCAAATTTCAATTGATATAACGTGATTTTCAAACTTCTTGGTTAATTTTAAATTTTTTCAAAAACTACTCAACTTAATGTTCAAGTTTCTTAACAAGGACGGTTCTTCAAGGTATACCTACAAAGTAGAAGAAAGTCACAGGGTATTTTAGCTTAAAATCTGCAAAAGTTGAATCACTTTCGTTTGTTTATCGTTATTGGTATTTGCAAATTTGCAAATTTCTCATCTGATTGTAATTGATTCTGATCTCAAAAATAACTCAGTTCAGTTTTTCAGTTCTAAACTTCTTCCAAATCTTTGCTTGATAGCCGACTTTGATATGAACTTTCAGAATGCAGAATATACACCATTGGAAAGAGGATTAAATTCTCTATAGGCCTGTATAAAATTGAGTTTTGTAACTTGTAAAGATTCCAAGATATCGAGCTGCAAAGTTGAAGTTTGGTCGACATTCTGTTTAAAACTTCAAACTCCATTTTCTCCAAAACTATAAATGCTAGCAATTTCAAATTAATACTATCTTATAGCTTTTATCAAGAGCTACAATTCCTGAAAAGTTTATCCCAATATCGCTTTTGGTTACCGAGATATCGTAATTTAAAGATTTGTGAACTAAATTCCAAAGGGGTTGGTTACCCTTAGGAAAAAAGCGTAAAAAATTGAAAATTTTTGTTTTTGGATTATCCTCAATTTTGACCTTTAAATCGATAGAAAGGGTCCAAATTAGTCAAAAACATCTCTAACATCAATTAAATTTGGAAATGTCAATGAGCAAGAAAATCTAAAAAGGAAATTTTATTTTTGGCTGTGGAAATTTTTTGAAATCTTGACATGCTCATGAATAATTGCTCATTTCTTTGATGATATTTGAGCAAATTACCTATAACTATACATCATTGGAAAGAGGATTAAATTTTCTATAAGTCCGTATAAAATTGATTTCTATATTTTGTAAAGTTTACAAGATATCGAGCTGCAAAGTTGAAATTTGGATGACATTTTATTCAAAACTCCAAAGTTCATTTTCTCAAACAATAAATAGGTAGCAATTTCAGATAAATACCATTTTGAAGCCCTTATCAAGAGCTACAATTCCTGAAAATTTTATCCCAATATCGCTTTTGGTTATCGAGATATCACAATATAAAGATTTGTAAATTAAAATAAGTAGGTAACCCCTAGGAAAAAATCACAAAAAATTGAAAATTTTTATTTTTAGTTTTTTCTCTATTTTGACATTTTAAATCGATAGAACAAGTCCAAATTAGTCAGAAACAACTCTAATATCAATTAAATTTGGAAATTTCAATGAGCAAAAAAATCCAAAAAGGAAATCTTATTCTGGAAATTTTTTGAAATCTTGACATGCTCATGAATAATTGCTAAATTCTTTGACAATATTTAAGCAAATTGCCTATAGTTATGCATCATTAGAAAGAGGATTAAATTCCCTATAAGCATGTGCAAAATTAGCTTTTGTAACTTGTAAAGTTTTTAAGATATCGAGCTGCAAAGTTGAAATTAGATTGTAGTCTTGCTCATGATGAGTTGATACCTTGCAAACCTGCAAAAACACAACCTATACAAAAAATGCCAGTAAATTCTAGGAAATGAAACCAAATTTTGAGTCAACAAACAACAATATTTGTTGCAGACGGATAAAATTTTGTTATAATCAGGTCTACAACGCATTTACCGAGAATAATACCAATTTAATCGGCCAATTAACAGAAAATTGAGAACGCTTTTATTCTTAGCCATGAATCAGCATTATTGCAATTTCACAAAAAGACCCAGAAATTGAAACAACAACTGTAGTTGTTTTTAACAAGGACTTGAATACCTACTCATCATACAAGATCAGGAATCCATTTGAAGGTATTCTTAATATGGAAAGAACAACTTTTTGACTCAATGCAATTTCATCCTGTACGAGGTTCAACGAACATTGAATTATGATTAACTAAATGCCTATCCCAATTTTTTATAAGCGATGCGTGTAAAAATCAATGCTAAGCAAGGCGAGGCACCTTAAGGTAATTTCCTGTGATCCCATAAAATCCAGGATGCTATTTTTAAAGCCCCGGCCTGGATTGTGTATATAATTTAGGTCAAGTTTGCATTAAATTGCGACTTGAAATATTTTTCGATTTTGCAATGTAGAAAAATATTTCCTTCTCATGTTCAAAGTGTGTGCCGCCTAAATAAGCTCAAAGTCTTGATTTAATTTAACCAAGATTCAAGGGCAAATCAGTTTAATTGGAATTCTTTGCTTTGCATTCATAAGAGGGTTAATATTCTATGTTCTGATTAATCTTTTAAACTTTGCCATTTCGTAAGTTATAATCGGATTTAAATCACTGAAAATGGCGCCTGAATAAATTATTATGCCTTGTTTTGCAATCTGCTGAATGTTTGCCAACAAAATAATAGTCTAATTCGTTTCTTTTTGAAGTAAATTATACATGAAATATAAGTTGATTTCTATTCCCGGCTTTTGATTTGAATCACTTGATTGTTGATTCATTCTTCAATGTTGTTAGAATTGATTTGATTATTTGAACATTTTTCAATGCTAAATTTTTGATTATTCCTAGCCCTTGTTTTCAGTTTCCATAATCAAGTGTTGATGGAAATATTCACTTGATTAATTCATTCTTGAATCCCAATAAACACGACTCTACTTAATTATATAATTTGTTTTATGTGTGGGCTAGTGGGCTTTTCCACACACGTTTTCTGGTGTTGGTTAATTTCTTCAATGAAAAAATCCTGTATTTATACTGAATAGAAGTATGTAGGTAATTGAAGTTGATATAAATATCACTTAATTCTAACCGAATCTATTATGAATGATTGAGATCTACAAATTCGGGAATGATTGCGTGAAACCTAACTTTGATCTTCGTTTTTTATGACAAACATAGGTCGCATAGGTCTGTGGATGACCATAGATGTGGATCATAGATGTGGATGACAATAGACCCTGCCCAAAGTATACGGAGATTGTGTTTATGTCAGAATTGTCTGAATTTTGTATATAATGTAGATCACGCCTTCTTGATTGAAAGTTACCATTGCACCAATCCTGAAAAATGATTCCTTTTTGAGAAAATTGATTTCATAGTATTCATAGGTAGCAAGTAAAACGTTTGGACATTGTAATGAACGTACCTACATACAAATAAGTGGATTATTGCAGAACTTATGGGTGGACCTCTGCGGGACGAGCGCAGCGAGTTCCGCAGCCATCTACTCACCAATATACTGTTGAACTGTTCAAATAAGACACTCACCTGAAACGTGTAGTTTTTAAACTAATGGGAAAAATTCACAACTGAGTGAATTAGGTTAATATTGTACCTAAACAACATATTGGTGAATATATGGTTGGGTCCACTCATAAGTTCCGCAACAATCCTCTCGTTGTCACTTGTCATAATATTTTACTAGTTTGGTAAAGTAACATTACTAATTCCTCTTAAAAGGCAAATTGACAAAAAGTGGATAATCTTACAAATTCTGACTTTAGATAATAAGTTATTGTTCAAGTACAAATAGGTGGATTGTTGCGAAACTTATGAGTGGGCCGCATCCAATCTCCAAGACTGTTGAACTGTTCAAGTAAGACATTCACCTGAAACGTGCAATTTTTAAACTAATGAGAATACCGCAAATTTGAGTGAGTCAGTTTAGTATCGTAATTAAACATAATATTGATGAATAGATGGCTGCGGAACCCACCCATAAGTTCCGCAACAATTCAATCATTTGTACTTGAATAACTTGTCACATTATGTTACTAGTTTGGTAAAGTAACATTACTTATTCCTGTTGACAGGCAAATCGTCGAAAAATGATTAATAATAATCTTACAAATTTTGACTTTACATAATAAGTTATTGTTCAAGTACAAATAGGTGGATTATTGTGGAAATTATGGGTGGACCTCTGTGGGACGAGCGCAGTGAACCATCTACTCACCAATATTCTGGTAAACTATTCAAATAAGACACTCACCTGAAACTTGTAGTTTTTGAACTAATGAGAATGACTGACATTTGAGTAAGTCAGGTTAGTATCGTACTTAAATAACGTATTATTGGAAAGATGACTGCGGAACTCGCTGCGCTCGTTCCGCAGAGGTCCACTCATAAATGCCGCAACAATTCACTCGTTTGTACTTGATTAACTTGTCACATTATGTTACTATTTTGATAAAGTAACATTACTACTTCCTGTTGAAAGGCAAATTGACAAAAAGTGAATAATATTACAAATTCTGAGTTTATATAATAAGTACCTACATACAATGTAACACAAATAGGTAAGCTTGTGGCGCAGTGGTGTGCTACGTAGGCTACGTATAGTAATTTTTCAGGATTGGTGCAATAGTAACTTTTAATCAGAAAGGCGTGATTTACATTACATACAAAATTCAGCCAATTCTTACATAAACACAATTTCCGTATACTTTGGGCAGGGTCCTTTAAAAAAACAATCAATGTTAATCTTGCAGGTCTGCCAGGTACAATGATTAATTGAAAACCTTAAAAATCTCATAGTTGAGTGGTATAGAGTACCTACCTAACCAAATTAACTGGCCTGCTTTACTACCGGGATTTGCAGAAGAGTGAACGACTTAACATAATTGCTTTGCTAAAGAAGAAATTAGAAGCTGAAAATTTAAAATTTTGATCATTAAGTACTGGCTTTTGAATTACCAGGAAATGTTTCCAAAGGAAATCAATAAGAGCCGGGAAAGATACTCATTCTGATTATCATCGGTTAGAACATTTTTCTGCTGAAAGTTATGATTATTACCGGCGCTTGAATCACTAGAAAACTTCTCCACAAGAAATCGAAAGCCGAAAATTTGAAATTTTGATCATTACTGCGGCTCTTGAATCACTAGGAAATGTTTCTAAAGGAAATCAAGAGCCCACTCGATTATTAAACTTTTGAATCAGTTAATTAAACATTCCTAATTGAATAAAAATCATGATTTTTTTCAGTGAAAAATGGGGTGCGAAAGCTGCGTCCTGAAAAGATGCTGCTGCTGCGGTTCTTTGAGAACAGGAGCCTTAGTTTCGGGGGCTAGCGCTATTGTAAGTACTAAAATACAACCAAATTAACTCAAGAAGTTAATTTTCTTAAATTTTATAGATCCTGTCAATAGTCACAATTATAATCATAGCCCTAGTAATGTGCGACATCCTCAACATCCAAATCAGAATGATTGTGCTCGACTCAATCTTACCAACACTTGCCAGTAAGTTCATTATTAAATAATCTCAATACACATAATAAACAAATTATTTTTAGTTCAAATTATCCTCATTATAAACTTCTGCTTTACCATAATACTCTCAATATGTTTGATCATTGGGATTCTAAAGGTAAAATAATCAAAATTATTATTTGACTTTTTGGTTGATATATATTTTTTTTTTATTTAGCGAAACTTCTACCTAATGATGCCCTGGGTTATTCTTGGTGGAATGCTCATTGTGGGCCTTCTAGTTTCAGTTTTGGTTACCTCAATTAACTTCTACACTGAAGGCACTCCAAATGGGAACTTCAATGGAACTTTGTGGTTGGTTTTGGGCCTGATAGTTTTCGGTAAGGAATTTTTAATTCACAAATATAAATAACTGATTACTTATTGGTTTTTTTAGTAATCTACACTTACATGTGGCTGGTGACGTTCAGCTTCTTCTACCAAGTTTGGCAAGAAGCTAAACGTGGAGCTTATACCAGAAATCCTTTCAGAAGAAGATATTGAATAATTGAAGATTGTGGAATTTAGAATTTTAAAAAGTTTATAGCCCAAAATAACTTGCCATATTATAGCAATATCATTATTTTTTCTTGTCCAAGTTTATTATATAGGGTGTCCGGAATAACTTGAAGTACATGGAGCAATGTGAATTACAAAATACATACGCACTTTTTTCTTTTTTGCCCCCCCTGTACTACAAGTTCTTCCGGACACCCTGTATAGAATTGAATTATTATGTTGATGTTGTGAATGTTTTTTTTTTAATAACTAATAAATTATTTTATCTACAACTATATTTGTCTACTAGTGCTGGGAATGGACTTTTTAACTTTCCCCAAGTGAATCTTGGGTCTAAAATTGTCAAAAATTATCTCCTTTGAACCAGTTTAGCTCAATTTCAATCCTAGAGTGATGAGCAATTCGCTTTAAGTTCTTAAAAAATCCGCACTCTCTGGTTTTTTTCCAATCAAATTTTAGTATGTTAAGGCTAAAAGGCTTCTAGATTTAAAAAAATTCTTCATTTTCCAAAGTTTTCCAGATTTTTTGGACTCTAGCTGCAAATTCCAAATTTCTGATAGATAGGTACTTACCTACTTTTGTAAGTGGTACTAGAAAAATTCCATATTTCCAGGAATATGATGTACTACAAGGATTTCAGAATATTTTGGGAGACTCCCAATCAATCAATCAATATTTTATCACCACCATCATTATTTATTTGAAGTTAGGTTGAAAAATCTCACAAATAATACAAATTCAATAGCAATCAATATCCTCAAGATAGTCTACATAAGTAAATTCATTGTGAACATTTGGATCACAAATGGTGCCTTTTATAGAATCTTCAGTATAGGCGGACATTACTCTAAAATTAATCCTACTAATATCTAAACCTTCAATAAGATAATAGGGGAGCCTATTGGTGACAACCCACATACTTTGCTCCTCCTCTTGATCCAATCTAAAAAAACAAACAATAATTCAAAATTCAATTACCTAATGATACAAGTCTACCTCATATCATTTGGAAACACCAAAGTCTGTTTGCTTCTGGCAACAACCCCCAAATTCTCCCTTTTATATGGCTTTCCCGAATCCCAACACCCTATAGAATCCCTGGTGACTAGATTAAAATACATTATTCCGTTTTTGTCCATAACGGAAGAAGACACGTGCCCTTGCGCTCCTCTGCTTTGCCCCATTATTGTAAAAGCATCCCTATTATCAGCAGCTTCGTTTCTCAAATAAGAAGTTCTAAGTGAAAATTCTCTAAAACTAGACATAGGGTGGAAGTACATGATTCTGTCATCAAAAGGTTTTTTTTGGGGACTTAGGGCCATACCAAAAACACCGTCCATCCATTCGAATTGAAGATGATGCAACCTATAGGAGGATGCTAAAGGATCAGGGTAGAATAAGTGATCCGTTACTCTCCAGGCTTGCTGGTCTGATAAACGGAATACGACTATTCCAAACCTATAAACAATCATAGTAAATTAATTATAGATTTCTTATTAGTTATAATTATTACCTCCAAACATCAGACATATAAGCATGAGCATCGTGGCAATATCCATCTCTTACATCTACAACGATGTTGGAATACAAGCTGTCCTCTTTGATGAACTCGTTGGCGAAAACGTACTTTGTTAGTAGTTGGTCGGTTTCCAAATCGAAAATTAATAGTTTTGGGGGACAGTGTTGTTTGGCTTCTTCAGTTGTGATTGAGACTTTGCCAGAGTCCATCACCCAGAGGCGACCGCACGAATCTGCTTGCATTCGGAAGACTGAAGTGATTAAATCACAACTTTCTGAAAAAAATAATAGTATCTAGATAGGTATCTATTATTATGAAATATGTATAATGCCTATATATTATCAAGATTTGATTTGTATTGCAATTTTGGTCAATTTGTCTAGTTTATTTCATATTAACCATATATTATTGTGGTGATGTAATTGTGTATATACCTATAAGCGGTGGAGAAAGTGTAATTACTATAATAGCATAGCAACTTTTACAGTAGGCAAGTACCTAGATGGTGAAAAACTATGTGAAGGAAACAAAAAAAGTGAACATTGAAGCTATTGATTCATCCATAAATAAATCGTAAGTTCTGAGAATTTTAAGGCTAGGTTTATACCAAATATTACACAACTTACTATACACCTAAATTGGATGACTCTTCCCAAACTAACCACCAGGACACAATTGTGTCGTCAGAAAGACGTCCAATTTTGGACCACCTTTGTCCAAAATAGAACGTCGTACTGATGACATGTTTTGAACGTCCAGCCGACGACAGTCTTAACGACGTCTTACTGACGTCCTTATTATGTCGCATCAGTTTTTCGATAGTTTGTTATTATATCCAAAAATGAAATCTAATTTTTGGCTCTGAGCATTTTTTGAAATCTTGACATGCTCATGACTAATTGCTCATATCTTCAATGACATTTGACAAAATTGATTACAATTATACATCATTGGAAAGGGTATTAAATTCCCTATAAAGCCTGCAAAATTGGATTTTGTCACTTGTGAAGTTTACAAGATATCAGGCTTTAAAGTTGAAATTTAGTCGACATTTTGTCCAAAACTTCAAACTCGATTTTCGCAAAAACCGTAAATGCTAGCGATTCCAACAAACCACCATTTTGAAGCTCTTATTGACAGCTACAATTCAAGATAATTTTGTCCTAGTACCGCTTGTGGTTACCGAGAGATACAGGTTTGGAGATTTTCAAATAAAAAACCAAAGGGGATAAGCTTAGGAAAAAGTGCAAAAAATTGAAAATTTGTATTTTTAGAATTTTCCTCAATTCTGACTTGTTAAATCGATAGAGCGAGTCCACATTAGTCAAAAATAACTCTCACATTAGGTAAAAAGAACTCTCACATTAGTTTCATTTGAAAATTTTGATGAGAAAAAAAGAAATCTCATTTTTGGTCCTGGGAATTTTTTTGAAATCTTGACATGCTCATGATTAATTGGTCATATCTTCAATGAAATTTGAGAAAATTGATTACAACTATACATCATTGGAAAGAGTATTAAATTCTCTATAAAGCCTGCAAAATTGGATTTTGTCACTTGTGAAGTTTCCAAGATATCAGGCTTCAAAGTTGAAATTTAGTCGACATTTTGTCCAAAACTTCAAACTCGATTTTATCAAAAACCGTAAATGCTAGCGATTCCAGCAAACCACCATTTTGATGCTCTTATTGATAGCTTCAATTCAAGATAATTTTGTCCTAGTACCGCTTGTGGTTACCGAGAGATACAGGTTTGGAGATTTTCAAATAAAAAACCAAAGGGGATAAGCTTAGGAAAAAGTGCAAAAAATTGAAAATTTTTATTTTTGAGTTTTTCTCAATTCTGACTTCAGAAATCGATAGAGCGAGTTCAAATTAGTCAGAAACATTCCTTATATCAGTTATATTTAAGAATTTCGACGAGAAAAAAAATCCAAAAGGAAATCTCATTTTTGACTCTGGAATTTTTTTTAAATCTTGATACGCTCATGAATAATTTCCCATATCTTCGATGACATCTGAGCAAATTATCTACAATCATATATCATTGGAAAGAGTATTAAATTCTCTTCAAAACCATGCTAAATTAGTTCCACTACCTTAAGGAGTTCGTGAGCTACAAACCTTCAAAGTTGGACTTTAGTCAAAATTTTGTCCAAAACCTCAAACTCAATTTTCTCAAAAACTATAAACGCTAGCGACTTCAGCTAAATACCGTCTGAAAGCCCTTATCAAGAGCTACAAACCCTGAAAATTTTGTCCCAGTACCCCTGTTGGTTACTGAGATATCGAGGTTTGAAGATTTGTAAATAAAAATCCTTAAGAAAAAGTGCAAAAAATTTAAATTTTTTATTTTTCAGTTTTTCCCAATTCTGACTTCAAAAATCGATAGAGCGAGTTCAAATTAGTCAGAAACAACTCTTACAACAGTTAGATTCAAAAATTTCGACCTGAAAAAAAAAAACCAAAAGGAAATCTCATTTTTGACTCAGGACATTTTTTAAAATCTTGACATGTTCATGAATAATTACTTATATCTTCAATGATATTTGAGCAAATTGGCTACAATCATGTATCATTGAAAAGAGCATTAAATTCTCTTTAAAACTGTGCTTAATTGGTTCCAGTACCTCAAGAAGTTCCTGAGCTACAAACCTTCAAAGTTGGACTTTAGTCCAAAACTTCAAACTCAATTTTCTCAAAAACTATAAGCGCTAGCGACTTCAGCTAAATACCATCTGAAAACCCTTATCAAGGATTGCAAACCCTGGAAATGTTGTTCCAGTACCCCTTCTGGTTACCGAGATATTGAGGTTTGAAGATTTGCAAATAAAAATCCAAAGGGGGTAACGTAAGGAAAAAGTGCAAAAAAATGGAATTTTTCATTTTTGGATTTTTCCCAATTCTGACTTCTTAAGTTGTGCCTTTCCAGTACCCATTAAGTTTTCTGATATAGACGTCCAAAACAGAAAGACGTCTTTATGTACATACATAGAAAAGTCATCTTTTGACCGAAAGTGATCGTCATTAGGACCTGATTAAGAAAGAAATGGATACCAGAAGTATTTTCAAATTGTAGTTTAAATGTAGAACCATTATTGCCTAATTTGACGAAAAGAGTTTTTAAGTGTCTTCCATGGTAAATAGATAAAAATCAGAGTCCAAATCATTATACAATGGTACAAGATAATATTCAGATTCATATTGTTATTACTATAATTTTTAGGTGTTTCCAAAGAGTAAATGAGTAAAATATTGAACTAATTCAAAAAATACATTAAAGCTAAAACTAGCTATACTTACTTTCCGAATGCCAGCCCCAATTTGGATAAGGCACCAACATAGGCGACTCCTTTTTGGGTACCCTAGGCAATTGAGCCAAAGTAACCGGTACTCCGGCTTTCCACTTGGGCATCGACAGAAATATTCTGTCTTTGTACACTTCTATGCCTAAAAAAAAACATTTCACAGAAAAGTCCATACTTATTAGACATTTTACCTAAAGGTAAATTATTCTCAGGTACAAAATCTCCTTTGGCTATGGCCTCGAACTTTTCCTCTTCGGTTGGATAGTAGAAATCCAAAGTTTTCCATCTGTACCAAGTCTTAAAAGGACCTGTGACTTCAAGAGGCTTTAGATTGTTCTCTTTTTCGTAAGTTTGATTTTTTGTCTTGGATTTACTAAGTAGGTATACAAAAAATTAATGTAAAGCCAGAAAAAATTAACGGTACTTGCCTGTTAAACTCCTCATCCTTGCTTAGTTTTATAGGAAAATGATTATTAAAATGTTTTTTCTCTTTTGGTTTTACCAGATTTAAGGTAAATAATAAAGGCAAGATGTTTGGTGCTAAAATAAATCACAATTAATCTTTTATAATGCACAATGCAAATTAATCACTTGTAGTGTGGTTGATGGGTGCGTGCAATGGTTCGTGAAGGAACGGCGAGTGCCAATTTTGAAACCAATTATCCAAAGCCATGTTTAATTAGCCATTATTGGTTACTGGTTTAAGTCTAGAAATTAAATAATCAATCAAGTTTAATGAATAGAAATAAAAGGAATTATCTAATATTAAAGCAGGTCAAACAAGAACTGCAACTTAAAAGTATCAAAAACCGTGAAACAACATTTTGTACACAACAAAGTTTAACTTTCTATGTTCCCTACTATAACATTTCTGGTGTAAATCCACTAGAATTATTCCAATAAAAGGAAATAGAAAAAATGTATTTACGTAAACAATAAGAACAAATAAAAACTATGTAATGACTTTGCAAGTTCAAATCTGTTTTTTTGCCCCATTGTTTTGTCATTTCTCAGACCAATTGGATAATTTATCGACCTTGTTCTTGATCCATCGTCGCTGGTGCGATTCCATTATAAACAAACCCCTTTTTAGTATAAAATCATAAATGAGAGCGAATTCACTTTTACTAGAAAGTTGTTCAAAATTAGATTAATATACCCATATATAAATATACTTAATTATTATTGTTCCTTTTGAAATACTGTTTTATTTGCGAAATATTCAATCAGACGACATTAAGTTCAATGTTCCAATTCGTCCATTGAATTGATCATTCCAGGAGCTTGAATTGGGTAAAGTCCACTTCCAATTTCCATATTGATCATTTGATTTGTTAAGAAACTCTAAATTGATATGACCTCTGCAAGATTTTGCAGTTTTCAGGTTAAAATTTAACTTTAAACCTTCCTATCTCAGTTTGAAGTCTCGAGGCAGACATAGATTGAATTCTTGAATTTTGAATCCTATCTACTTACTAATTTACCTACTCCTAGATTGAACTGAAATTTTAGATTGAATTCTCGTAGCTGGAATATTTCCAGAATTATCCTACCTATATCAGTTTGTTTCTAGATTGAAGTGGGATTCTACCTAGATTGAATTCTTGAATTTAGAATATTCTATCTTCCAATTTGTCCCTAGATTAAACTGGGATTTTAGATTGAATTCTCGTAGCTGGAATATTTTCTATATTTCCAGAATTATCCTACCTATATCAATTTGTTTCTACATAGATTGAATTGGAATTGAAGATTAAATTCTTGTATCAATCTGTTTCTAGATTGAATTCTTTAATTTAGAATATTATATCTATCAATTGGTGCCTAAATTAAACTGGGAAATTAGATGGAATTTTCGTAACTGGAATATTTCCAGAATTATCCTATACCTTCCTATATCAATTTGTTTCTAGATTAAATTGGGATTGAAAATTGAATTCTTGTATCAGTTTGTTTCTAGATTGAGATGGGATTCTAGATTGAATTCTTGAATTTTATCTATCAATTTATTCTTAGATTTTAACTAGATTCAATTCTCGTAGCTTGGTTATTCTCATATCAATTTGTTTCTAGATTGAAATGTCAACTGGGACTCAAAATTAATCTCTTGTATTTTTCTATAGAATTCTCGATGGAGTTTTTGTTTATCGAATTTTATCAGTTTGCGTGTAGCGAATAACTGGGATGCTAGATTGAATTAAATTATTGTATCTAGAATTAGGTATATAAATTTGTTTTTAGATTCAATGTAGATTTTTGAGGTATTCTCATAGTCAAGCTATTTGAATTGTAACAATGATAAATATACTAGTTTCAAGATGAATGGAATTCTCTCTGAGAAGGTATCTAGATTGCTCAGACAGTACAAAAAGTCTTATCGACGTCTTTTTCAGGTCTGCATTACGTCTGAAATCGAAAAAATATGTCTAGAAGATGTCTGCAGATGTCTTCAAGACATCTCGTTGGAGACGCCTTTGGAATGTCCTGAAGATTTTGTCGAGATAATTCAAAAACTGCACGTTTCAGGTGAGTGTTTTATTTAAAAAGTTCAAAAGTATATTGGTGAGTAGATAGTAGGTCCAGCCATCTATTCGTCAATATTTTGTTCAATTACGATATTAACCTGACTCACTCAAATGTGAGTTATTCTCATTAGTTTAAAAAGTACACGTTTCAGGTGAGTGTTTTATTTGAATAGTTCAACAGTAAACTGGTGAGTAGATGGCTGCGGAACTCGCTGCGCTCGTCCCGCAGAGGTCCACCCATAAATTCCACAACAATCCACTTATTTGTACTTGAACAATAACTTATATGAAGTCAAAATTTATAAGATTATGATTATTCACTTTTTGTCAATTTGCCTATTAACAGGAATTAATAATGTTACTTTACTAAAGTAGTAATATAATGTGACAAGTTAGTCAAGTATAAACGAGTGGATTGTTGCGGAACTTATGGGTGGACCTCTGCGGGACGAGCGCAGCGAGTTCCGCAGCCATCTATTCATCAATATGTTGTTTAATTACGATACTAACCTGACTCACTCAAATGTGAGTAATTTTCATTAATTTAAAAAGTACAAGTTTCAGGTGAGTGTTTTATTTCAATCAGAACCGTAACTAGACCTGTTTGCGCTTGTGACAGGTTATTAATTTGCGCCCCCGCCCCATATCCAATGTAAAAAAGTAAATCAAAAGAAATTAAACTGATATAAAAATTCCTGTTTCATTTGACATTGATAAAATATAACATTAAAAACTCAAAATTTGAAATCACTTAACATAACATATAGTCCAAGAGCCCAGAGCCACCAGACACAACTTATTTTCTAAAGGACAGAATATGTGTGATTGTGTAGCACTTATATGTACTATGAACGTATATGTATACCCTCTAAGTTGGGTAGACGGCCAATTTACCGACACCAGGTGCGAAAGCTTAAGAAGTACTTTAACTTTTTTTCTAACGCTTGATTTTTATACATGTTATTGGGGAGACTATTTCATAATTACGTGTGCTCAGCCAGACCAATCGCACCGGCCAAACATCCCCCCAGACGCAATAATAGTTTTTCCGTGAGTGTGAGCGCGAGGGTACTATGCATGCGTTTGAGAGTGAGCGAGATATCTATTTCCCCCTCTTAAACTTACAGTCTACTCCAGGCTAGAGTAGAAATGGGATTAGGTTTTTCCCATAATGGGAAAAACCGTTAAGTATTTACAAATAACAGTCAAATGGCCGTCTACCCAACTTAGCGAGTATACATACGTTCATAGTACCTATAAGTGCTACTCAATCCAACATATTCTGTCCTTTAGAAAATAAGTTGTGTATGGCGGCTCTGGGCTCTTGCACCAATATAGGTATTATGTAATAAGCAAAAAACAGGTAAAGGAACACGAAAAAGAGGATTATTGACTTTACCGGAATAACTTGAAGTAGGTATATGGAAATATTGGAAACCATTGAAGATACAGGGTGGACCAAATGGGGAAAAAGTTGCGTGTCAATCAAGTGCCTACAAATAAATCTGCCATCAACTTCCTTGAACTCGGAATAGCAACAGATGTGATATTCAAACCTACAGGGTAAAAAAAAGTGTGTATTATGTAATTTAAATTGCCCCATGTACTTCAAGATATTCCGGACACCCTGTATAAACTTAAGCTCACCAAAGGAACGTTCATACGTAGCAGGTAATCAATGGAAGGCTCAGAAATATTGTTGAAGCTGTCCATATGTTGAGATAAATATTTTCAAGAATAAAGTCATATATACATATTTTGCAACATTTGTAAAAGTCCCATATCGATAAAATTATCAAGCAGTTGTTCGCCTTGGGATTTCAAAAATTCTATTTTATTTCTAATTCAAGCTTTTTTCAAACCTAAGTGAGCATTCACACCAAAGTAGCATGCGACGTGCGACTTGCTGCTAGAAAGCAGAAAACAAGCAAACTATAAAAATATACGATACGCCACTCCGGTGTGAAACCTGCTATATACAATGTGTTAGAGGAGGAAAAGTGGCAATGACAAAGTGCCATTTATTTTGAAATATCTCTTCAAATAAAGTCAGGAAAAAATAAAATCGTTTTGGGCGAATTTTGGGTTTTTCTGGATATCTCCGGTATCACTCGGAATATTTCAAATATCAGTGCGGTATTTCAGTGAGCACAAAATTACGCAACTTTTACTTAATTTGAGCCACGTCGTATCTTCCACGGTTCTAAAATAAGTACGGGACGAGCGCAGCGAGTTCCGCAGCCATCTATTCATCAATATGTTGTTTAATTACGATACTAACCTGATTCACTCAAATGTGAGTAATTCTCATTAGTTTAAAAAGTACATGTTTCAGGTGAGTTTTTTATTTCAATAGTTCAACAGTAAACTGGTGAGTAGATGGCTGCGGAACTCGCTGCGCTCGTCCCGCAGAGGTCCTCCCATAAATTCCACAACAATCCACTTATTTGTACTTGAACAATAACTTACCTATATGGAGTCAAAATTTGTAAGATTATGATTATTCACTTTTTGTCAATTTGCCTATTAACAGGAATTAGTAATGTTACTTTACTAAAGTAGTAATATAATGTGACAAGTTTTTCAAGTATAAACGAGTGGATTGTTGCGGAACTTATGGGTAGACCTCTGCGGGACGAGCGCAGCGAGTTCCGCAGCCATCTATTCATCAATATGTTGTTTAATTACGATACTAACCTGATTCACTCAAATGTGAGTAATTCTCATTAGTTTAAAAAGTACATGTTTCAGGTGAGTTTTTTATTTCAATAGTTCAACAGTAAACTGGTGAGTAGATGGCTGCGGAACTCGCTGCGCTCGTCCCGCAGAGGTCCTCCCATAAATTCCACAACAATCCACTTATTTGTACTTGAACAATAACTTACCTATATGGAGTCAAAATTTGTAAGATTATGATTATTCACTTTTTGTCAATTTGCCTATTAACAGGAATTAGTAATGTTACTTTACTAAAGTAGTAATATAATGTGACAAGTTTTTCAAGTATAAACGAGTGGATTGTTGCGGAACTTATGGGTAGACCTCTGCGGGACGAGCGCAGCGAGTTCCGCAGCCATCTATTCATCAATATGTTGTTTAATTACGATACTAACCTGATTCACTCAAATGTGAGTAATTCTCATTAGTTTAAAAAGTACATGTTTCAGGTGAGTTTTTTATTTCAATAGTTCAACAGTAAACTGGTGAGTAGATGGCTGCGGAACTCGCTGCGCTCGTCCCGCAGAGGTCCTCCCATAAATTCCACAACAATCCACTTATTTGTACTTGAACAATAACTTACCTATATGGAGTCAAAATTTGTAAGATTATGATTATTCACTTTTTGTCAATTTGCCTATTAACAGGAATTAGTAATGTTACTTTACTAAAGAAGTAATATAATGTGACAAGTTTTTCAAGTATAAACGAGTGGATTGTTGCGGAACTTATGGGTAGACCTCTGCGGGACGAGCGTAGCGAGTTCCGCAGCCATTTATTCATCAATATGTTGTTTAATTACGATACTAACCTGACTCACTCAAATGTGAGTAATTCTCATTAGTTTAAAAAGTACACGTTTCAGGTGAGTGTTTTATTTCAATAGTTCAAAAGTAAACTGGTGAGTAGATGGCTGCGGTCCACCCATAAGTTCTGCAATAATCCATTTATTTGTACTTGAACAATAACTTATTATATAAAGTCAAAATTTGTAAGATTATCCACTTTTTGTCAATTTGCCTTTCAACAGGAATTAGTAATGTTATTTTACCAAACTAGTAATATAATGTGACAAGTTATTCAAGTACAAATGAATGGATTGTGCAAAACTTATGGGTGGACTCAGCCATCTATTCACCAATATGTTGTTCAAGTACAATACTTACCTGATTCACTTAGTTGTGAATATTTTTCATTAGTTCAAATAATGAACATCAAAATCTTCTAAGTATCTTAATTTTGAAGTCCCGAGACAAACAATCCTTTAGAATAAATTGCGTGTAGACACTATGCAGCTCAATGTTGAAGTTGACTTCAAATGAGCCTCTGACAGTAATCATTTGAAACTTGAAGCAAATATCGAGTGGAAACTTACTGTAAATAAGCCCTATGAAACTTGATTCTGCATTTGTGATCCCAAACTAGAGTTCAGAAACGAACTGTGAAACATTTAAACATTGAATTCTTGAGGCAAATATCAATGGAATTGTATATGGATTTGCAAAACCCTAGGACGCTTGATCTTGCAGTTATGAGGCCCAAGGCCCCTTTGAAGATGAAGTGAAGTTTGACTTTGTCAGACCCAAATTGACTTTAAATAAAACAAATTTTGATAAGCCAGTAAAAGATCACATCATGCTTCATGATTAATTGTTCTGAATAAGAGGTTCTTTAAAACTTGTTTCAAAACTCTTATTGGATTGTTTTGATCAAAACATCTTTTTGAGAACTTTGATCAAAACTCCTTTTAAAAAACTTTCATAAAAACTCCTTCCAAAAACAGTATATTTCTAAACAAAGTAAGCTCCTCAAGTAAACTCCTAAATAGTATATATTAACAATAACCCCTTAAAAACTTACCATATTTCTAGGAGAAAATTATCCAATCACAAATAAACTGAACGCATAAAGATTTCTCTCGTCACCTGCGGAAGTACCGTGACAGGTACCCAACGAATTCAAACTGACGCACACAATTTATCAACAAAAAGAATAAAAATTCTACCAAAACCTTGCGGTTTTCTTTTTTGCAGTTTGATTTCACACCTCAATGAACAACCAAAATCAATATAAATAATTTATTCTTGTATAAATCTATGGTTACTCTAATACATAATGCCTATTTTAGAATGGCCAACTTGTACCAACACTTATAAATAATATATGTAATGTCCTTATGTTAGGTGATTGACACAGTGGGGGCTTATTTGAAAGCGATTTTCTTTTACATACCATTTATGGGTCAAAAGGAAAAGAATAATTAAATTACCTATTGATTTGGATCTTTACCAATTATTTTTAACCTGATGTGCATTATTACAATTAATATTGAATTACCAAATAATTTATGCTAATTTTTATAAATATTTAATAATTTAGTCTGTTTCCATGTCCATAAAGTCCATAACCACCACCACCAACTTGATTATGGTGCTGTTGCTTTGGTCTACACTTGGTACCATAAAGAAGATCCTCTACATTTCCAGCTTGTATCCGAAAATTAGGCTCACGAGAATTCAACGAACCAGTGGCGACTTTTTGGAATCTCGACGTCAGTATCCAGAGTTCTTGTTGGCCTCTTTTATTACGAATGATCTATACATAATAAATTGATGTAAGATATATTTGAAATTTTGTATGTTTTTACCTTGATTCCACTAGGAAATTGTAGAGTAATTGGATCGCTGGCGACAATATCGAAATTTTTTGGTCCGTAATCGGTCCTAGCGTTCCAGCAGGCAATTTGGAAGTCTTTCATTAGACCAAAAAACATTACGCCGTCTTTGTCGATTGCTTCGGAGGCCACTTGGGTAGTTCTTTGGTTAGGGAATGTCTATGGAAAAACAGTTTTTGATGTTTTATAAGTATTTGAATTAGAAAAGCGTGGAAAATCAACTTGATATTTGCTTCAGGAGGTGAAAAATGATGACAGTTAGAGGCTCTTACAGTTCAATTTTCCTCTGGGTTTTAACAATTTTGAATTGAAATTGAGCTAATAGGTACCCATTTCTGACACTCATCATGCTGAATCTGAACTAGAAAAGTGGAGGAATTCAATTCCTGGCTCAACTATCTCGGACTATTATTGTATAGTTAAATTTCAGCTGAGACGGTTTATACAGTTTATTTCAACTCTATGTATATTCAACCTGGGAATTTTAAAGGGAAAATATCAAAATGTCTTACAGTTTATTTGAATTCAATTTTGGGTTCACAACTTCAAAATAATGCCCAAAAGGACCTTGCAGTATGTTTCAACTTGATATTTGCTTCAGGAGTTCAAAATGAGCCAGAGGCTCTTACAGTTCATTTAAAGTCAATGTTTTTTCTGGGTATTAACAATTTTCGATTGGAATTGAACTAATAAGGACCCATTCCGTCCTCGAACTCCATACACTAAATTATTCCTAGATTTGGAGCTGGGATTGACACCCATTACCCACGAATTCTCTTAACGTGATTTTTTCTCGGAACCTATATAAGTCCAGGAATTGTAGTCCCCTACTGGGGTAAGAATCGCTGAAAATTTCAGCTTTCTATATATAATAGAGAAAAAGTTATGACTTTTCAAAGTTTTAAAAAATCTAAATCATAAGGTAGCTTTCTTACTAAAACGATGAAATTTCAAATTTTTTTTTGTCAAGATTTTGTATCCTAATGGTCAATCAACATCCCCCAGACTCCATACACTAAATTATTCCCAGATTTGACGCCGAAGTCTATGAAAAAAGGCACTCAGAAAAATTGAAAAATTGATAAATCACCCCAAATTGCTTAACAAGATTTTATCTCGGGAACTATAAGTGCAAATGAGCTGAAATTTTCAGGGATTGTAGTCCCTTGATTGGGATAAAATTCAGTGAAAGTTTCAGCTTTCTATCTATAATAGAAAAAAAGTTATGACCTTCCAAAGTTTTCCAAAATCTAAATCATAAGGTTACTACTTTTAATAAAACGATGAAATTTCAATTTTTTTTTTTGTTGAGATTTTGTGTTCCTATGGTCCATGGGAATTCCCCGCTGATACTCATCAAGCTGAATCTGTACTAGTGTGGATATTCAATTTCTGGCTTTTCTAGAGAAGCAGCAAACTGATTTATTATTATGAAGCTCATTGTTACCCCTCCTTGAAGAGATTACAAGTAAAAAGACATATAAATTCCTATTCCTTCGGCTCTTCTAAAGCAGTAAGCTCTGGTTTTTGATCATTTCAAGTTGAAATTGGGAGCTAAAAGTCCTATTTTTGACTCTCATAATATAAGAAAAGGGCGGATATTCCATTCTTAGCTCTTCTCCAAAGATAAAACTGTAATTTTTGACTATTTTATAATGAAACTTTGACTGAGACAGTCATTTACCTGAAATATTTGCGGCGCAGCCGAAGGATCATGCTCAAAAATGGTCCGATTCCTCAAATACGAAGTATAAACGTAATTTTCCGTTGGGCTCGACATTGCATGGTAAAACAACACTCTATCATCTCCAGGTATATGAGGCGACAACGAAAGTCCCAGAATACCATCCATAAGCTCGAAACTTTCCCCTACAAGTTACCAATTACAATTTTTTCCAAAAGAAAAAATAACTTCACCTGCAATGTTGTAAGTGCCATAATTTGGATAAGGATAAAACGTTTTGTCCTGGACCCTCCAGGATCTACCATTGGCTACGTCATGTACTAAAAGCGAAAATCCTACGACATCGGCACTGTAGACAAAAGTGTCTCTACAGCCTGAATTAGGATCTCGTACGTCTACTTCTGGAGTCACTAAAAGATGCTGGATTGGGAGGATGTCTGCTGGAAATTCGTGTCTGTGGACCAATTGGTTCTAGAAATAGATTTTCTTTGAAAAAATTTTAAAAAACAATCAAGAATAATATTAGATAATCATATATTTCAAATCAAATTTTCTGGAAATTGATGTAGTTTCCAACTAACAAATACTTACAGTGTTCAAATCAAAAGCTAACAATTGTGGAGAGCAGAGTTGCTTTTCACCAATTTTTCCAGTGTCCAGGACCCATAATCTTCCACACTCGTCAACCTGCATTATTAGAAAAATAAATTCCAAATCACTAATTGTAGGAATTATTACCTTTACTCTAAAAACAGAGACGATCCTGTCCCTGTGGCACTCCTCAGACCTCCTATGCCAACTCCAATTAGGATAAGGCTTGATAACAGGATTGCCATCAGATTGTTTACTGGTCACTGTACCCAAAGTGGCCGGTATTCCTTCCACGAATCTCGGTATTGTAACGAAAACTTCATTGTTGCTACTATTAGCTAAACAATTATAGAAATAATTACAACAAAATAATATTTATTATTGATAGAATTATTACGCGAATAAAAAACATCTACATCGATTGGTGCAATGGTTCCAGGCGTGAACAAGCCAATGTCAATGTCATGCTGCCTGTCCTGCAAAGTTGCATAATCGAATTCCAATTGGTTCCATTGGGAGATCAGTCTGAGGTTGGGGGATGCTGATTGGATTGGTGCTGGTATGGTTGTGGTGCAAATGCCCAGCACGAAACACAACCATTGGGTACCTGATGGAATAAAATTGTGTTTGTGACAATAATAGGAAGGTTATTTATAAATTGTTTGTCCAATTGTGTATTGGAGAGCACTACTACTAACTAGAAGGGACAATAATATAGGTATCATATTGTCAACTAGGTACTTAAGTAAATACCACTCTGTACATCAATTTTATCAAAGTGTGTCGACGAGTCAGCATTTATTTGGTATAAATACCGCGCCGAAATCCATTACTGGCAGACTAAGGCTAGTGCAAAGTTCCTCAAATGGGAAAACTCCCTCTAGTTAAGTCTTCTCCCAGTGTAAACTACCTTTAATGGGAAATGCCCTTCTGGGAGTATTGAACGCAGCAGACTAGTCTTCTGGATCTGTCTCAAACCAAGCTACTTCTGGGAGTATTGAACGCAGCAGACTAGGTCCCGTGCAAAATACCTTTATTGGGAAACGCCCTTCTGCACCTGTTTCAAACCCAGTTTCAGTCTTCCAGTCACGCCAATTGTACAGAGGGTCCATAATTAATACAGAGTGGCCCTTAAGTAGTACGTCCCTCCGTAAAAGAGACGTCATGATACTATTTCTAGGGTAATAATAGGTCTGTTTCTGCAGAAATCACAAACCAGTGAGAGTGAATTTCATTGGTTGAAACTAGTTTTCTGACTGTTTTCAACCAATGAAATTCGCTCTGACTGGTTTGTGATTTCTGCAGAAACAGACCCAATATTATTATTCACATTATCTTATTATACCTATAGCAAGCGAGTTTCTCTCTACCTGAACCCCACCTACGCCCCCAGGTCACGCTCCTGTTGTGACGTCCCAGAACGAAACGTATTGTCCGTCTATTTTATTCTGATACTCGGACGGAATGTGAGCTGGTGGCTCCCTACATTAGAACGCCAATGGTTACCTGACGTCACACCTGTTTTTGCCATATGAAACACCCCCTCGCTCCTCATACGGAAAGTGTCAGTTAAAGATCGACGAACAATATAGGGGTTGTGACAATATCATATTATAAAAGGTAAAAATGAAGTTTTTTAGTATTTCAGAGAATATATGAATATGGTTCGAACAAAATTTAATATTAAAGTTTCAAGTCTTAGGAGCGACAATGAAAAAAGAGTATAAATTTGGTGAAAGTAGAAAAAGTTATCTTAAGATCAAATATGTAGCAACACGTCCTGAGTAAAAGTGTAGCAACACTCTTTTTTGTGTAGCAACAAGTTATTTGTGGGATAGTATTTGCTCAGGGCAAGAGTTTGTTGTTTCTTATGTAACAACACGAAAAAAAAGTGTAGCAACATAATCGGTGGGAGTAGTTTTCAGTAGGTTAGAGCAAGGTTTCAATGAACTTATGTAGCAACATTTTTTAAAAGAAAAAGTGTAGTAACACGAGCAAAAGTGTAGCAACAAGTCGTTTTGGGGGTATATATTTTTTTGTGTTTATATAGGGTGAGATTTTATGTAGCAACATTTGGTAAAAAAAATTCGGGTTTAGAATTCGAATTTCGCATTTTCCCGGCTTTTCATTGGTTTGGGGATTTGAATTTTGATTATTCCCGGCTTTTGATTAGTTTAGGAATTCAATTTTTAATCATTCCCTGGTGTTGATTGGCTTAGAAATTCAAATTTTGAATATTCCCGGCTCTTGATTGGCTTCAAATTTTGATTATTCCCGGATCTTGATTGGTTTTGAAATGTAAATTTTAAATATTCCAGGCTCTTTATTAGCTTCCAAAATCAATTTTTGAATTTTACTGATTCTTGATTGGGTTCAAAATTCAAATTTTGAATGTTCCTGGCTCTTGATCGGTTCTGGAATTCAAATTTTGAATATTCCAGGCTCATGATTGGTTCAGAAATTGAATTTTTCATTATTCCCGGCTTTTGATTGGCTTCAAATTTTGAATATTCCCGACTCTTGATTGGATTAAAAATTCAAATTTTGAATATTCCTGGCTCTTGATTGGGTTTAAAATTCAAATTTTAATTATTCCTGGCTTTTGATTGGCTCTGAAATTCAAATTTTAAATATTCCAAGAGCCGAGAATATTCAAAATATAAAGCCAATCAAAAGCCGAGAAAATTCAAAAATTGACTTTGGAAGCCAATCAAGAGCCGGGAATATTCAAAATTTGAATTTCTAAGCCAATCAAGAACCAGGAATAATCAAAGTTTGAATTTTAAACTCAATCAGGAGGTGAGAAAATTCAAAAATTGACTTTGGAATCCAATCAAGAGCCGGAATATTCAAAATTTTAATTTTTAATCCAATAATAAGCCGGGAATATTCAAAATTTGAAGCCAATCAAAAGCCGGGAATAATCAAAAATTTAATTTTTAAACCAATCATGAGCCAATCCAAAATTTGAATTTCAGAGCCAATCAAGAGCCAGAAATATTCAAAATTTGAATTTTATACCCAATCAGGAGCCGGGAAAATTCAAAAATTGAATTTCAGAGCCAATCACAAGGGCCAGGAATAATCAAAATTTGAATTTTAAACCCAATCAAGAGTGGGGAAAATTCAAAAATTGTTTTTGGAAGCCAATCAAGGGCTGGGGATTTTTAAAATTTAAATTTCTAAGCCAATCAAGGGCCGGGAATATTTAAAATTTGAAGCCAATCAAGAGCCAATAATTTTCAAAAATTCAATTTCTAAACCAATCATGAGACAGGAATATTCAGAATTTGAATTTTAGAGTCAATCAAAATCCAGGAATAATTGAAATTTAAATTTTAAACCCAATCAAGAGCCGGGAATATTGGAAAATTGATTTTGGAAGCCAATCAAGAGCCAAGAATATTTAAAATTTGAATTTCTAAGCCAATCAAGAGTCGAGACTATTCAAAATTTGAAGCCAATCATGAGCCGGGAATAATCGAAAATTCAATTTCTAAACCAATCAGGAGTCGCGAATATTCAAAGTTTGAATTCCAGGGCCAATCAAGAGTCAGGAATAATCGAAATTTGAATTCTAAACCCAATTAAGAGCTGGGAAAATTTGAAATTCGATGCCAATCAAGACCGGGAATAATTAAAAATTGAATTTCTATAAACCAATCAAGATCCAGGAACAATTAAAAATTCGATTTTTAACCCAATTAAAAGCCATTCGATTTTTAACCCAATCAAGAATTGGGAAAAATTAAAAAATCAATTTTAAAACCAATCAAGAGCCGGGAAAAGTTAAAAATTGAATTCCTAATCCAATAAAAAACTGGGAAAATTCAAAAATAAGCTAATCAAGAGCCGGGAATAATCAAAAATTTACTTTCTAAACCAATCATGAGCTGGGAATATTCAAAATTTGAATTTTAGAGCCAATCAAAAACCAAGTATAATCAAAATTTGAATTATTCTCATCTTCTCTTATACGTTGCGTTTCCAGTAACATATTTGACGCAAATAAATCTAATGTGCGCATGCTTTACTTATGTTACGTCTTTACGGTTACGTTACGTCCATTGTCAAATCGGCATTAGTTATTACTAAAATAACTTTAACAACATAAATCAGTACTTATAGATAAAAAGAAAACCTACAAACACAGCTACAATATCAATACAACACTTTTTGAGGTTAAAAAACGTTTTATCCGTATTCGTGTCTTTTTCTACCAGCTTGTATAAGAAAGAGATGAAAAGACATTTGTTCTGCACTTACTTCAATTTTTGTCTATTACTGGCTCTTGAATCTTTTCTAAATATGGAATAGAAACATTTCTTAAAGTGGTAACGCTGGTTTATCGATGTCGATGTAGAAACACGACAGTTTGACAAGCAACAAAGTAGGCTTTGGTAAATTTCAAAGTTTGAATTTGGCGGCCAACCTATAGGCACCTGTATACGCTTTAAGTATGTGGAATAGTTTAGAAGAGAGATATGGAAATAAGGGCATTCTGGGCGAGTTGATTCTTAGAAAGAAATAAATGACGATGAAGCTTCAGGATGGTAGTAAACTGAAAGAATTTTTGGCTGAATATGATAAAGTTATATGGCAGTCAAATACAACAGGGGCAGATCTGAAAGAACAGGATATAGTTTATACTTTTTCCTACGAGCGTGCGCAAAGTAGTACTTTTCCGCACGCATTACCGTTCTCAAAGTAGTACTTTTCCGCACTCAGTGCGGATACGGGCCTTATCCGCACTGAGTGCCGAAAAGTATAAATAATTGTCAAGCAACAATAAGTGCACCTGTCGACTTTGACACATCATGACAAATTTTTCCTCTGTTTCTATATCAGCCAACATCTATACAAACACTGAATATAATTAACTTTGACACATTGTCAGATTTGTGTTCTCCACATGCAAGAATCTACAAACTTCTTTCCCATCAAATTTAAACGCTTTAAGATGAACAGCTCTGACCCAGGATTTCAATTTCCTGTTTTTTTGTTATGTAATTTTTTGATGAATGAATAGGTTCGCTACAAGATAATTGAAAATAATTGAACAAAATATCGTTTTTTTTTAAAATTTTTGTTGTTAACACCTGATATGTGGCTCGTAGGAAAAATTTTGTTCCTAACACGTGCGCAAAGTGTCTTTTCCGCACGCAAACACTCATCCGAACTCCGCTTCGCGTCGTTCGTATAACTGTGTTTGCGTGCGGAAAAGTAACACTTTGCGCACTTGTTAGGAAAATAACTATATTGCTTGCTATGCCCAAAATGTTCGAAACTGAGTCATAACTATATTGGAAAATGTATAACAAGATTTCACAATGAGTTAAGTTGAGAGCCTAAGCTGGAAGAAGAAAAGTTAGTAGTGGAGGTATACCAATGACAGACAAGACAATGTCAGGAGAAGGTATGTTATTCCTGTGGTTGAAGGGGTCCTTATAAGAAAGACTATATAGAAATCAAAGACCTGTATATAATCCTAATCTTTTCAGAGGACACAGAAGTTTAAGTGGAGGTGGTGAACAAGGTGGTTTTGACAAAGGTCGGGGATTTGGAGATTTTAGAAGAAATTTTCGAGGAAATGGTTACAGAGGAGTGGAATATGTATATGGGAACTGTTTGCAAGCTAAGAAAGTCCTTGTATAGGCTCAAGAGCTCTCCAAAAAATTAGAATAACAAATTTCATCTAGAAATATGCAAATTTTCATCATGTCCAGTTGAAAAGAGGTAAATCAGAAAGCCCAGATATAGAAAAAAAAAATGTCTGACTATTGGATGTCTAATGTAGGTATGCTATGTTGTGCCAGATTTGTGTAGTGCTATAGGCATATTGATCAGATTTGTGTCAAGAGATTAAGCATGTACTAAGATATGGTCAGGGCACGTTGGATATGAGCTTGGTATATCTACTTCAAAAACGAAAGTCAGATCATTATTACTGGTTTTTTGGATTCAGACTGGGCAGGTCACTGCATTGACCAAAAGTCCACCTCGGGTTATATTTTAAAAGTTTTACAGTTACATAGTTTCTTTGACTTCTTGGAAACAGTCAACTGTCAGTTTTTAATCCACAGAAGCTGAATATATATAGCTTTGAGTTTGTATGTAGAGTTGGCTAAGAACAATTTTGACTTACGTGTTAATGGTGGTTCCCCATCAAACCTCTGAGGCAAATCGTAAACCCTTTCCCGATGATAAAATCTATAGTCCGAATTATAAGCTCTACTACCAATTATGATTAGACACAACACTGGCAAACACTTTTTTATCATGATTAGCTGAAAAATACTTTTATTGCATAGTCTTGTTTACTTAAGTGCGAATAAATTGAGAGTGATATAGGAAGAATACATAAATCTAATTGTTTATGTTAATTATTAAATGAAGGATGAAGGCACGTATATATGTGTGACTCTGAATACCTACTAAGAGATTATTTTGTTTTAAATATTTGGGGCTTGGGTGTTTTGTACAGTAATAGAAAATACCTTGTCAAAGTGATTACGAAATTGGTTCACCAAATTCTATGGTGCTAATTGAATTGTGAAATTGTTGATAATTAATAAATCAGTGGGATTTTCTTTTGATAGTTTGAAACAACATATTGATAATTATTAGCAATAGATAAATATTTATGAGAGAAGGGCACAAATTATTAATAAGTATCTCATCATCATGATTGAGATTTATTCGAAAAATGTAGGCAGTAAAAGGAAATTATCATTTTCCTTAAAGCATAATTTTTATACCATGAAAAAACAATGTCACGGATAATTTTTATGTCCGTGACCTCACATCAGTTTTGTGGTGAAAAAACAATAAATTTGAAAGTTAAATAATAACGACCAGGAAAACCACAAAACACGTGAATTTCCGCAACATATAATATCTATCTGAAATATAATTTTTTGGAAATTACAGGTTTTTTGATAGACGACTCTGGATTTTTCTGATGTTTAACAACGTAAAATCATTATATTATCAAAGATTTTTGAGATAATCAATACTTGGTGATAGTCCAAATTTCGACTATTACTGGAAAAAGTGAAAGTTTTGTCTCATTTAAATAATCCAGATTTTTTGTTCAATTTTCTACTATCCATGCAAGTTGCACCCCAAATTATAAAATAAAATTCAAAAAAAAAGGGAAACACCATTAAAAATGAAACACAATTTAAAAAAATCGCACTGCCAAGAAGCACAACACACTAATTATAACAATACAAAGTAAAACAATTTGTTAAATAAATAAGAAAAATTAGTCTAAGGTAGAGGTAGGTATCTGATACTTCTATCCGGTATTCCCTTACCCATTCTCAACTTAAAATGGGGTCAGTGAACATGGTAAGCCAACCCCACGTTCTGGTTGGTTGATAAAAACAAAGCACCTTATTATTTTGGTAAATAATATGTGGGCGGTATCCGAAAACTTAATCTAAAGTCAAGGACTTGCTTATGGCTTAGTAAAACGATTATTTTACAGGAAACAAGTTTACCTAAAATTTAAATGTCAATGATTGTAGCTTATGTACCTAAGTAAAAATAAATATTCCTTGTTCTACACAATGTATGTATAAATGATGTTTCATTTTTTTTTAGAAATTTTGAGCTTTATTTCTATTGACGTTGAAAAATTAAAAGTAGTTGGAAAACGAAGAGATAATAAGGTAAATCGAAGATTTTAGGAAACTTTTACAGATTTTTTTGAACAGGCATTGAGGATTTTTGATATAGAAAATCAATTGTGAGAAACTGTAACAAATGTTGAAAGTTTCAAGGAGATTTTACAAAAGGGTTAAAACTTCAAAGACTTGTGAAGATTTTTTGCAACATGAAATATTGAAAATTGAAAAATATGAGTGCTGCCGTTTAGCAGGGTTTTGACAGATGTCAAAATGGTTGACATTTTTCGATTTTCCTTGATTGACTTATTGGGAATCGATACTTGCTTCATCAAAATCTGCCATAATTACCCTGCTTTTGAATAATAGATTCCAATATTTGACAGCTGATACCGTCTCACCTGTCATATATACCAGGTTACGCCCATGGTAAAAAATTTTGCTTACGGCATTTCCAATAACAAATTTAAATTTTATCCAAATATCACGGGTCACCAATTTCCGTTTAAATATTGCGGGGTTCTTTTTCGATACCGTGGGAAAATCTCTAGATCGGCGGCGCCTTTGGTCTGAAATTTCGGAGATTTGACCCGGACCAACCCCAAATTTTTCGACGTCATGATGTTATCCTATTACAGCATGCTGTAATGGTTAATTGGGAAAATTCATGCCGCCCACGTTTAATGTGGAAATAAACAGGGGTATCATGTTTCACGTTTATTTTTACTTATAACTGATAAGCGTTTCCATTCTAGCAAAAACAACAAGCTCAGACTTGCATTTATATTTTATCGATGATAAACATGCATGTATTTTTTCACTACCGAGTGGAGAATTTCCCTGATAACATAACCTGAAATTTTAAAGATTTTCGGATACTGCCCATGAGCTGGATCTATAGAGATTAATTTAATTCCTTAAGATTTCCCATTATTTTTCCAAGGTTTCCCCCGAATTCCATAAAAATTTCCTCGATTTCCCTTGATTACCTTGAATTTGCTCTTGATTTCCCCTAATTTGTACACCAGATTTTCTTTGCGTTTTACCCCTGAGGGGTAACCATGGATTATTTCCCCAGTTTTTCTCTGATACAAATAAGATTGCCCAAGAGTTCTCATAATAACATAACTTCAAATTATAATGATATTCGAAAACTGTGCATGCGCTCGATCTAGAGATTGATTGATTTCCTTAAAATTTTCCCTGAATTCTTTAAGAATTTCCTTCATATTCCCTGATTGCCCTAGATTTTCTCTTGATTTCCCCTAGTTTGTAGACCAGATTTTCCATGAATTTATTTCCCCAGATTTCTTTTGACTACCAATAAGATTGCCCAAAAGTTTCCCTAATAACATAATCTCAAATTAGAAAGATTTTTGAAAACTGCGCATGCGCTGGATCTAGAAATTGACTAATTTCCTCAAGATTTTCCATAATTTCCTGAAAATTTCGTCCGTTATAATTTACTCATAATTTTCCCTGATTACCTTAGATTTCCTCGGATTTCTTCTTGATTTCTCCTAATTTGTACATTAAATTTCCCTTGCGGTTTACCCCTGAGGAGTACCTCGCAGGTCAGTTTTTGTACACCAGATTCCGGTTTTAGAGGAAACCAATAATTATTTCCCCAGATTTCTTTTGACTACCAGTAAGATTGCCCAAGAGTTTCCCTAAAGGAGGATATTTGAAGCAAATTAAGACAAAAAGACATAATTTTTCTATTCCAGGCTCTAATATTTTGTCTATTTTTTCTGAATTTTCTTTATTTGAACAAGCTCAGAAGATATTGAAGATTCAAGAGCCAGGAATTGACAAAAATTGAGACAAAGAAATTGAGAAATGAAGAGGACATTTGAGGCATTTGACATTTGTTGGACAAAAAGATGTATAGTTTTTCTATTCCTGGTTCTCATATTTTGTCTGTTTTTCTAAATTTTCTTGATTTAAAGGAGTTTAGAAAATATTGAAGATTCAAGAGCTAGGAATAGACAAAAATTGAGACAAAGCAATTGAGAAATACCCAAATGGCACAAAACATATTGCAGGAATATTCATGGCATATTTCATGGGAATATAAAGATATCCGATGCATATGCCATGAAGATCTTTTCATGTGACAGGAATATCCAAGGCATATGCTTAAGTCATCAGTAATGGGGGCACCTGAGCCTGAGGAAGGACCCCGCAAATATTTAAACGGAAATTGGTTACCCGTGATATTTGGAGTGGCAACCTTGTATATATGACAGGTGAGGCGGTATCGGCTGTCAAATATTGGAATTTCATATTCAAAAGCAGTCAGATTTTGATGAAGCAAGTATAGATTCCTAGTAAGTCGAACAAGGTTTATCGAAAAATGTCAATCATTTTGACATTTGTCAAAACCCTGCCAAACAGCGGCACTCATATTTTTCAGTTTTCAATATTTTATGATGTGTCATTTGACAGTTTTAGTCTATGTCAATTCTGAGTTGAAAACTTGGAAAAAAAATTACAACTGAGAGTTTACATAGGTTGAAACTGTCAAATGACACAACATGAAATATCGAAAACTGAAAAATATGAGTGCTGCCGTTTAGCAGGGTTTTGACAGATGTCAAAATGGTTGACATTTTTCGATTTTCCTTAGTTGACTTATTGGGAATCGATACTTGCTTCATCAAAATCTGCCATAGTTACCCTGCTTTTGAATATTAGATTCCAATATTTGACAGCTAATACCACCTCACCTGTCATATATACAAGGTGACGCCCATGGTAAAAAATTTTGCTTACGGCATTTCCAATAACATATTTAAATTTTATCCAAATATCACGGGTAACCAATTTCCGTTTAAATATTGCGGGGTCCTTTGAAAATTGAAAGACTAGGAGAACCTTTTACAGACGTTAGACAATCAGAATCATTATAACCAAGGACTTTCTACAGTAGAGGGTTAGATTTTCAAAGACTCTGATAAGATTTCTTACCGAAAAATGGAAGATCAAAGACAGAGAAATACCTGTGAGAAATTCAATAACCGAAATACTTTAATAAGAAACTTGTACAGTCATTATAGACATTGAAAAATCAAAGACAAAATAGCCTTCAAAGATATTGCAGACTTTGAAGATCTTCCACAGAATTAAAACCTAAATGACAAGAACAGTTTTAGAATTTGAAAATTGAAAGACTAGGAGAACCTTTTTCTCAACTTGTTACATGAGTTCAAAATTTATCAAGTACAAATGAGTAGATTAATGCGGAATTTATGGGTGGACCTCTGCGGGACGAGCGTAGCGAGTTCCGCAGCCATCTACTCATCAATATGCTGTTCAAGTGCGATACTAATCTGAATCACTCATTTGTGAGTTTTTATAACTGATGTAAAAACTACACGTTCCAAGTGAGTGTCTTACTTGAACAGTTCAATAGTATATTGGTAAGTAGATGGCTGCGGAACTGGCTGCGCTCGTCCCGCAGAGGTCCACCCATGAATTCTGCATTAACCTACTCATTTGTAGTTGAAATACTTGTTACATAAATTAAATTCAAAATTTATCAAGTACAAATGAGTGGATTGTTGCGGAATTCATGGGTGGACCTCTGCGGGACGAGCGCAGCGAGTTCCGCAGCCATCTACTTATCAATATGCTGTTCAAGTACGATACTAATCTGAATCACTCATTTATGAGTTTTTATTACTGATGTAAAAACTATACGTTCCAAGTGAGTGCCTTACTTGAACAGTTCAATAGTATATTGGTAAGTAGATGGCTGCGGAACTCGCTGCGCTCGTCCCGCAGAGGTCCACCTATGAATTTTGCAGTAACCTACTTATTTGTAGTTGAACAACTTGGGCTTTTACAGACGTTAGACAATCAGAATCACTAATATTCTAATAAGGATCTTCTTCAGGGTTAGATTTTCAAAGACTCTGATAAGCTTTCTTAACGAAAGGTGGAAGATCAAAAACAGAGAAATACCTGTAAGAAATTGAAAAATTCAATTACTGAAATACAGACAAAATAGCCTTCAAAGATTTTAAAGATGTTTCACAGAATAAAAACTTAAATCACAGAATCTGAGGATTTTAAAGAGAAATAGGTATCAAAAACCAGAAAAGTTTGAGAATTTGAAAGATTGAAAAACTAGGATAACCTTTTACAGACATTAGAAAATCAAAGATATTAAATTTGTAAAGACCTTCTACAGAATTACATCTTCAAAGACAATGAAGGTATTTTCTCAATTTCAATCTATAATTCCTGTAATTTAAGTTACCTTTTGACTTCTTCTAATCCCTTATCATCTTGCATAATTGCACATAAATTCAATCAATTAAAACCTTTATAAGTAAGTATAATTCATTACTTACTCTTCATTTTCACTAAAATTCAACACAAAATCCAAATTTGTAGTATTATCTAATGTCAACAAGCGATATTGGTAAAATCAACTGACCACGACCGTGATAATTTTAACAATATGATGACCCAATACCTACAGAGAGAATCTCACTTCAAATATTTTGTCAATTGGGATTTTGTAGTTTGTTTATTTCAGCTAATAATTACATTGAATCATCAATCGATTCACAAATACAAAAGTCCCGGTATTCTTGCCTCTGCGTCTTTTACGACTGGTTTTACCTTTACATTTTAACCGGCTTTTTATCTATACGAATAATTTTTCTTGATAAGAAATAAAACACAAGCCATTTACAAAACCTAATTATATTTACAAAAATAATAAATATACAATGTGTTTCGTTGTTGGATTGAATTTCAGGCCAATTTTAACAAAAATCAAAACGAGGTAGATCAAAATCCTTATACAATTAAACTGGGCCTTATTATTTTATTTTATACAATCTTCAAATTTTACTTTTTATAATAAATATTATTGTTTGGATTGTGGTAGAGGGAGCTTCTAAGTGGCACCCTAATGATTCTAAGATTAATTTCGTTTGGAGTCACTGTCCGTTTGAAGAACTTTTGAAATCTGGTGCTCAGAAACCAAAGACCGTCTTCTTTCCATCTTAATTCTGAGGCGAATTGGATTAAGTTGGGATTATAGGCTAACAAGCTACAACATTAGAATTATTATTATTGGGAAATCGAGTATGCACAAATACTGACCTTTGTTTGTTGGTTAAAGGATTCCAAGAAGCCAAAGAAGTTTCAGTCAAAGGGCTAAAATACAATGTATCATCTTTAGGATTTAAGGCTAATCCTAAACCTTGTGACGATTTTCTTCCTGCTAGAGCCACAGGAATATCTTCGAATTCTCCTGGAGGTCCTTTGGTGAGAGTAGCAGTTGGTATGCTAAAAATCCTATCAGTGGCCAAAGGTTGGAAGAATACAGTGGCCATTTTCGGTGAATGGGCCAAACCTACAACACCGTCTGGCAAGGTGAAGGTTTCATCGTTGATTGTGTAAGTTGCGAAGTTCGGGTCTGGAAACATGCTGGGGTGGGTCACTCTCCAAGTTCTGTCTCTGAGGGCATCATAGACGACTAAACCTAGAAGAAAAGGTCAATACTTAGTGTTTTCACATAAGGAAAAAGTGGTTGAAATGTGAAAATAAAAGAAAAAGTCTCGGTGAGAAATATTCATAGAAAACATTTACGGAAATATCGTGTTTATACAAGATTTAACTCAAATGATACATCGACTGCAACGTGTTCTTCTTCTCAAAACTAGTCAAAACCATCGTTCCAAAAATTAGTTTTGTGCACTTTTAAAGCTGATTTTCACTGGTTTCAGGGAAACTACCTCCTAAGGATAGATACTGGAAGTTGATAAAGGCGACCAAACACCGAAAACTGCGTAAAGAACAAAGCTAGCATGAGCAGATTGAGGTAAGCTCTATAGATTCAAAAGATTTCACTTTTACTGGAAAGCAAGAACTTTCAACTAATTATACATAATTAAATTTGAACTATTCCTGGCTCTTGATTGCATTAAGAGAAATTGTGGAACCCAGGGCCGCAACTAAAATCCTCAGTGCCTCGCTTACTACTAATTCTACCACTGTGTAGAGATACCGGGTGATCAATATTTCATTTTCCCCGGCTCTTAATGTAGAAAATCTTTCACGAAAGCCGGTAATAGAAAACAATTTTACCCACTGTAATTTGACTCAACAAAAATACGCCACTGTATTAAGATACAGAATGATCAATATTCCATTGTTCCCGGCTTTTGTAGGAAATCTTTCACGAAAGCTGATAATCGAAAACAATTCCACCACTGTGTAGAGATACGGGATGATCAATATGTTCTTATCTCCGGCTCTTAATGTAGAAAATCTTTCACGAAAGCTGGTAATAGAAAACAATTTTACCCACTGTAATTTGACTCAACAAAAATACGCCACTGTATAAAGATACAGAGTGATCAATATTTCATTATTTCCAGTTCTTGTAGGCAATCATTCACGAAAGCTGATAATCGAAAACAATTCCACCACTGTGTAGAGATACGGGGTGATCAATATTTTATTATCCCTGACTTTTAATATAGAGAATCTCTCACAAGAGCCGATAATAAAAAACAATTCTACCCACTCTAATTTGACTCAACAAAAATAAGCCACTGCATAAAGATACAGAGTGATCAATATTTCATTTTTCTCGGCTCTTGTAGCAAATTTTCCACGAAAACTGGTAATCAAAAACAATTCCACCACTGTGTAGAGATACGGGGTGATCAATATTTTATTATCCTTGGCTCTCAAGTCACAATGTAGAAAATCTTTGACGAGAGCCGATAATAGAAAACAATTCTACCCACTGTAACATCGAACAAACTTGCTGTAAGAAATCTTGCAAGACAAATGGAACTCAGAACCAATAATACAATGAAAACTATGTTGTTGGGTAAAATATGGATCAAGACCTTGAACTAACTGCAGAAAATAATGGCTCAGGAATATGGATATGTTATATCGATGAGAATAAAAATTTCAGAACAACATAATGGGTGAAAAACGATATAAAGGAAACCAAAATAGTGATCAGTTGTTGACCAGCAAAGAACTAAACTTGAATTCAACAGAAATAATCTGTAGAGCGATGCAAATTTGTGACAAACAACACGTTTTCCAAAGAACTTCAATATTATACAACAATAATCTTTAGAATATTAACAAACCTGGTGCAGCAGTATCGGCAAGATACAAAAACGCAGAATCGCAAGTGCCTTGAACACTTTCGTCAATAATCAAGTTAGCCAATAAGGAAGAAGGTCTAAGCACTTCTCTAGGAAATTCAACCGTTCTCACCACTCGGTCAGTCTTAAGGTCAAACACCACTAATTTGGGCGGGCAGATTCTTTGGAAATCGTCTATCGACGTCATGATTCCAGAGTCCAAAGCCTACAAATTAATTTGTAATATTATTTATAAATTGATTTATGTACTAACCCAAAGCCTTCCACAAGAATCCAGCCTCATTCTGTATACAGAAACTAGTCCTGCGCATGTTGTAGCGTTGTCCAAACCCAATCCAGCACCGTGAAAGGACCAACTCGGGTAGGGTTGAGGTTTAGGGTTGGAGCCTTTAGGAGTGTGTCTTGGTATTGTTGAAAGGGTCGCTGGTATTCCAGCTCTTAGTCTTGGAGTTGCTATGAAGATACGGTCTTTTGTGATTTCTAAACCTGTGAAGACAGTATTTTCAGGCCTGAAATATTGAGAAAAGATCAGAACATGACAAGAGCAAGACAAGAAAGAGCCAAGGAACATGAAAAAATAGAACAGTGAAAAAAGATAGACCATTCTGTTTTGTCAAGGCACTGTTATTTTTTATGTTCTCTATAGATTGTTACCTGAAATCCGTAGCACTAAAACCATAAGGCGGATCAAATTGCAGCAGGTTCCATTGGTTGATTACTTCCAAATTCAAGCAGCTACACACAGAAATGCTGACAAAAACCACTAATAAGATTATCAGCCTTTTCTTCATGTTGAAACTTACAAGAATAAATCTGAAATTAACAAAGTATTATTATTGAATTGCCGCTTTTATTTAAAATCAACAGTTATCATGTGCGATGGTGGTGTAATGGTCAGCATAGTTGCCTTCCAAGCAGTTGATCCGGGTTCGATTCCCGGCCATCGCATCAACTTTTTGCTAAATACGATAAAACACACATTTATTATCGAATTAAATAATAAATAATGAGTAATTAGTAGTAATTTTTATAACTCAAGTGGCTCATTGAGTATTTTGTTTTAGGTTTTAGAAAAATTTGATTTTTATACAAAGTGTAAAGGTTGAAATTCTTTTACCATCAGCAAATGGGTAAATCAAATTGACCTGCATGAGCAGCATTTTGAAGACTGAATTGATGATAATTGGCCGGTTAGGTGAAGTGTTTCAACGCCATTGGACTATTTTCATATTGCAGCTGTGTAAAAGATAAGATTTATATGATATACAGGGTGTTACAAGTTCGCGAGTAAGTATTTTCTATTGAAGTTACGCAATTTCTTGCTCATCAAAATACCCCCCAAAAAAATTCGATCTGTAAAACCATTATTTAAATCAGATACTTAATTCAATTTGTGTCATTAGTTCTCTCTACACATTTTCCTAAACTACGAGCAAGCATTATCCAGCAACATGTTTGTATGTAGTGGTTCTGCCAAAATTTCCTATATAAGTATGTACTGATGGTCCATTTTTGAGTTCGCTCAGCGTGAAATATAGCTAATTACCCTGAATTTTTTTCAATATACAATTCCACATGACGTGTACCTACTATATCTCCCTCTTCACCACATTCGCAATTTGCATCTTCTCTAATTCCAATTTAATGAAGGTGTTGCGGAGTTGAGCAATGCGCAGTTCTTAATTTGCACAAAATGTAGTCTATCACCCTAACTCTGGAGTACCATGGAATTGTTTGAGGAGATTTTACAATGGAAAAGTATTTAGTGGAGCAAGTTCTTGTCCTAATATTGACCTATAAATTACTCCATTCCTGCCATGTATATTCTTTAAACAACTTGTAGAATTCTGTATAATATCTTTCTCTGTTAATATAGTTGTCCGCTTCTGTTCCTCTAGCAGCCAGTCTATCAGCCATGTCATTTCCATGAATTCTTGAGTGACTATGAATCCATGATAGAGTAATTTCTTTCCCATTTTGTTGTAATTCCACCAAGCATTGCCTTGTTTTAAGTGTTTCTCCACTCGAGTCTCTTCTTACCCCAGTCCTTGCAATTTTCTGAGCAGGGCAGTTTTAGAGTCTGAAATCACAGTGGTTTTCATAATTTCTTCTCTTAATGATTAAAGAGCTATGTATATTGACAATATATCTGTAGTACAAATGCAAGTATGATCCACACATTTACCCAACTGGAGAGTGTAGAATAGGGATATATAATAGGACAAAAAACAGAAGAATTATGAGTAGTGTAGATCATACTACATTTGTACTGCAGAGAATATATAAAGATAGCCACTTCTATCTTATTTTCTGTAAATGCAGTACTTATAAATTGCGGTAGTCAATAATACTAAATTGTCCAGTAGTATTCTTGCCCTTTCGAAAACCATTTTAGAATTAATTAAAATATTGCCTCTTTTCTAAGGAATGTTCAATTCTCATTTTAATGATGGCTTCCAGTATTTTACTTGTACATCTAGCCAGAACTATGGCTCTGTACGAGGCTGCATTTTGTCCAGGTTTTTGGGTTGGTATTATAACCTGCTTCTTCTAGTCTTCCAGAATATATCAGCTTTTCCCGGAATAATTTAATTAATATGTTCATCAAGGATTTCTTCATAAATCTTTGAGATTATGGTATATGTTATATTATCTATGCCTGGTACAGAGTCTTTTTTCCCCTTCAAATTAACTTCTACAATCTCGTCTATAGTGTAACTTTTTTGAATTGTTGCTGATCGACCATATTGAATCACAGTCGTCTCCTGCGCTACAAATGGGGGAGCTAGGTGATTCAATTTTTCCTATTTTCATCGAAACTCGATTTTAAACCTCAATCCATTCTTCATTACTTGATTTCTGTGTATTGTTTTGATTATTGGCAAATTTTTGAACTATCTTCCAAACATTCCCTCTGTCAAGTGGCTGTAAAAACTTCAAAGTTCTCTTTTTTCTGATAAATCTTCTTGCTTTTGTTACTAATTGTTTGTAATATAAAAAAAAATCAATTGTCATATCATTCAAATATTGTCTTATGGCCATTTGTCTTCTGTTGGTTATGGTTTATGGGTTTCAGACTACGTCTAGCAGACAACATGTTCTTTACTTCAGGTATAGCTTCCTCAGCTGCATTATTTATTTCCTCAACTTTCTGTTTGTTAACCTAGATTCTCTATTCCCCCCCTAAATGATCAGCAATAGGTTTCCCAATTTGCTTTCCTAGTGCTTCATTTCCTTGAAGGGATACTTTCCATGTTAACTGGCCGATTTTCCTCGTTCAAATCACATATACTGTCGAGAAATGATCACTCTTTGCTAATTCTCCTATAGTCTTCCATCTGCATTTTAGACCCAAGTCGGCTGAGGTAATTGTTATACATTTGAGCAAGTTTCGTTTTGATTCGGGGGAGAAAATCTTGTTTTGGTTCCATCATTCAGCATAATCAAATTATAATCATTCAGGATTTCAGACAAATTTCTGCCATTGTAATTGTTGATGTTTGAACCCCAAACTGTGTGTTGTGAATTCAGATCGCCCATTCGGATTCAATTGAAAAAATATTTGCTGGAAATTATTGATTGATAATGGTTATGTTTGGTGGATTATAGGCCGTGATTATGGAAATATTTTTAATCTTAATTCCCATTATTTGAAATCTTTGATTTAAATTGATATTAATGATCAAGTTCTGGAATCTGGAATGGTAGGTAATGAGTTTCCTCACTTTTTCGTCCGGTCTATTTTGTCTTACTTCAATGAAATTTTTAATGTGAAAAGTTTTACCTGGACCTACACTCCTAAAATTCCATTGTATGATTTTCATCAATAGTTTCTGAATATAAATCTAAGTGAACGTTTGCATTATCATTAAAATATATATAGCGTTTCATTATCTTCCAAGCCTGTTTCAGTAGCCATTATGTGTATAGTTTGTTCTTGCAATTACTTGCTTCAACACTTCAATAGGTTTCATAATCTGAGATGAGTATATTATGGGGGATGGAGAATTGCTTGCAAGAAGTCACTCTGCTGGGGAGTTCTACTCGGGTCCATATACAAACACTTTTTATGTTGTTCTCTGTCGTATCCTTACACAGGAGAGCTTGGTACTTTTCTCTTTATTGTGGAAGTTATACTAGAGTAGAATCTTCTGGGAGTTTGTGGAATATCTACTCACCAATATACTGTTAAACTGTTCAAATAAGACACTCACCTGAAATGTGTAGTTTTTGAACTAATGAGGAAAATTCACAACTGAGTGAATCAGGTTAGTATTGTACTTGAACAACATATTGGTGAATAGATGGCTGGGTCCACCCATAAGTTGCGTATCAATCCACTCGTTTGTACTTGAATAACTTGTCACATTATATTTCTAGTTTGGTAAAGTATAACATTACTAATTTCTGTTAAAAGGCAAATTGATAAAAAGTAGATAATTTTACAAATTCTGACTTTATATAATAAGTTATTTTTCAAGTACCTACAAATAATAAGTGGATTGTTGCGGAACTTATGGGTGGACCTCTGCGGGACGAGCGCAGCGAGTTCCGTAGCCATTTAATTACCAATATACTGTTGAACTTTTCAAATACGACATTTACCTGAAATGTGTAACTAATGAGATTAACGCATATTTGAGTGAGTCAGTTTAGTATCGTAATTAAACAAAATATTGATGAATAGATGGCTGCGGAACTCGCTGCGCTCGTCCCGCAGTGGTCCACCCATAAGTTCAGCAACAATTCACTCATTTGTACTTGAATAATTTGTCACATTATGTTACTAGTTTGGTAAAGTAACATTACTAATGCCTGTTGAAAGGCAAATTGACAAAAAGTGGATAATCTTACAAATTCTGACTTTACATAATAAGTTATTGTTCAGATACAGGGTGCTTTTTTATATATTGACACCCACCTACAGCCTTCACCTTTACAAGTAGGTGAAAGGTGTAAATACAAAAGTTGTACAGTATTGGCTATATTTTTAGAATCCATAGTCAGAAACAAAAAATGAATGTCAGAAATGTGAAATATTGCATGCTTCCAGCTTTTTTCAAATGGGATGCGCTATATTTGGTTCTATATTTTTGAAGAGCACAATTTCCCGATTCTAAAACTATATCGTTTGTCTATATTCAGTTGAGCCGCCTCCAACATATTTGGTTCTAAAAATTTCGAAAATACTATCAGAGAAACCGAGTAGGTAAAATACCTCAAATTTTACCTGCAGCTTTCACCTGTATAGGTAGAATGGTTCACAAAATCAGTAGTAGAATAGTATTTTTACAATTTTTGGAGCCGAATATATGAGAGACTGTTCATTTAAATATAAACAAACTATATATTTTTGAAATAGGGGCATTGTACTCTTCAAGAATATAGAATGAAATATATCATCCCATTTGAAAAAAGCTGGAAGCATGTAAAGTTTCACATTTCTGACATTCAAATTTTGTTTCTGACCACGGTTTCTAAAAATTTAGCCAAAACTGTATATACAACTTTTGTATTTACACCTTTTTTTTACTTGTAAAGGTAAAGGCTGTAGGTGGGGTGTCAATATATAAAAAAACACCCTGTACCTACCTATTTAAAATCACCTTATTCTTCTAAATAGTTCCCTTATTCCTATATTTTTATGGGATATTCCTTCGAAAAACTGTATCTTGCACAATACGCTGCCAAAACTAACCCAAACTAACTCAATCTGGCTTACTTTAACTTAAACTGCCCCCACCTTTCGAAAGGCTTGTATCCGCCCCTGCTGCGGTTAGGTGAAGTAGTGAAGTGGTTTAACGCCATTGGACTATTTTCATATTGGAGCTGTGTAAAAGCGATCAAAGTTACGCAATTTCTTGCTCACCAAAATACCGTTTCGAAATTTGGAAAATCCCCCAAAGGAGGGTTGAAACAACAGTTTGGGTATTTTTGGATAATAAAAAATGTTCAACTTTGTGGCTCAATTGCTTAGAAAGTATTAGAGATATCAGTCTCAATTTAGAACTGATTTATAAAGAATTTAATGCTCTCTCGAATAGTGCATAATTTATTTTGATTTCTCCAAATTTCAATGGAAATATTGGCAATTTTTCTTAACCTTGATTTCCAAAAGAAAATAATAGAGAAAGTTTTCAGGTAAAAAATTGGTCATTCTTCAAAAAGATAACACGAAAATCACAAAAACGAATCAAAAACCATGTTGCGTAAACGTAAAATTCCTTTTTTCCGGTGTTCAGGGTTTCTATTGAATTCGAGTGATCTTGACAATTCCTAAAGCAATTTAAATCAATCAAAGTATATCATTACAATTTGATGTCCTTTCCGGAAATGTGCCTATATGAAAATCATTGCACCCGTATTTCCTGACCTAAACACGAAGGATAATCGTTTCGAAAGTTAAATAATCACGAAATGCTTCAATAATTTGTTTAAATAATGCAATATATTTGTTATATAGAAAAAGTTATTGGGGTTTCTATATCAATTGTAGTCAATAAATTATAGTTTTTTGCCAATGAAATATTGATTACCTACTAGGAATACCTATCCACCTGTTTTATGAAAAATTCGAAACATTTCAATTCATTCTTTCTTGCCAAGTCCGGCCTATTGTTTATTTATAAGATATAAATCATAAATTACTACCTACTTATAAAGCAATTCAATGAATATGCCTGTTGTTTTATTCATGAACCAAAAAAAATAATTATTAATTATTGATGTTTGTTAGCTACATCAAATTCTCACAAGAATTATTTATTTGAAGGGTGCCCAAAGGGACTTTTTGGGAGTTTATGCCCTTTGCACACACAGTGATTTTGCAGTTCAGTTGAGAGTTTCATATACACTTCCGGTTTATTATTGGGAGAAAACTTTAATTGATAATGATTCAATAAATCATCAGCAGACAGGACCCAAAATGCATACTGATCTAAATTCACAGCTGTTGCATAATAGTCTTTGAAATTTTTTCTCGGTGAATAATATAAGGCAGTACCGGAAAAGTGCAAGTTACGAGCTTGTTAGAATAACTTTATAGTGACACTAGAAGATAAATCTAAAAAGAAAATTCCACTTCGTCGGTCAACCGAGCCTTAGTATGGTTATACCGTTTCCAGAAAAAAAATTGGCAGGATTTTTTTAATTTCCAATAGAAATCAGACAAAATATATCTATAAGTATTTTGTAACATGCACCAAGAAATTTACTATATACAATACAGTTATGGTCAATTTCACACGAGTTTTGTACAATATAATAAAATAAGCAAACAAGGGTGATATTAAGTATTTGGAATACAATCACCACAAAACCAACCTTGCCTTACAAGTCCTAAAGATATAAACTCACTTTTCAACGTCAATCAATTAACCAGAGTACTTTTTCTTTTGAAGGTTGATCTACTTTAGAAAAAAAAAAATTACCGAATAACCAAATCAGGTTTTGTTGCTGGTACCTTAAATAACCAAAGAAATCGATAACGATCAAATATTGTGGTACCACCTACAATAATTTGTTTAAAAGGGTCAATATAATCAAAATAATATACAATAATTATAATGTTGTTTTCGCCTTGAAACGTTCCAATAATGACCAATAGGGCGTAGTTATAAGTGTACCTAACCCATTTCGCATTTACGCAATCCAAAGGTGTAAAGATCACAGTCAAAGAGCAATTATTTATTCATGATATCCGGTCAATGGTGTGTTGTGTAGAGGGTAATTATAGATTATTATATTTCTATGGCTTCGGTAATAGCTATGGGAAGTTTCTTTAAAGGTTTATTAATCGAAATTTGAAGATTGTGTTTCCGAATCTATATTACTCAGTAACTTTTGCTCTCCTGCTTTGAAACTCCTGGTATCTATTCGTTGTTAAAGTCGTTTTTGAAACTTAAAGTAATCATCACTCCTTTATTGCTCAGTGATTGTTCGGTAGACTTCTGAAGCTTTTCAGATTGGTTATTGAAGTTTTTCTAACTTTTGAAGCTCCTTATTGGAATTGGCTCTTGAAGCTATCGTCTCTTTATAAGTTTCTGGTATTAGCTCTTTTCTCCTCTGATACTTAGTTAAAAACTGTAAAGCTTTTTCTTTGAAGACGCTGGTATAATGATTGTTAAAGCTTCTCTGCAGTCATTCATTTCAATTCTTTGGTTCTTCGTTTTTCAACAGCCTTTTCTTATTGGTTCCTGAAGTTTGTTCACCTTCTTAAACTTCTAGAAGTATTTTTTGAATGACTTGCTTCTCTTGAAAATTGTTATAGTACCTACCTCTTGAAGCTGTTTCTTTCTTTGAAACCTATGGATTATGATTCTTGAGCTCTTTAGTTTTTCTGCCTTGTACTCGTTCTTTGATTTTTTTAAAGTTTCTGGTATTGGTTCATAAAGCTTTTGTCTCTTAATTCTTGAAGCTTTTTCCTTAAAGACTCCGATAACAGTTGTAGGAGATAATTTGTGGTTCAGTGGTACGTAATTGTTTCGTTAATAGACTTGTGAAGTCTTTGGAACTTCTGAGTTGGAAAAATCAGAAATGAAAAGGACTATTTTGATGAGTCGAATTATCCAATACAAAAATATTCTGACCAATTGGCAAAGATAAAAGGAAGAAACCTCCTTAAATGGAAACATCAAAGGCAAAGTACCTTTTACAAAGGACCTTTTTCAATCATTATTTCCTTTGAGTCTTGATCAGTAAGCGTCTATTAACCTAAACATTGTTAAAAATCTGCAAATGATTAAAAATTAAATACCTATATACATCCATACAAGCGATAATTACTGAGTAATTATTAATTGTTGCTCGATTTAAGAGGCGATATATATCAGATGTAATTAACATTAACTCGCGTTTTTACGATTATTGTTATTTCTTCATAAATTGCGGATACGTGTGCAGAACACACCTAATTATCAATATCCTTTCGATGAATTGAAAAATTGGAGAAAGGACATCAATATAAAACTATAATTAAACTACTGATTTCGTGTATATATTGAATTACCTACTTTATGAAACGTCTATTTTGGTCTTACATGAAGTAATAATGCAATTTGACTATTTTTAAATACATATATAGCTTCTTCAGACTTGCAGCTTATTGGAGTTTGGAGCTGCTTGAAATAATCAGGAAATCAAAGAGAATCTCCTAAGAATCTCTTCATTCAGGTTTCGATGAAAACATCCTGATTGTCATTTGTGCTCACAATAAAATCTACTGATTTTTCTCTGAGCCAATAATTGATTGAACAACTTTGGTTGAGCGATTATTATTTCCTGTTTTCATAACATTGAGTGATTTTTAATGCGTTATTGATCAACTTAGTACAATTTTCAGTTAATGATTTGGAAAAACCACTGAATTCCAAATGTAATATTCATTTCTTATTATATGTGTTGCCTAATTTTGATCGATATATTTAAGATAATACTAGATTATAATTTATTATCGAGCACGAGCCAAAATGTTTTTAAAAAAGTTGGTATTTTGCAATACATATATACAGCAAAATTGGCTGCCCTACATTATAAATAATATAGACTTTCATAACTTAATTCGGTAATGAACTTAAATTATTATTTAACATGCATTTTAACATGTAAGTAGGCAAAGCTCTTGAATTATTAAAGATACCTACATAGTTTTTTAAATGCAAAAATTTTGTCAATAAATAAGAATTGATTATATACTTTACCGAATAAACAAGCAAAAAATTCCTCTAATAAGAAATCACCAAAAAGAATCACAAATCTTCGTCAATCGACGCGTTAGCTTGGACTGCTTATATGAACGATCCGCAAGAAGTACCCCAGTCAAGGTACCACTGGCGAATTTTCCTTTTGGAGCACTTTCGCGACATCGGAACCCTTCCAACCTTGCCGAGCCTCCGGAGAACCGCTCCCGTTTGGAGGGGTAACCTTGCAAGTTATTTTTCGGTTACTTACTACTTGTTTACGCATATACGGAACCACTTTGATGATTGAAACCATGAAAGCGCGTTAATAAGATAGGATGAATTGTGAATGAAATATTTGAGAGAATTTGTTTATGGATTGTGATTCTGGGATTTCTTTATCAAGTCATGATCATGACTTTGAATATCGAAATAGTAATCCCAAGTTTTGTCATTGATATAGAGTTGATCAAGAGCCAATAATAATCAAATTGGATCAAGATCTACCTACTTATTGCAAAAATTGAAATTCAATATTTTTCATTAGAATTGTTCTAGTTCAATAAAGTTGCTTTCATTGTTGGATTAAAATATGAAATTTCATACGTCGATTGTAATACTAGAACTTCTGTGCAATGTGAATTATTATTAGGAATACTTACTGGATATAATATCTGGAATTTTTAACACATATTTGCATGATTTCTGAGTAGGTACGATGTGTGTCATAAATTGAGGATCTGGATCTAGAAATTTGGAAAATCTACATGTTTTAACATGTTTTTGTTTAGCTGCTACCTGCTTCAAGTTTTAATCAGCTCATATATGCAAATATTGAATCTCCTAAACTCCAAATAGGAAATTCACACAATTTACCAGAAAATTTGAATATTTCACTACTAGGATAGCCAACCGATTCTAGATTATAAATGTTTTCCCGGATTTGAATGGATTTTTATTTTGGCCGATGTCTTTTGACAGATGTATGTATTTTGTTCTGGGTTTTAACAATTTGTTGGATTCAAAACATTTGCTACAAGTAAGATCAAGTATAGCTGAAATTTTACTAGAAAAGTGTGGAAATCCAGTTTGCAATACTCTTAAGACCGGTTTATCAGTGGACGGTTATTTAGTTTAGCTGTTGGTTACCTAATAATTATCATTGGTTAACCGACAGCTAAACTACATAACCGTCCCTAAGAGTTGCAATTTGAACTTCTGGCCATTCTAGAGACGAACCTAAAGTTTCTGCCACTGCAAATGCATGAAAATTTTATTCCCGGCTCTTGTAAGGTGAAATTTGAACTAAGGAAGTATAAAACTTCAGTTTCTGAACATTTTAACAACAAAAGATGGAAAATTGCTAAGCTAACTGCCCCAAGGATAAATATTTTGAACATGAAAAGCATGCAAATTCTTCAGCCAAAATTGAACTAGATAAGAATATGAAAGCCTGAAATAGAATTTTTAGGCTTTTCAGTTGAATTTCAACTCCATAAGAGGAAAAATCTAGCTTGTCAGACAGCTTTATGTCGAATAAAAGTCTGGAATGGTTAGAAAATGGAGTTTGTTACTATTCCAGTTCAATTTCAACTCTACAAGAGCCAGAAATAAAATGATCGATCGAAGAAATCAATTAGATATCATTGTTAATTATAGCTTCAAAACTTATTGTTAGTTAACAGGGACTTCTTAGCCTTCAATTAAATCTTTACACATTTTAACATGCTTCATTTCTACATAAAGATGTTTGGGAGTTTCTACAGTATCTTGCATAACATCTACATAGATGGAGAATAACAATCTGTGACCCTACCCCAAGGTTGTTTGAGAGAGGTAGGTTGCCTGATAACTTTATGACGTCATCTGGGGTGCCTCAACATAATGGAAATTTCCGTAGGGCACCCCAGATGCGTCAGCAAGTTACCCATTATCAGACAACTTATTATTAACTTTAGGAACCTTGAGACCTTCCTACCTAATACTTAAAAACCAAAAATGAATTTGAATAGAAAATCTACACATTTCAAAACGTTTCATATGTCTTCTACAGTAGATTGCATGACATCTACCAATTTCTAAAACATGACATAAAATGAATGACGATTTGCTTCTATAAATCTACACATTTCAACACGTTTTATGTCTTCTACAGCAAATTACACATCTGTATCCAAATATCTACACACTGTCACTTCAACACAAATCTGCAAGTAAATGTTCTCCATTGATAAGAAATTTCACCATCAATAATTTATATAACAAGTGACATCATTCACTTTCTTTTTGTGTGTGTTTCCAAAAGAAAATTAACATAATCTTAATCGAGAGCACGCACTCGAATTTGTCACGGTTTACGAGTTTCTATCTATGAACCACACCTCGTTATATAAATCAACAAAGAATCGCTATTATATTATCATTGGTAGAGTGTAAGTTTACTGAAAAATATATCAAATTTTGAGTTACAACATAACTTGGCAAATCTACAAACAATTTGAATAAACACCTATCATATTTCACACATTTCCGGCATTTAATTAGTGACAACCAAGAAATCGAGACCAATAATACATCCTGCAATTAATAATCATCAAAAAGACAATCTCAAAATTGATTTAATTAGGTATACACGCCTTTATTGTTACAACAAAATCATAGACAGCGATAATCGAAACCAATACTATTGCAAAGGTCCACTAATCGGAATAATTATACCAATTGGAATTGCAATCGTTGCACTGCATTTTGCATATAATGAACCAATTTCAACAACACTAGTTGCTTAATAATGTAAAAAAAATGTTTTATTTATTATAAATAACAACTTTATATTGTTTTAACTAAAGGACGTATCATCATACTAGGTCCAACACACCCAGTAGTACCTGAAATGTAATCGTTGAAATTACTCTCGATGATCCACATAAGATGCAGACCTCCCGGTACTACTTGGGTAGCCATTCTGCCATCGCCGCCTCTCTGGATCAAAATAAAGTTTTTCTTATCGAAGCCATTATTACAATTCCAAACCCAAATATCAAATTCGCCTTTATTTCTGAAGAAAACTCCTGCTTGGTTATCGTTGCCCAAAAATATTGGGTTAAATCCTGCTGGTTTAGGTCCACAATCTACAATTGCTGCAGTTGCTTGGCCTTTTTGCAAATGTTCAGTTTTAATGCTGAATAATCTAGGAGAATCAGTATAATGTATAAACAAAACACTTCCGGAATTTCTATGGGCTAATTGAAGATACAAAACATCTTTTGATTTTGAAACACATCCAGCTTGGACTTCACTTGGTAAAATCATCCTAAATCCAGTTCCAAGTGATAAATTAACAACAATTATAGCACCAGCAGAATCAGACACATAACCAAAAGGCACTCCATCTTTTGTATAATCCACACACAAAAATTGCAAACTGCTAGTAGGTGTCATAAACAATTCCAAATCAATCGTTTTAACTACTTCTCCAGTTTTATAGTTGAAACACCAAATTTTTGGTTGGCATCTTTTAATAGGCTGCTCTAGGGTGTTACAAATGCCCCAATCCAGCACCCAAAGTCGATCGACGGGATCCAAAACTAAATCGATAGCATTCTGGATGGAGTCACAATTGCCTTCTTCTTGGATATTCCAGCAAGGATACGGTTCCAATTGGAGCTTGCAAGATTTAGATTTCAGGTTGAATTTGGCCAGAGTAAATGGTATTCCTGGACGGAGTCGGGGCACACATGCCACAACTGTTTGGTTCTTCATTTGGATTCTTGGGACGATGATGTTTTTTGAGATGTATCTTCCTGTTGATTGGTAGATGTTTTTGGTGATGGGGCAAGGGAAGAGTACGTCGGTTCCGGATAATTTAAATTTTTGGCCTCGGTTGGGGTTTTCACTGCATTGGCAACTTGCCAATAGAGTGCTGACTAAGAAAATTGCTGACAACATGATAAAATGAGGATCTTTAGCTTGCCTCAAGTTGTTTGGATGTTGCATTTTTTTATTGTCGTGGTTCTTATTTATAATTATGGGTAATGTAAATATTTTTAATATTATCAACCTTGATATTGAATAAAAAAATGTCAATTCACCTTATTTAGCGGTTCGGGTTCATGCTCCGCTTGCAATTAATGAGGATTTCTTCCGGGATTTTTGCCCCAAAGAAATATTGAAAACAATAACATTTGTAGGTCAAAATTTTTCACTTATTTTCTATCCAAATTTTGTTTTTAGTTTATCCTCTTCCGCTTAAACTTCGAACTTTCCTCTTTCCACACTCTTTCTGCCCTTTTCTCTCCGGATCCAAATTATTTTTATTTCAAAAGTATAACCTGTACCTATGGAGTTTGGGCTGTACAAAATGATCAATTACAGTCCAAAATCTCAGAACATTTTCGTATAATCCTGAAGATACACAAGAAAAACAATTTCAACTTTTTTCCAAGCTCTGGTGGATCAACTTAAAGTGTATTTTTCCTAATGAAAGAGATTTAAATCCATAAATCCTGGAAATTTGAAGTCACTGTGACGCCTAGAAGTATTTTTTACATCAGGCTTCTAAATGCGATTTGAATTATCTTCAAAGATACACAAGGAAAACAATTTCAACATTTTTTCTAGGTTCTGGATCAACTTGAAGTGTATTTTTCCTAACGAAGGAGATTTTAATCCATAAATCCTGGAAATTTAAGACCACTGTGACGCCTAGAAGTATTTTTTACAGGCTCTCAAATGAGATTTTGAATAAGTATCTGTAAGGTTTTGCGGCAGAATATTTGAAGGAATTGGAAATGGAAAAAGATGAACTTTCAACATTTCTGGGAGAAGCTAGAGTCTTCAAAGACTTTAAAGTCTTCCAGAAACTATGAAAGTTCACATTTTTAACTGTACTTAGGTAGGTACCGAATGTTCAACTAAAATTTTCTAAAAATGTAGCTGTATCTTTGTCTCATTATGACATGAATTATAATTTCGAAGTACATTTGGACTGCAAAAGTTTTAATATACAGGGTGGAGCACGAAAAACTTCTCACCCAGTGTTGAGATGTATATGAGCTTCTGCTTATATTTAAAATAATGTTGACTAAGTTTTCATACTTTAACCATTTATTTTTGATTTACATAAGGTGAAAAATGTATAAATATAACAAGATGTAACAGAATGATGCACCCTGTGTACCGTTCTATTGAGAGTTAGTTTTAAAGTCTCTTACTTTGCTAGCCGTAGCAGCACTGCACGGGGTGGAAAAAGACAGGGTCGTATTAAGGCAATAAACACCCAGAGTTTCTCAGATGTTAGGTGTTTAATCAAAAATCGCTCAGACACGTCAATTTTTGTTTTTGAGGGACACATTTTATTGGTATTTTCACTCCCTACCTGTCAACCCCTAAGTGGGGGTAAAAGGTACCCCCAAAATTTCAAATGGAAAGAGGGGTCGAGTGATATGTCATTTGGTAGCTATTTTCATTAGGATTATATCTCCGAAGTTTTAAGTTGCTACTATTTACCCTGCCGAAATGGCTGCATGTCAAAGTTAGGATAAATGCTTTTTTTCGATAATCTAAACAGGTATAGTTTTTACATGTCACACCTATGCGTAGGTAACAGGTAAAAACCACACAGCATTTTTCCATGGTTTTTTCCTAACTTTGACAAGCCGCCATTTCGACAGGGTAAATAAGTAGGAACTTAAAACTTCGGGAATATAATCTTAATGAAAATAGCTATCAAATGACGTATCACTCGACCCCTCTTTCCATTTGAAATTTTGGGGGTACCTACCTGTCACCCCCACTTAGGGGTTGACAGGTAGACGATAAAAATACCAATAAAATATGTCCCCCAAAAACAAAAATTGACGTGTTCGAGCGATTTTTAATTAATCGCCTAACACCTGAGAAAACCTGGGTAGGAAGTTTTTCGTGCCCCACCCTGTATAGAGTTTGGGCTGTCCACAATGATCAATTATAATCAAAATCTCAAAATGAAAAAAGTTGAAATTTCATCATTTAACATTTCTGATGGAAGAAAGAAAATAATCTTTAAAGTTTTTCAAGAAGTATGAAAAATCCCATTTTCAACTGTACCGAATATAATCAACTTATACTTAGGTATTTTCTAAAAATGCAACTGCATATACAGGATGTCTAAGATAAGGATGTCTATCATGGGGATTTTTTCTGATTTCTTCTTTTTTTCTGAGACAAAAAAATAAAAACAATTTCTGAAAATTTCGGTTTTTCATGAATATAAGTATGCGGAAGTTGTCAGAATTTTTTAAATTTCGAGAAAACTCTCACATTTTCCTGTTTTCCATTTTTTTCCAGTCTTTTTCCTCAATGTTCTTTTGCAGTTTTCCTTCTCTCGCATACTTTTATCTGAAATAAAGATAACTATTCTCCTTCTATGACATGTTTGGATGTGTTGAAATCAATGACGTTGAAATGTGTAGGTTTTCCAATCAAATTCATTTTATGTCTGGGTAGATCGTAATTTTTCATCCAGAGGACGTTTAAATGTGAATAATGCATAGGAAATACTGTAGAATTTCTAAAACTTGATTGTAAATCCAGTTTTTAATTCTTTGTCTACGTCATTTAGAATGTGTAAGAGCCACGCAATCTGCTGTAGAACACATGAAACGTGTCTAGATTTTTAGAGATCATTTGACGTGTTTACATTTTTATTCAGTTTTTCCGCGAATTTTCCACTTTTCCGGGCTGTTTTCGATCGGAAAAATCGATTTAAAGTACGAGGCTTTGAGTTTCCTTCATTTTGTATCAAAAATTTTGAGTTTTTCAACAGGGTAGGTAAGTAACAAAAACTTAAGTTTCATCAAGTAGGCTTTGGAATGTCATTTTTCAATGGTTTTTCTTTGAATTTTCCACTTTTCCGATCAGAAAAACCGATTTAAAGTACGAGGCTTTGAGTTTTCGTTATTTTTTGCCGAAAACCTAAACTAAACACAAACTACGTCAACCAAAAACCACAAAACGAGTGTTACATTAGTGACGCCATTTATTTACCAATCAGAAATTATTGTTATTGAATGTATGTATGTACCTATGTATATCGAATTTGGAATATTGGGTTACAGAAATACAAGTTAATTAGAACTTAGAACATTGACATTAGACTAAGTAAGCAGTAGTTTCTGTGGCAGTAGGCTAATGGCCATTTCCACCAACTATTTTAGGGGAGCCCTAACGTACTCCCTACAATGACACTTTTACATGGAGAAATGTCAGTTCAAGGCATACCTATCGTTAGGGCTCCTCTAAAATAGTTGGTGGAAATGGCTATAAGACTGAGAATTTGGAAAAAATAAAAAAATAGAAAATTGTACCAAATATGCCAACGTCGTATCAGCGTACTTTTTCAAAACGAATGGTATCAAACCTGGTACAATTATTGTAGGTACCACCTGTGGCAACACTGGTAGGAGTTACACAATCTGCTGTAGAAGACATATGAAACGTATTGAAATATGTAGAATTCCAGATCCAGATTTCTATGTTTAGAATGTGTAGAAGTTACCCAATCTGCTTTAGAGAAGACATGAAACTTATTGAAATATGTAGATATTTAGATCCAGCAGATTTTCATTTCCAGAATGTGTAGGGGCTACGCAATTTGATGTAGAAGACGTGTTGAAATATGTAGATTTTCAAATCTAGATCTTTATGTTGGAAATGTGTAGCAGGCATGTGTAGAAGTTCACGTGTTGAAATGTGTAGATTTTCAGATCCAGATCTTCATGTTTGGAATGTATAGGGACCTACACAATATGCCATAGAAGATATACCTAAAACGTGATTTTTCAAATAAACAACAATACTGTAGAAAATCCAAAACTAGCTTGTAGCTGTGAAACATTTTTGAGGGTGAGGGGACTTTCATTTTTGTTTTCCTATACGTTTTGAAGTCTTTTTCCATTGCAACTTTTTCTCTTTGTTTTTTTTCCGTTTATCATTTTCCAGCTGGTTGAGAAATCCAGGGTGAGTAGAATTCTCATTAAAATCCTAGGACGCCAAAGAAATAATAAGTTTAGCAGTATTTTTTGATTATTTTGTGAGTTATAATTTTGTTATTACAATCAATCAATCAATTTGCAAATATCCCTCAGGCAAATTCGAAAAAATTGCATTGCAATATGAAAAGTTCAAATAGACCATGATATTCCACACCCACAGAAAACAATACGAAAATGTATCGATACGATATAAGCGTGCTGGCTGAAATAATAATATGTGTTTAACAAAATTTTTAAAATTGTTTCATTGTTTTCCACTAAAAAACGCACTATACTTGTGTTGCCATCATTATTTTAATAATTATAATAATGGGACAAGAATTACATTAAAATTGGTTGTTGCAAATACATTTTTCTAATCGGAAGAATTCAATGCAAATATGACATTGTACTAGATGAAAATTTGCGTGTATCGATTGCAAAACCCGATGAGAATGCATTTTTCACAATAATTAACAATAGGCGTGATTTTTTTCTAAATAAATCTGAAAAACAATGTAAGGTTTGCGTAATTAATGAATGCCTATTTATACCAAGTGTCCCACAATAATTATGAATATTGCTGATTTTTCTTATATTATAATTATGAACTACATTCTTTTCCGTTTAACTAAAAAGGTGATCGATCTAAATAATCAAACATAAATCACGTACCAATAACAAACTTGAACTTAATATAAAAGCAAACCAAACAATGAATCTTCCAACATTGTTTTTCTCTTGTTGGTAAGTTTGCAACCAAAATATTTTTGCATGTAGGTACTGAAACTAAATTTATTCCACAGAAATAATGTTCCTGAAGCTAGTCCTCCTCAATGCTTTTGTAGTAGTTTACGTAAAAGCCTCATTATGCGATTGCATCGAATGGACAGGCCAAAGTTTGCAATTCCCCAACCAAAAAGAAAAGCTTCTATGCCAAACGAACGGCTCGTATATATCCAAAAATGGCCTGATGACCCGAGGACAAATCTACGAAAACCATCTCTACGGAGCCATGCCTAGATTCAAACCAGGAGTTGCTGCCACTCTAGTCAAAGTCTCTTTGAAATCCAAAGCTTGCGAAGCCTCACTAGTTCCATTTCCAAATTGGGAAGCCCAAAACGAGGATAATTGCGAAGGACTTCAATCTATAATGGATATATTTCTGGATCCTCACGGGTTTTTGTGGTGTTTGGATTCGGGCGTGGTGCTCACCCACACGGACAACCCGATCCGAAAATGTCCCCCCAAAGTGGTGATTTTCGATTTGAAAACTGGCAAAAAAGTGAAGACTGTGCACTTGTCCGGATTGGTTGTCAAGTGTTCCAGGCTCCAATACCTCGTTGTTGATTATAATGCAAACGGAAAACCGATTCTTTTAATCAGTGACGCTTCTTTATGCTCAATTTTAGTGTTTGATGTTGCGGAAGGCAAAGGATATCGTTTGGTTTTGCCTAAAGCTGTCGCAAATTGCAAACGAGATGTGCTTTATTTGTGTTTGATGCAAAAAACTTCTGGAAGCAAGTTTTTGATTGTCACCTATTTGTCTGGTAGTAGAGTGTTTTCCATAAACTTGGAAGATATTAGAAGGGGTTCGGCTGCTGGAAATATCCAGGATTTGGGCCCCAAGGAACGCAAAATCGTTCCAGTGAGTACCGATGGTGCTACTAGGCTGTTTTACAGACACGAAGGCGAATCGGATATTTACAAATGGGACGCTGATTCAGAATTATTTTGCGAAGGCAATTTGGTTTATAAGGAGGATAATTGTTGCTATTTGGCCACTCAAGTGATGCCTTATTACGCAGAGAACAGAATGATGCTGTTGGAGAGTAACTTTCATGATTATATTCAAGGCACTGTTGGCTGTGGAACTTCTCAAAGAGTTTGTCCAATGGTTAGTTATGTATAAGGAGTTTTATATTGAAAATACATTGATATTTGAAGAACAAAAACAATTAGTGGGTTTTTTGTCTTAGAGATATAACCTTTTCAAACATAGCAATGTGCTTTTTTTACTGACATTTTAGATTTACAAGATAACCCAGTAAAAAATTGTATCCTTGTGCTGTTACATAAAAAGTGGCTGTGTCGCAATTTTGTTTTAATTGGCACTTCAACAAACAAATAAATAGATTTTCCACTACCTTGACTGGGTGTTTTCTTTGTGTGTGAGAAACCCCATTCTTTTTTTTAGTCGTTTATAGAATATTAATCACGAAAATAATATCATTTTTTTTACATTTAGGACATCAGACTGAAAAGTAAAACGCGATCAAAGCTTAATTACTTTTCAATGATATATGATACCAGGTTTTGTTACAAAATTACAATTGCTCTCTTGACACCTTGTGCTCGAATTTCAGTAAATTATAAAAGTTGGAGCTTATGTAAACCTGAAACCCGATACTTTCGTTACGTACAGGACAGGTCAGTTGGGTCACATTATTCAAGAAAAAGAATGTCTACATTTTTATGTAAGGAACTTATTATGACAGATATGTTACAATGTGTATGTTTGTGAATTTATTTTTGGGGCTAAGTGTAAATTATTATTCCCCATCTGTAGGAAAATGATCCTTCTCGCTTTTTGCCTTGAAATAGGTATCAAGCATCAATTTGAAAGGAAATTCCTAACTTTGCTTCTGGGTTCAAGATCCACTTCTAATTCATTTTCCCTTATAAAAGATGAGGCTCTATTTCATGAATCCTATAAGTGTCAAATCGCTGTGATGAGTGGAAATATTTTTCAAAACCTATTTTGGGATTTTTTAGTTTTTTTCAATCATCAATTTGGAAGAAAATCCCTAACTTCGCTTCTGGGCTCAATAAGATCCACCTCTAATTTGTTTTCCTCTATACAAGAATCTCTATTTTATAAATTCTGTAAGTTTCAAAGTGAAACTTGAAAAGAACAACCAAAAATGAATCTTGTCATACAAAACCTTTCCTTTAAGTGTTAAGGAGTGTAAACAATTCTGGTTGTACAGGGTGTCCAAAATTCAATGGTTTTGGGGGGTTTCGGGTATTTCTAAAGGAGTTGGAAAAAATCTGACCCCCACTTGCGAGCCTCGATTTTCAAGAGAAATTGACTGGTGGAAACCGCATCTCGATATGTCGAGTCGTGTTTATGCTACGAGGGGTTTTTGAAAAGTTTGGAGTTTGGCTGTAACTTTTTTATTTATGAAAATTTGGTTAACTTTTCCCCTTTGTAGCTTGAAAACGAATCGGAGACATCGAGATGCGGGTTTCACCGGTCAACTTCTCATGAAAATCGAGGCTCGCAAGTAGTACCCGAAACCCGCTAAAACCATTGATTCTTGGACATCCTGTACATAAAGGTGTACATATTCTAGAATCCATAAACCAAATTAAATAAATAAAACACAAACAAATAATATTTTTCTAATAAAATTTATCCAAAACCCAATTATACTTTATAATCTTAACAGTTCTTTCTAATACACTATCATCCTCAATGCTATCATTTCCAAATGTGGATTCTCTAACACATTTTTCTGGACTAAAAGGGTTGACCAACGCGTAAACACTTCCCTGAGGATCACTGAATAATCTCGAAACGTACGGCATGCGTTTGTAGGATTGAGCTAAGACGTCATGATGTTCAGCATCCATTGATTCACTAAAAAAAAATTGTATAGTATATGCAACACGAAATTTTAAAAAAAGCCTACCCATTGATCCATCTAACAACAGCATAATCTCTAGTGAGATAATAAATTAAGCCATCTTTTAAGTCTGCTTGTAAACCACTGGAACTACCAAGCTTTTCTCCTAGGAATTTTGCGTTTATAGATATGGAACTTTCATTCTAGAACAATTAACATTTAATAATAAAACTTTACCATATTTTTGATAAACTTGCATATTGTTGGGGTAAGTCATCAGTATCCAAAGACAAAACTTGCAATTCCTTACTGCCAGTAACATACAGTTTTGAATTACTTATACTCAGAAATTCCAATGAAATGTGAGCAAATTGATGCAGCAATTTAACATGCATACAATCTAATTGGTTTAAGTAGCAGGCTAGGATTGTATTGTCTCCAGCATTTGCAATAAAAGCCCTAGAAAAATTGTTAATTTTTAAACCATTCGTTATTATACTAGGTACTTACCTGTGATTGCCAAATTTGTTATTTTTCTCAATCACTAAGCTAGTAAGCCTATTTTTAGGCACCTTGGCCAATTCAATAACGTCATTGTCCAAAAAAACATTATGGAGCATACTGTAAGCCATCAATTTGGCTGGACAATATTTGTTGCCCTTGTCCAAAATCCACAATTTTGATTTAATGGTCTCTTTGGCCAGCGATATGGCGTTTTGCAAATTGTCGCATTCGGCCCAAAGTTGATTATCCAGAGGTTTGTTAAATCTAGAAGGATTTTTCAGTGGATGTTTAAGTTTACGTAAAACTTTTACCTGCTTTTAAGTATAACGTTGTATTCTTTCCATGGTAGTTCAACCAAAGTAGGGCTGCTTATGTTGTTTTGGCATATGTTCCGAGGGATGGCCAAAAATGCCCTGTTGAAATACACCGCTATATCGCTAATGTAAGAATCACCACTGATTCCTAGTGATTCTAAACTTTTCAGATTTAAACTTTTGGAATTTTGTACTACTAATAAAACAAGGATGACGTTTAGATGCATTTTGAAGCAATACTAAAAATGTTAATTTGAGATGTTGCAATAATAATTATTGTAATTCTGCTGAATAATGATTGTTCTACTTATACAGGGTCTAATAATAATATTCTCTTTAATTTACCCATTGAATATAATTTTTCCAATTATGTATTAGGTAGCAGATTCCTACCTATAATGAATTCAAATTCAAAGTAGTTGAGTTTATTTTCTAATATTCGCTCAATTGAATTTTTCCATTGGTTTTGATACTTGCTTCAATTTTGTATCGTTCCAGGAGCTTGAATTGATGAAGTTGATTTGTTTCAGGGTTGGCTAAAATTTCTATTGGATTTTTGGCTTTTTGCGGGTTATTGTGTTAGTTTTTTGTGTTTTGGTAGGGTTTTTATGTTTGCTTAGGTAGACAAAATCGTGTATATGTTTCAACAGTTTTGCTCTTGAGAAGCTTCAAAATTAAATTCATCAACGTTGAAAATTTTCCAAAAATGATACTGATAGACAGTTTCTGCCTCATAGCTCCTTTAATTTTCATCCGATTTCAGTGTAGTTTAGCTCTAATTAAAGCCAATTAAATTCTCTACAAACCTATTATTTAAGATTTTAAATTATTGTCAACAGTTGTGCACCTGAGAAGCTTCAAAATTGAATTTATCGAACATTGAAAATTTGCAAAAAATGAGATTGAGGCAGTTTTTGCCTCACACTTCTTTAAATTTTCCTCCGATTTCAATGTAATTAAGCTCTAATTGAAGCTAATTAAATTCTCTACAAACCTATTAATTAAGATTTCACTTTGGCTTCAACAGTTTTGCATCTCAGAAGCTTCAAAATTGAAATTATCAAACATTGAAAATGACTGTGAACATGATACTGAGACAGTTTTTTTACTTTTTAGCTTACAGCTCCTTTAACTTTCATCCGATTTAAATGCAATTAGGCTCTAATTAAAGCCAATTAAATTCTCTATGAACCTATCAATTAATATTTTAATTTAGCTTTAACAGTTTTGCATCTGAGAAGCCTCAAAATTGAAATAATCGAAAATTGATAATTTTCCAAAATGACACTGAGACAGTTTTTGACTCACAGCTCCTTTAATTTCTATCCAATTTCAGTGTAATTTAGCTCTAATTAAAGCCAAGCAAATTTTCTACAAACCTATTAATTAGGATTTTGATTTAGGTTCAACAGTTTTGTACCTGAGAACTGAGAAGCCTCAAAATTGAAATCATCGAACATTGAAAACTTTTCCAAAAATGACACTGAGACAATTTTTGCTTCACAGCTTCTTCAATTTTTATCCGATTTCAGTGTAATTTAGCTGTATCTAAAGCCAATCAAATTCTCTACAAACCTATTGAGATTTTAATTTAGTTCCTACTGTTTTACAGCTGAAAAGCTCCGAAATTGATATCATTGAACATTGAATATTTTCCAAAAATGACACTGAGACAGTTTTTGCCTCACAACTCTGTTAATTTTCATCCGATTTTAGTGTAGTTAAGCTCTAATTAAAGCCAATTAAATTTTCTACAAATCTATTAATTAGGATTTTATGATTTTAATTTATTTCCAACTGTTTTGCAGCAGAAAAGCTTCAAAATTGAATTTATCAAACATTGAAAATTTGCCAATCCTAATTTGTTTCTTTTTTGTTATGTCTGTTATGTTGAAACAAATCTTTACTTTAATATTCATAAGCAACAACAGTTAATGTAAAGTCCCCTTATCCGGTACTGGGTATTTCTATCGAATAATTTTAAGAGGTTCTTCCCCATATCTTGTATTAAAATGCTATATTTAAAGCCAAGCAAATGCGATAACATGACACAATTATTATTATTGTCTTTAACTAGCAATTATTAAGTGGAAAATGAAGCTGTACATTTTTTTGTTTTTTGTGTTTGCAGTCATTTATTGTGGTAAGTACCAAAAAAATAAATAAAAAATTCTATATTTTAATCCATTTTTCTTTTAGTGGATAGTACCTCGTTAAGAGAAGATGTCTACCTTTGCCTTAACAACATGTGCCAGCAGTGGTGCAATCATAATTTCCCTGGAAAAAAAGGAGATTGTTCTGAAGTTACCAAAGCTGGAACTCAGTGCAAATGCATTTTATAATTAAATAAAAATCTGTAGCTTTATACAATAAACTTTATTATAATAAGAAAACTTATTCCTAAAATTTGACAACCTTATTTGGTCTCTTAACAAATCCAGCATTATTACTGGCAGCTTTATTTCCATCAAAATCATCAGGATTTCCATTATCCATCATCCCAATACTCAAACTGCTTTGCAGTTGCGATTGCTGGGCCTGATACTTGGGACAATCCTTTTTCAAGTGAGTCACATCCCCACAGACTTTGCAAGACCCTATAAAAATAAATGAAAATTGAAACATTATAGTTGCAATTTATTATTCAACATACCTCCTTTTGGATAAAGTCCTCGTTGATTATCCGGACACTGTCTGGATATATGGCCAGGCTCTTTGCAAATAAAACAAGTTGCAAACTTGTAGTCCATCCCTTTGACCACTTTGCATTGAAAGTGCGTGTGTTCAGTGGAACCGCATTTGAAGCAAATTCCAGTACCAGCTGTTTGGGCTAATCCTTGGTCTTTGCCCAATTCGGGACAATCTGATAGATTGTGGCCCGATTTGCGGCAATTGAAACAAACGTTTTTCTTTTCTCTGGTGAATGCTTTTTCCGCTCTACGACGTTCTAGTTTTAGGGCTACGTTGATTTCGCTTCTGGGCAGGCCTTTGCTGATCATTTCTTTTCTGAGTTGTTTGAGTCTGTCCGCGTCTTCTTTTTTGACTGGGAATCCATCCACGTAGTCTACGTCTACGGTTTTGCCATTTATGTACATTATTTCTGGTTTTTGTTTGCGATTTTCGTGGTTTTTGTTGTTGTCTCTTGGTTTAGGTGGTTTTTTAGTTTTGGGTGGTTGATCAAATTTCTTATTTTCATGGAACTTCTTATTTGAATCAAAATTATTATTTCCATTGATATTCCTATTTGAATTAAAATTGTTATTGTCATTGAAATTCTTCCTTTCATTGAACTTCTTATTGTTACTGTCATTGAAATTCTTGATTTCATTATTTGAATTAAAATTGTTATTGGCTTCTGATTCTTTGTTATTTTCTTCAGTTTTTGAAGCTTCTTTAAACTTTTGTCTCTTTTCAATTTGTTTAGCTTTCTTTTCCTTTTTTTTATTGATTTTTTTCAAATCTTCTTCGCCTAATTTTGGTTTGTTTTCTTCAGCTTTTTGCATTCTACCAAGTCTTCGTTTTTCCTTTTGTCTTTCTCGCCTTGCCAGTTTTCTTTCCAGTTTTGCTGCTTCTATTTCTTCTTTGGTTTCAGCCTTTTTTGGTACTTCTGAGGCGGGATTTTCATTTTGCTTTTGTTGTTTTCTGAGCTTCTTTTTTTCTAATTGTCTTTTGTACCTTTCTTGCTTTTTAGCAATTAATTTCTGTTCTTTTTCAGTCAAAATCTTTGTTGAAGGATTCTTTTCCTTGTCAACTACGATTGTGAGTTTCTGTTTTGTGTTTTTAGCCTTTTTCACAACAATTTCCTGGGGCTTTTGCTTTATACTGATTTCTTCTGGAGCAGAATCATCACTATCTACAATTTGCTCAGATTCTTCTGCATTGTCATTTTGTTTTTCTAAGGCCTTATCAATTTGAGCTTTCAAGGCTGAAAACTGTCCATCAGAGTCTTCAGAATCTTCACTTTTGATCTTCTTATTGCTAGTGTTAAAACTTTCACTGACCTTTCTTTTCTTACTGGCTTCAGGAAAATCAGCCCAAGCAATCTTTTTATCTTCTTCATCCTCTTTTTCCTGCAGGAAAGCTTGATAATTGGCCTGGCGCTTCTTGAGGGCCTCTTGTCGGCCCTTTTCCTCCGCAATCTCTTTGTTTTTGTTCAACATTTCCTGCTTCATTTCGCTCCAAGAAGTTGCCTGTTCTGGTAACTTTTCATTAGAGGCTTTCGAGCCTTTGGCTCTAGCAAATCGAGTCATTTTTACTTCGAATCAAACCAGAATTTTGTTAACAAACACGTTTTTAAAATGTTTGAAAAGTTTATAGTAAAAAAGTGAGGTTAGATTTTCAATGGTGACATGTGGAAGAGAAAAAAACCGATGTTGCCAAGTTTTAAGTACAAATCGTATATATTTTTTTTAAAAAAGATAAATTCCAGTATTTACTATTAAAGAAAAAATAGATTGATAATTGCTAATTAACTATAATAAAGCAATAAGCTTGAAAACAATAAAAAAAACTTTATAATTAGCAAAAACTAGTTTCCAGCACAAGAGTGCATTCAATGGACGTCGCTTTCATCAGCTGCATCTGACATTGACAAGTGACAATTCTTTGTTTTGAATCTGGGAAAAATTCCCTATTGTCACTTTTTGGGGCCCCTCTATTCTATTTATTACATAAACTTTTAATTAATTGAAAACAGCAACAAATTAAAGGTAATTATCGTGTATTCATTAATAAAATTCAGAAAATTCTAACCCAAAAACCATTTGTAGATGTTACGTAGCGCCTTTTTGCCAGCCAAAGAAGCCCTAGCCAATCAAAATTTGCTCAGATGTGTAGGTTTGGGCAATTTTCAAGTACCAACGAGGGAACAGTCGACGCAACCTGCTGTAGCTGAAGAAAAATACAAGCCCTACTCGCCCTTCCAAAATACCAGTAGTAAAGCTGAATACGCACTAGCAAGGCTGGATGATTTGTTGAATTGGGGTAGAAAAGGCTCGCTGTGGCCCCTTACCTTTGGTTTGGCCTGTTGTGCTGTTGAAATGATGCATATTGCAGCTCCCAGATATGATATGGACAGGTAAATACAGCTTTAGTAGAAACTATACTTTGTTGATAGTGTTTGAATAATTGGGAAATTTAAGGCCTTTTTATGCTCACTAAGGGCCAATTTCTCAAATCTCAATAGCAAGTCACTCCTGCGTTAAGCAGAGTCAGGGTAAACATTGCAACTGGACTACTGGACCCATTCACCCTGTAGTTAAAATAGTTAAAACCAACCTGGAGGTAATTTGCTATTGAGCAATCGACCCTAATAATAAGTAATAATAATAAAAGTTAAAAGTAAAGGTTTATCTTGTCCCTTAGGCCCAGTTTATTCATCTTCGGATAAACTTGCTGGTAACTATGTGTGTGTATATATAACAGGTATGAGTAATATTATAACACATAACATTAGAGAAGGTTCTTGTTTATAATGGTACAGCCCTGGTGTGGTGTACACCGAAATGTCGGCATTGATTTGATATTTAAATTCACGTCCAATAAGCCAGAAACCCGAGCTGTAACAAGTACATTACTCAAGTCTAGGGGCAAACCACCTATGAATTCTTTGCCAAAAATGTAAGAAATTTAGAGGAATTTGTAGGAACTCATCCGAATTTATGAGAATTTGGGGAATTTATAGGGAGTTTGGACGAATTTATGGGGAATTTGGGAGAATTTGTGTGGCATTTATGAGGAATTCTCGGAGGAATTTAAATGAAATTGTCAAATTTAAAAAATTCAAAAGATTAATGAAAACAGTTTTTGTAGGTTGATTTCCAAAATTTTTCATGTTACTGTTTTTCCAAGTGTTTTTTACTGGAAAAATTTGAAATTTTGAAAAAATGATCTTCTCACCTTCCTCTTTTCATGCAAAAAGTTTCAAAATTTTTCCTTCTCTAGTTTTCTAGGAAAACTTTGAGATATGTGAGACTGTATTTTTAATTAATTCAGTTATTGCAGGTTGATTTCCAAGATTCCTCATGTTGTAATTTTCCACTGGAAAAATTTGAAATTTTGGGAAAATGAGCTTCTCACCTTTCTCTTTACTTACATGCAAAAAGTTTCAAAATTTTCCCTTCACTAGTTTTCTAGGAAAACTTTGAAATATGTGAGACCATATTTTCAAATAATTCAGTTATTGTAGGTTGATTTCCATTTTTCAGGTTGCTATTCCCCATTGGAAAAAATTGAAATTTTGGGAAAATGAGCTTCTCACCTTCTTCTTTACATGCAAAAAGTTTCAAAATTTTCCCTTTACCAGTTTTCTAGGAAAACTTTGAAATGTGTGAGACTGTATTTTCAACTAATTCAGTTTGTATAGGTTGACTTCCAAGATTTTTCATGTTGCTGTTTTCCACTGGAACATTTTGAAATTTTGGGAAAATGAGCCCTCAACCTTTCTTCTCTTCGCATGCAAAAATTTTCAAATTTTTGCTTTCATTAGTTTTCCAGGAAAACTTTGAAATGTGTGACTGTATTTTCAATTAATTCAGTTATTGTAGGTTGACTTCCAAGATTTTTCATGTTGCTGTTTTCTACTGGAAAAAATTGAAATTTTGGGAAAATGAGCTTCTCACCTTCTTCTTTACATGCAAAAAATTTCAAAAATTTTCCCTTAACTAGTTTTCCAGGAAAACTCTGAAATATGTGAGACTGTATTTTCAATTAATTCAGTTATTGTAGGTTGATTTACAATATTCCTCATGTTGTTATTTTCCACTGGAAAATTTTGAAATTTTGGGAAAATGGCTACTCACTTTTCTCTTCACATGCAAAAAGTTTCAAAATTTTCCCTTGTCTAGTTTTCCAGAAAAACTTAAAAATATGTGATACTGTATTTTCAACTAATTCAGTTTTTGTAGGTTACTCGGTAGGTTAATTTCCAAGATTTTTCATTTTGCCGTTTTGTACTGGAAAAATTTGAAATTTTGGGATAATGAGCTTCTCACTTACCTCTTTACATGCAAAAAGTTTCAAAATGTTCCCTTCACTGGTTTTCTAGGAAAACTTTGAAATGTGTGACACTGTATTTTTAACTAATTCAGTTTGTATAGGTTGACTTTCAAGATTTTTCGTGTTGCTGTTTTCCACTGGAACATTTTGAAATTTTGGGAAAATGAGCCCTCAACCTTTCTTCTCTTCGCATGCAAAAATTTTCAAATTTTTGCTTTCATTAGTTTTCCAGGAAAACTTTGAAATGTGTGAGACTGTATCTTCAACTAATTCAGTTTGTATAGGTTGACTTCCAAGATTTTTCATGTTGCTGTTTTCTACTGGAAAAATTTGGAATTTTGGGAAAATGAGCGTCTCACCTTTTTCTCTACATGCAAAAAGTTTCAAAATTTTCCCTTAACTAGTTTTCCAGGAAAACTCTGAAATATGTGAGACTGTATTTTCAATTAATTCAGTTATTGTAGGTTGATTTATAATATTCCTCATGTTGTTATTTTCCACTGGAAAATTTTGAAATTTTGGGAAAATGGCTACTCACTTTTCTCTTCACATGCAAAAAGTTTCAAAATTTTCCCTTGTCTAGTTTTCCAGAAAAACTTAAAAATATGTGATACTGTATTTTCAACTAATTCAGTTTTTGTAGGTTACTCGGTAGGTTAATTTCCAAGATTTTTCATTTTGCCGTTTTGTACTGGAAAAATTTGAAATTTTGGGATAATGAGCTTCTCACTTACCTCTTTACATGCAAAAAGTTTCAAAATGTTCCCTTCACTGGTTTTTCAGGAAAACTTTGAAATGTGTGAGACTGTATTTTCAACTAATTCAGTTTTTGTAGGTTGATTTCCAAGATTTTTCATTTTGCCGTTTTCTACTGGAAAAATTTGAAACTTTGGGATAATGAGCTTCTCACTTACCTCTTTACATGCAAAAAGTTTCAAAATGTTCCCTTCACTGGTTTTCCAGGAAAACTTTGAAATGTGTGAGACTGTATTTTCAACTAATTCAGTTTTTGTAGGTTGATTTCCAAGATTTTTCATTTTGCCGTTTTCTACTGGAAAAATTTGAAATTTTGGGATAATGAGCTTCTCACTTACCTCTTTACATGCAAAAAGTTTCAAAATGTTCCCTTCACTGGTTTTCCAGGAAAACTTTGAAATGTGTGAGACTGTATTATCAATTAATTCAGTTTTTGTAGGTTGATTTCCAATATTCCTCATGTTGTTATTTTCTATTGGAAAATTTGAAATTTTGGGAAAATGAGCTTCTCACCTTCCTCTTTCCATGCAAAAAGTTTCAAAATTTTCTCTTGTCTAGTTTTCCAGAAAAACTTAAAAATATGTGATACTGTATTTTCAATTAATTCAGTTATTGTAGGTTGATTTCCAATATTCCTCATGTTGGTATTTTCCACTGGAAAATTTTGAAATTTTGGGAAAATGAGCTACTCACCTTTCTCTTTACATGCAAAAAGTTTCAAAATTTTTCCTTGTCTAGTTTTCCAGAAAAACTTAAAAATATGTGATACTGTATTTTCAACTAATTCAGTTTTTGTAGGTTAATTTCCAAGATTTTTCATTTTGCAGTTTTTTACTGGAAAAATTCGAAATTTTGGGATAATGAGCTTCTCACTTACCTCTTTACATGCAAAAAGTTTCAAAATGTTCCCTTCACTGGTTTTCCAGGAAAACTTTGAAATGTGTGAGACTGTATTTTCAATTAATCCAGTTTGTGTAGGTTGATTTCCAAGATTTTTCATGTTAGAAAACTTTTAAATTTTGGGAAAATGATCTTCTCACCTTCCTCTTTTCATGCAGAAAGTTTCAAATTTTTTCCTTTTTTTAGAGGAATTTGTGGGGTATTTGGAGAAGTTCGTGATGGGACATTTGGAGGAATTTGTGATGGGGTATCTGGGGGAATTTGCAGGAATTTTGAGGAATTATGTGAAAAAAATTTCCCTTTGAGGAATTGTTTGCACCAATTTTGGGATGGTGGTTTACCTCTTGACTCAAGTACTTAGAGTACAAGTACAAAATACTTGAGGTTTTGTAGAAGTAATTGAAGTACAAAGTACATATTTTTCTTAAATGTACTTCAATTACCAAGTACCGAGGGGTGGAAATCACTGTACACTTTGCTGGGAAGACTTTGGGAATACCTAGGAATACTCGGTGATACTCTGAGAATACCTAGGAATACTTGTAAATCTTTGGGAATACTGGATATACTGGAAGTATATAGGAATACTCTGGAAGTACATGAGAATAATTTGGAAGTACTTGTAAATTTGTCCCAGTTTCCCAACATATTTTTGGAAATTTCCAAGAATTGCTTGCATGTGACCCTAATTTTGAGGCAACTGAAACAGTGACCCCTATTTTCTTATGCATTCACATAGTAATACTGTTGATACGGTACCACATGAAATCTGCTAGGAATTTTATGTAGAATCCAAATATGCATTCATATAAGCATAGGATGTTTCATTTGGAAAAACAAAGTTGGTTTGGATAGCTAACAAATCAGAAGTGACAGAAGCAATTCGTCTAGGTAGAAATGTGGGAAATTATTCATTGAGCAACTTTCATTAAGGTCACTTTTTCGTATACAAGGTAATCGAGAAGGTAATTAAAAAGTTACAGGTATTATGCACGACTTTTCTGCCACTCTGTATAGACAAGATTGTACTTGCAAGACTTTCATTGTACTTAAAGTATTTATAAAAACATTGAGTACAATTTCAAGTATTTTTCTTGAAGTACCTGACAGCTCTGCCAGAAACTGACTTTCATTTGACAAATTGTTGATGTACAAAAATTCCAAAACTTTAAAATCAGAGTCCCGCTAAGACAGTCTATCAGGACCAATTTTATTGGTGCAGAATTTCATTTTGAGGCTCTATGTGGCCTGAAATAGAGTTTTTCAATTGAGCTGAAGATTTCCTGTTTGTTGGAATAGAGGCAGTTAATTGGATAATTTTGTTTATAGAGCTTGAATATTTTTTTAAGTACCTCAGGGGAGTAGATGTAAAGATTGAGTGATTTTTATATTTTCCTCAAATCAATTTTTGTCTGTTCCCGGCTCTTGAATATTTGATTTTTATAATTTTTGTTTCCTTCAGTTTCCTTCAAGAGCCTGGAATAGAGAAGACATTTATATTTTTACTTGTCAACCAATTTTGGTTCAATTTTTATTAAATTTCTTTCTTTATTCTTTGCTTTTTTTCCTCCAAACAAAGAAATTCGAAAGCCTTAATTTCTATTAAATTATCTAGATTAGACATAGAACGTGACCAATGAGAAACCAGTAATTGGCTCAACCATGATGGGTCTTTCATGGCTACCATCATAAAAATTTCATCTAAGGTTACTTTTGAAGATGGTGGTACTGTTTTTATTTTCTTCAAGCTATTGCAATGGACTTTATTATTGTAAATAGCCTGTTTTTTCCAAATCTTTTTCCGAGTATGTGTGACTTATAAATGCTGATCACATTCAATTGGTAAAACCTCACTTCACTAAACTTGGTGCTTGATGTACAATTTTTCTTTAAAATTTATAATTACATACCTATTCCTGTTATGGTACGATCTAAGTTTGGTTTTGAAAAGGGGCCCACAGACTGCGTTTTTGTTGGACGGATTTGTTCGACGAGCAAATCTGGTCGAGCAAAAACGACGCAAAACCAAAGTGTGTGAGCGAAAAATTGTCGTTGTTGCTGGCATACAAAACCAATGCAAATATTTGGCTTGGCCTAATTTTGTCTGTCGGATATCTTCGATAAGTCGACAAATCTGAAGTGTGTGGGCTACGAATTTTAAAAACGACGGTTTTGTGTGGTGCGTAGCTACAGAATTTTATATTATTAAAATTTTTAAAAAAATTAAATTTCCAACATGACTGATGTTCGCCAAACTAAATTATTGAGATCTGTGTGCAACTGCGATCCGTCGTTTTTGCTCGACCAGATTTGCTCGTCAAAGAAGAACGCAGTCTGTGGGGGCCTTAAAAGAGTTAAAATGTTCCAATTATCCAAAATTCAAATTTTTTCAGATTTGGTGTGGTGTTTCGTGCCTCTCCACGTCAAGCCGATTGCATTATCGTAGCCGGTACCTTAACAAATAAAATGGCCCCCGCCCTAAGAAAAGTCTACGACCAAATGCCTGAACCCAGATGGGTAATTTCAATGGGTAGTTGTGCCAATGGCGGCGGATATTACCATTATTCATACTCTGTTGTAAGGTAAGTAAATTGATCTCAAACTAAAAAAAACAGGTTGTAAAATGGTTTTGTAGAGGATGTGATCGTATTGTACCCGTGGACATTTACGTACCAGGCTGTCCACCAACAGCTGAGGCTTTGCTTTACGGAGTGCTACAGTTGCAAAAGAAAATCAAGAGGTACAACACTTTACAGATGTGGTACCGGAAATAAAAACCATTCTTTTTGTTTACTAGACTAATTGATAGGGATATTTATTTTGTGTAAATATTGATGAAACTTTGATGATTACCTTTTAAGTTGAAAATGGTTTTTAATTAAATAAAATGTTAATTATTTGTGAAACATTCCACTTTTGATATATATTTTTTTTTTTATACAACACTGTCCCTGAGATAAACTTCAAAAAAGACAAAGTACATCAGCTGGTGATCCGATTAATCAAATCAGCGTTTCCAAAAAGGCCTATAGAAACAGTACAAAATTGCCATGAATATTTGAAGAACCAAAATAAGGTGACAGATTCAGTACAGAAATCAAGTCTAACTTCTCATATAGGATCAAAACATCCAGAAGTCATTATACTAAAGAAAACTAAAAGTGAAGACATTATTGGAAAATTGAAAGATATCTTTGGACGTTATGAAATTCCAGAGATATTATACTCAGATGGTGGATCACAATTTGATAGTTACAGTTTTAGGAAGTTTGCAAAAACTTACAACTTCAACCGCATAAAAAATAGCCCCAAGTTTATACAAAATAATGGCTCGGCAAAAAGACATGTACAATTAGTGAAAACGCTGTTGAAAAAAGTCTGAAGATCCTTATTTGGGAATATTAGCATAATGCAATACACCACTTTCATGTGGAAACTCTCCATCAGAATTACTATTTGGGAGAAAACTAAGAGAAATTTTAATTACCAAAACTAATAAAACTGATTGACCATGAAAAAGTTAAGAAGAAGCAGAGAGAAGAACAAGAAGAAGCAACTAAAAATTATGACTGTAGACATAAATCAAAAATTTTATCATGCATAAAAGATATGAAATGTAATGGACACATTGTAACACAATGTCCAGAACCAAATTCATTTATGGTCCAGACTGAAGATGATATTCTACGGAGAAACAGAAAATTTTTGGTAAAACTTTCCGATATCAAGGGAAACAATGTAAACAAAAAAGCGGAAATCTACAGAGATAGAGGAATATGTATACCCTGAAGTAAGGCGAAGACAAACAAAACGAATGAATTAAAGTAATACTAATTAATTTAAAGTATCCAATATAACATGAATAGGATAGGGTTTAAAGAAAACTACACCAATTTATGACTAAATGTTTCTATTATTATAGAAACAATATTTTTATTCATTTATATTACATCACTTGGATTCCGTACAAGAATCGTACACATAAAAAATTGTATTTTTTCTAACAAACACTTAGGAGCACAGTATAATTTTTTTTTATCTATAATAATTTTTATTTAAAGGCTGGGAGTATTTACAACGCGTTTAATAACTTCCGTACTTGTATCCTATTTGAGAGAAGAAAAAACAAAACCTAGAACCACTGGCAACTACAAATTATTAACAAGGTTCTGGGTTTTCTTTAGTGGGAAAATGCAAAATAATAATGAACTTACTTTTTGGCTAAAGGACCCTGTCCAAAGTATACAGAAATTGTTTTGATTGAATTTTGTATGTAATGTAGATCACGCTTTTCTGATTGACCCGGGAGTACACGCGTGCCAGTCAAAAGGACCGACCATTGATAAAATCAGTGACTACGCCACTGGACAAGAGTGACAGTTTTGTCCATCCAGGAATGCCTGATGCAGGTTTTCCACTATCCATTGGCACAAAAATATTTTGGTTTTTGGTTGAAGTATAGTTCGTTGTTTTCATAGTCGGTGCTTTTGAGTATAGGCACGTGAACCTGTATCTAAAATATTTGTGTTCAAAATTGGCATTTTCTGATATTGGGAGTACTTTTGGCTGTCAATACGGTAACTGTACTGCATAATATAATTCCCTTTGTAATAATTATGAGTTCTAGGAATTATAGTGCTTGTACACTTTTTTCGCAGAGACCCAAACATATCCTGAACGCTAAGGCATGACTTACGCAGGTAATATTTGAAAGTTTCATGTCTCTATTGATTAGTAAACCTTCGTAGGTCATGCCTTAGCGTTCAGGATACGTTTGGGATCGTTTCCGCAAAAAAAGCTAATAATTCATATAAACTTTTGAGCAGTTGGTCGATTTGACCGTACACGTGTAATGACGTAAGTTTTTTGACGCGTGTAATGCCAGGTTCAAAGTTACCATTGCACCAATCCTGAAAATGACTTACTGAATTACATTGAATGTTCATTACAATATCCAAGTGTTCTACTTGCTACCTATGGAATCAATTTTCTTAAAAAAGAGTCATTTTTCAGGATTGGCGCAATGGTAACTTTCAATCAGGAAGGCGTGATCTACATTATATACAAAATTCAGTCAATTCTGACATAAACACAATTTCCGTATACTTTGGGTAGGGCCCTTTAATTCTGACAATGCCACCTGGATTGGTCCACAAATTCTACAAAGTGTAAATTTTTGATTTATTTGGTACCCTGTTAACAGAAAAAATTTGATCTACAGCTACATTTTGGTCCAATCTAAAGTAAAATACTACAATAATTTTGCCAGGTGGCTCAATATTATATACATTGTGTTTCAATTTAATGCCAATTAGGAAAATACAAGTACAACTCACACGAAAATTATATTTATCTAGGATTCAGGCTCTTTACTTTGAAACACTTTGTATAAACGGACAAATTACTAAAACAGTGACTGTGTGGCCTACAATTTGACAACCTAAAAAAAAGATGATACATCATCAGTCTTAATAAATAAATTACCTATGTAAAACAAGGGGGGCGCTATGTACAAATAAATTAAAACAAAAAAAAATACAATAGGGTGATAGGTATGTTACATGTATAATTTATCTTCACAAAAGCTTGTTTTTTTTTTTTTTTTTGAAAATACAATATTTACAAGTTTATTTTTTAGGCAGTTGTACCACTACGTGAACAATATAATTCAATAGGAACTTGACTGGCAATATTAACGAAATGGACAAAATTTACACTAAATTTGACATCAATTTTCTCTTGAACATTTTGCTCGATTTCGATGATTTTCTCACAGTTCGAAAAAGATTTGGTGTTGAAAACTATTGTGAATTTCTAGTGGTTTACTCCACAAGGTGCCTCAAAAACCTCTGAAAATTACTGACTTTTCTTCAATCTCTGTATATGATATAAAGACGAATCATTTATTAACGGTAATAAGTCAGATGTATTCCTGAAGAATTAAGCTACAATCTGTGAAAAAATCATCGAGATCGGGCAAGAGAAAATTGATGTTAAACTTAGTGTAAATTTTGTCTGTTCCCCTAATTTTACCGCTGTGTGTACAGGGTATTTGATTATATTTGGCACCATATCTACAGCCTTTACTATTTAAGATAGAAAAAAATTGTAGATACAAAACTTGACAGTTTTTTTCTATATTTCTATATATATAAAAAACAAAATCGCATCGGAAAATCGAGAAACGTAGAGAACTTCGAATTTTTTTAAATGAAACACCCTGTATATTTTGCGATAAAATGAAAGACCTTTTCTTCCTGATTAGTTGATTACAAATATATATATGTTGATCACATTTCCATGAGCCATTTTTGACATATCTCAGGTTAAATTATAAAGAATTTGCAGAGAAGTTCGATAAGGATCTCTATCTTTATAAAATTTCTTTGCAATTTAGTTATAATTTAAGCTATGTCAAAAATGGCTGATGTAAATATGATCAACATATACAGGGTGTATATTTTAAGTGATACCACTATTGCTATATCCGAAACGGTAAGAGCTACAAGGTCGGTTAAATTAGAAAAAAGTTGCCTTTTTTGATGCCCATTCAAGACGTGTTTACAGTGTTGCCAAATTCCTTTTAGTTTATGAAATACAGGTTCATAACTAAGGCCGAATTAAGGTAAAATTTTGGTAAAAATCACTAATGATCACTTTTTAGAGCAGAAACGTCGGCCAATCATACTTAAGAGGTATATCGTTAAAGAGGGAATAGAGGGCACTTTCTAAAAATGATATAAAAAATCCAAGTCCGTATTCAAAAAAATGAAGTTGATGATGGTAGCTCGATCACGAAACGTCGGATTTAAATTTTGAAGATGCCATGTTGTAGAGCGAAAAAAAAATATGAAACATTCAAATTGTGTCTCGAAAATCAATAGTTTTCGAAATAATTGATGAAATATTTTTAGCCGTTACTTAAAAATCACCCTGTATTTCATAAACTAAAAGGAATTTGGCAACACTGTAAACAAGTCTTGAATAGGCATCAAAAAGGCATATTTTTACTAATTTAACCGACCTTGTAGCTCTTACCGTTTCGGATATAGCAATAGTGGTATCACTTAAAATATACACCCTGTATATATTTGTAATCAGGAAGAAAAGGTCTTTCATTTTATCGTAAAATATACAGGGTGTTCCATTTAAAAAAGTCGAAGTTGTCTACATTTCTCCATTTTCCGATGCGATTTTATTTTTGCTGATAATGTTAAAAGAAAATATAGAAAAAAACTGTAAAGTTTTGTATTTACAATTTTTTTCTATCTTAAATAGTAAAGGCTGTAGATATGGTGCCAAATATAATCAAATACCCTGTATATAGCTACTTCAAGCTCCCACTGAAAATACCTAAAACTAATGCGCGGTCATATTTAGCACATTTTCAGTGTCAATTTATTCTACATATATACATCTAAAATGACACATAGTTAAAAATTAATGAACACAAGGATGCCGTTTGTTGTTTATTGCAAGGTAAAGATGGGAAACGGGGCACCGGGATCCAAAAATCATTTTTTACTAAAAATTTGTACTTTTCTTCGCGTTTGCCATCTTTAATAAACACATTTTTGCCTTTTTTGATTAAATTTGAGATCATTTTTTTTATGAATAAGACGATTTCAATTCAAATGGGTTTTCCGCTAAAAAATTCACTGGTCAATCACGTTAAAGCTCAATTAAAAAAAAAAAACAGAAATCGAAATCGCCTTGCTCACCTTTTTCATCTCTAGAGGACATTCGGTCCTATATATTATATCACTTGACCACAATTATAGCATCAATTTACAACCGCTATCGGGGCTCTTCTTTTTTGTGTATTTCCGTAGGAGGTGTAGCGCTCATTTTATGTACCGGCTGTGGCGGTCCCGGTCCACCCCTCAAATGCAACAACGAAGGATCTTTGGGCCTAAAGTACCATCAATCAATTCAAATTCAAAAAACATCTCAAGAATAATTACCTCAGTTGCGACTGGTGGTGGGCAGCAGCATAAGCACCGTAATAACTAGCAGCAGCTGCAGCTCTATCATCCATAGACCGCATGGGGTCCATTAAATGATTATAACTATAACGGTGGTAGAAAGGATCAGAGGCCATTGTTGTGGGTGGCCAATGGGACGCCGGAGGATAGTGAGGCTGCAAACTGTGCGCCAACATTCTCGATCTGTCCAATGCTGACGGTGGAGGAGGTTGAAGCGAACCTGGATGTCTTAAGTAGGGATGATACCTAAAGACCGTCCTATATTGAAAGTATATTTGTGTACAAAAAAAAAAATAAAATAATAAAAATAAAAATTTATTTTCCAAAAAAGCTTAAAGGCTTAATTACAGGAAAACATAAGCGCAACTAGGCTCCAAATTTGAGGGGATTTGTACTTACGTCATCGATGACGTCATAACTTAGAGAAAAAGTTATGTCATAGATTAATAATTCATGGAGCACCTTCGGAATTATTGTTTTGTCATACATTTTTTAACTTAGAAGAGAATTTATTTAGTTATCCGAAAATATATAGATAAAATTTCTCCTAGAGTGATTTTACACTGGAAAATTTTTGAAATTTTCCTTCTGCCAGTTTTCCAGAAAAAATTTAAAATTAAAAGAATGAATTTTGCTTAAAAGTTAGTTTTCCAGAATTTCTCCTGGAGTGATTTTTTACTGGAAGATGTTGAAATTTTTATATAATGAACTTCTCACTTTCCTCTTTCTCCTGTAAAATTTTCAAAATTTTCCCTCTGCTAGTTTTCGAGAAAAAAATTAAAATGTAAGTGGATGAATTTTCCTTAATTTTGCTTAAAAGTCAATTTTCCACAATTTCTCCTGAGTGATTTTTTAATGAAAAATGTTGAAATTTTGCTTTAATGAGATCCTCACTTTCCTCTTTTTTTCTGGAAAATTTTCACAATTATCCTTTTGCCAGTTTTCTAGAAAAAAAATAAAATGTAAGAAAATGAATTTTGCTTGAAAAAGTCAATTTTTCCTTAGTTTTTGCATTTTCGAAAAACTCATAATTTTCGTAATTCCCCCGTAACTTTTTCGTAATTTTCCCATAACTTCAAAAATCATAATTTTTTCGTAATTCCCGTAATTTTTTGTACCTATTTCTAATTCTCCTAATTTTTTAAAAAACTTCGTTATTTTTAAATTCCCCCCAAGTTTTGTAATTTTCATAATTTCAAAAATTCGTGATTTTCGTAATTCCTATAATTTTTGTGATTTTTGTAATTCTTTTTATTTTTATAATTCCAGTAATTTTTCGTAATTCCTGCAATTTTCCGTAACTTTTCAAAAATTGCGAAAAAATGAGTGTCAAAATCGCAGGAAAGTGACCTTGAAATTAAAAAAATGAGGTTATAAATACGAAAAACAAAAGTAAAGATTATGGAAAAATTAGGTTGAAATTGCGGAAATGTGAGGCGAAAATCGCGGAAAAGTGAGGTTATACTTATTGAAAAATGAGGCAAAAATAACGGAAAAGTGAGGCAAAATTTCGGAAAAATTTGTTGAAATTGCGAGAAAGTGAGTTTGGACTTTGAAATTGCGTAAAAGTGAAGGTGAAATTGCGAAAAAAAATTGTTAGACGCCGTTATTTCTCAACTAAATTTCGTTATTTTTATAATTTTTCCTTAGTTTTTGCAATTTTCGCAAAACTCGTAATTCCCATAACCTCTTCGTAATTTCCTTAATTTTTCGTAATTTTCCAAAATTCATCGTAATTTTTCTGTAATTCCCGTAATTTTTGAATAATTAATTCCTGTTGTTTCTCAGATTTTCGTAATTTTTTAATTTCCGTAATTTCTCAAAATATTCAGTTACTTATTTTATAATTCTCCCTAAGTTTTTGTCATTTTCAAAAATTCGTAATTCCCGTTATTTTCGATTTTTTTTTTGTGAATTTTCATTATTTCCGTAATTTCTCAGTAATTCTCTCTATTTCTATAATTCCTCCTTAGTTATTGTAATTCTCGGAAAACTCGTAATTTTCGTAATTCCCATAACTTTTTCATAAATCCCGTAACTTTCCAAAATTATCGTAATTTTTTCGCAATTCCCGTGATTTTTTCTTATTTCTTTCAATTTTCATAATTCCTGTAGTTCCTCAAATTTGCGTAATTTTGTAATTCCCGTAATTTCTCAAAAGCTCCGTTATCTTTATAATTCCCCCCAAGTTTGTTGTGATTCTCATAAATGGGTAATTCCCGTAATTGTTTTTTTCTTCGAATTTTCGAAAATTTTCCAATTCCCGTCATTTCTTTAAAAAATTTCGTTAATTTCATAATTCTCCCTTAGTTTTTGTAATTTTCGGAAAATTCGTGAATCTCGTAACTTTTTGTAATCCTTGTTATTTTCGTAATTTCTTGAAAATTGTCACAATTTTTTAAATTCCCGTGATTTTTTCGTATTTTTCATAATTTTTGAATAATTCCTGTAGTTTTCAGATTTCCGTAATTTTTTAATTCCTGTAATTTCTCAGAAAACTCCGTTATTTTCATAATTCCGAAATTATGTAATTCTCGTAATTTTCGTATTTTATTTTGGGAATTTTCGAAATTTTGTAATTCCTGTCATTTCTCAGATAATTCTCGTTATTTTCATAATACCCCCTTAGTTTTTACAATTCCCGAAAAACTCGAAATTTTCGTAATTCCCATTATTTCGTAATTTTTTAATTTCCGTAATTTCTCAAAAAAATTCCGTTAGTTTTATAATTCCCCCTAAGTTTTTGAAATTTTCGAAAGTTGGTAATTCCCCCTTATTTTTTTCAATTTTTGGAAAACTTGGTAATTTTCGTTATTCCCTAAGTTATTGTAATTTTCGTAATTTCAAAGACTTGTGATTTCCGTTATTTTGGGAATTACCGCATAATTCACGAATTCACGTAATTTTGAAATAACTTTGTAATTCTTTCCTGTAATATTTCGTAATACCCGTAATTTTTGTAATTTTCGTAGTTTTTCATATTTTCCTTAATTCCCGTAAATTTTATAATTTCTCATAATTGCCGTACATTTTCGTCATTTTGCTAAGTTCCGTAAATTTTTATAATTCCCATTATTTTTCGTAATTCCTAATTTGTCTTGTTAGTTTTCGTAACTTTTCAAAAATTAGTAATATTTAAATAATTGACGTAATTTTGGAGTAACTTCGTAATTCTTTTGCGTAATATTTGGCAATTCCCATAATTTTTGTAATTCCCGCAATTTTTTGTTATTCCGTAATTCTCGTAAATGTTTGCAATACTCATAATTTTTCATATTTTACGTACTTTAACGTAATTCCCGTAATTTTTCGTAACTTTTCAAAAATTATCGTTATTCTCGTAATTTTGAAATGAGGAAAAATTAGGTTAAAATCGCGGAAAGTGATGATAAAATCGCAAAAAAAGAGTCAAAAATCGCAAAAAAAAAGAGTCAAAAATTTCAAAAAAAGTGGGTTTAAACTCGCGGAAAAGTAAGATGAGACTCACGGAAAAATGAGGATAAAGTCACAAAAAGTGAGGATAATATCGCGGAGAATGAAATAAGAATCGTGGAAAAGTGAGGATAACATCGCACAAAAAAAGTGAGACAAGAATCGCGGAAAAATGAGGTAATATTTGCGGAAAAGTGGGTTTACAATCGCGGAAAAGTGAATTAAGAATCGCGGAGAAGTAAAATCTAAAATTTCTAAATTATGACGTCATCGATGACGTAAGTAAGTACAAAAAGTACAAAAAAAAAATAATAATTTGGTTGCACTGATTTTTTATATTAGTATTAGGTAGTGCCACTGTAGGTAGTGCTATGGTGGGATGCCGAATGGGAGTGCTAATTTTTGCTTTAGGGGTGCTTAGCACCCCCAAGCACCTCCCTAGTTGCGCTTATGCAGGAAAAATAAAACAGTTCCAACAGACATAAAAACGAGTAATTTCCAGTTGTCCACCTAATTTTCAATAAGATGAACATTTATCCTAACTGACAAATAAATTGATCGACTGGAAATTGCTATTCTATATAGAACAGTTCTCATGTCTGTTGGAACAGAACTTATAACAACAATAACTGTATGATGAAAATAAAACTCTGATTCTGACTTACCTTGGATCAGTTCTTGCTAATAAGTCCTCTTCCTTTACTCTCGGTTCTTCTTTGACCCTAATTTCGGACATTTCAGGTTGGCCATTTCTTAAAGGCGATCTGTCTCGCATCACTGGCACACTCTGTTTTGCAGCAGTCTCAGCCGCCATACGTTGCTGGTGCAACAAAACCTCTCGCTCTCGTTCTCGCCTCTCGTTTTCTCGCCTCTCCATTTCCCTCCGTTCTTTTTCTCGTCTTTCGCGTTCTCGCTCTTGTTGCTGTTGCTATAAATAAAAAATTAAATTAATCTTGTTAACTCAACAATCAAACAACTTACCTGTTCTAATCGTCTCTGTTTCTCTTCTCGTTCTCGCCTCTCCCGTTCCTCTCGCTCTCGCCTCAGCCTTTCGCGTTCTCGCTCCTCCCTTTCGCGGGCTTCTCGTTCCCGTTCTCGCTGTTCCAGAACGGGATCGGGTTTCAACGTCCAAGGAGCCGGACCCGGAGGCAGACCGGGTAAACTAGGCGGTAAGGCGTTGACGGCAGGCGGAAATCCGGACATGGAGCGTTGCATCGCGCGCCACGGATCGTGGTGCAACGGTCCTAGTCCTAGGTGGTCCCCTCTGGATGCACCAAAAGGTGACATGGAAAAAGGGGAACCTCCCGAGGCTCCCATAGGTGCACCGGCGTACCTACTGAATGGAGACATTGACGATGCGTTGGTGAATGGTGATTTGCCTGTAACAAAGAGAGTTTCTAAAGTTAATCCCAACTTCAATAAGAATTGTGTAAAAATGTTAGATGGAAACTTTTAGAATGTCCTTGATCTTGACAGTCTCTCAATGGAAGTTATATGCTCTGTATAAGTAAGATTCTGAGTTTATCAAAGACTATTCTAGAGATTTTCTTATACTTCAATTTAATAAACTCAATAACTAAATGGATAAACTATGCAAACAAATAATGAGATATTTGCCAGATACTTCATTATCGTCAACAAAACAACAAGTTATATACAAATTTTTAGAATATCCTATACTTTATAGTTTTCTCTTACTTCAAGGAATTATTGGTATTTAAATTCAATATCCAACCAATTATTCTTACCTAAATGACCAGACGGCGCAGCAAATAAACTGCCACCATGATGCGACGGTTGCTCAAAACCCACCGGCCGGTGACCGCCGAGCCCCGAGGGCGGATACGGTCCCAATTCGGGCGGTCTCGAGTGCATTCCAGGTGAAAATAAATGCGAAGGAGCTCTCAGTAGGTCGGCAGTGTTGGGAACTCCAGGTTTCGGCGCTATTCCCGCCAACGAACCTTTGGCATCTCCCGATTTTTGCTGGTGATGGTAAATCTCCCAAGCCACCCTCACGTGCATCGCATTCCATTTGCCATTTTTCTAAAATAGGTACAATACAATCATAATACAAGATTTTGTGGTAATATAGAAAAATAGTGAAGATGATGTGATGTTAATGAGTTACATACCATGATTTTAGGTTTACTGGGGTCTTGGGAACTCAGCGACTGTGAAAACAAAACAAAGAAGCATTAGAGTTAGAGGGCGCAAGCATGCCATCTCAAGCAGGAACAATGAATGATGAATAGTTAAATTTCTAATGATAATAGCTCTGTTCCAAAAGACATGATAACTGTTCTAGAACCAGTAATTTTTCAATAAATTGAATGTTTATCCTATTGGCAAACATATTGATCGACTGGAAATGACTGATGTCTGTTGGAACAGAGTTATGGTTTATTTTTACCTTTGGTTGAAAGGTAGGCAGATGATTAGGCGGTACAAAGGGAGTGGGTCCAGTTGTCAATCCAGGATGTCCCATCAGACCAGGATTGTATCCTGGGTAAGTTGGCACGCCTAAACCTTGTCGGTAGAAAGACGAATCCACGCTACCCAATTTGGGAATGTCTTTGAACTGTAAATTATTTTTATTGTAGTATTTGTGTAGCAACAATAATCATGTTGTGTAGGGTGAGTATAGGGATCTTGGTAACCATTTTTTAAAAATTATTTTAATGTTCTGATGTAAACGCATCCACAGTTGATGTATGGTTACCGAGATCCCCACGCTTACTAACAAATTTGTAACACCCTGTATACTTACACTGCTCTGTGTTCTTCTAGCCAGTCTGTCCATAGGAGATAGAGGCTGTAATTACAATAAATTATTAAACAAAAATTGAAAAACCTCTTAGTAGTTAGTCTTTACCATTTGCGAAGGAAATAGTCCGGAACCGGGAGGCGGCAACAGCGACGTAGTATGCTGATGCACGTGCGTATGATGGTGCTGATGCTGATGCATCTCGGTGCGCAGGTACGGAGGCGGAGCCACCCCTAAACCCCGATCTTGAGACGCCAAAAACCGGTTGTCCAGCTCGCGTCGTAACATGTCGGCTTGATCCGGAAACGAATGTTTCTCTGTTTGTTCGAGGATTTTTATTATTAAATAAAATTAAATGTAAAACAAATACTTACTTGTTTGGAAGAGGCTCTCTGCTGAAAAAGGATTCGGGTTGCTGGCAGTGGGGGTGGATGGTGCCGTCGACACCGCAGGTGGCGCTATGGTGGGTGGAGCAAACATTGGCTGAGCTCCGCCAGAGGGAGCGTAAGCGCCGCTGTGTAAAGGCTGAGCTGGTCGAGGAGGCGCTGGACTATAAGAAAAAAAAAGTAGCATTAGGCACTGTTAGATTTACAATCAAATAGCCATAGCATAAGTTGTTGATTAATAAGATATGACAATATTATGTCAATGTGTAGGTTACACAGATGTCAATTAATTAGTCAAGTTTCATGACTGTGTTTCATGAGATGAATTTAAACAGTGTACAATCGTAATCAAGTGTAATCGTGCCAAAGTCTGAGAGTTGTGAAAACGGTGTTTCTTTTGATAGAAGCAGAATATATCTGGCTTCAGCGATTGATCTAAGCAAATCCCTAGTGCCTTTAACATAAAGAAAAAATTGGAGATAAATAGAAGGAATTGAAACGAATTTGTGTTCGGAACATGGCCCTGAGCCAGACCGTTTTCTGAACACAATCAAATGTGCTGGCAAATTGCTTTATTAGGAGCAGAAGCCAAGAACCCCAGGAAAAAAGAAGAAGAAGAAGTGTAATCGTGTTTTTCTATTTCATTCACAAACTTATATTTGGTGCTTCAAAAATTCCATCAGGTTATGGGCCCAGAAACTAAATTGTGTGTGTTTGTGGAAGATGGCTTCGAACTGGGGAAGTAATTTCGCCGTGGAAAAGTTTGGAATATTTCAGTTTGAGGATAAGGAATATGACCATTGAAAACTTCGAGTTGAAACTCTCACAATGGAGTTAAAACTTGTGTGGAACCAGCCTTAAATCAAAATTCACAAGACGAAGTAAAGCTAGACAAGAAAAAAAAGTTATGACCTTTCAAAGTTTTCCAAAATCCAAATCATAAGAGTTATTAAGTTGAAATCAATCTGTGAAATGAAACTTTTAGAGTCCACTCATTTTACGTTGAACGCCAATAATTTTACTCCGTCTACAGTACCCGAACCAAGGTTGCTTGAGAGAGGTGAAGTTGCCTGATAACTTTTATGACGTCATCTGGGGTGCCTCAGCTTGATGCAAATCCCCAGTTAACGTTATCTAGTTACCTATTACCAGACAACCAATCAACTTTAAGAATCTTGACCCGAACCAATAAAGTAGATACTCTAACTGTTCCGATATGGCTTTTCAGTATAGATAGAGTAGTTAGGGTAACTGAAACACACTTGCAGGTGTAAATAATCTTACTCTACTTACTCTGAAAACAATAAGTAAAGTATAAAAAAGTCAAATAGAGTTTAATTGAGGGCCATTCACTCTAACTGTTCGATAATCTTTTTTTTAGCGTAATTATACGGAGTAGAGCAATAAGAACTCACTCTTAAAGCTTCACCATGAAATCTGAAAGTTTTGGAGTCTACTCCTTCTACTCTTTTTTTGTTAACCGAGTGCGGATAAGCTTACTCGACTCTCTCCGAACACAATATCCAAATCAACGGATTATAAAATAGTTAAAAAAGAGTACAATTTTGGGTACCTGTCAAATTTACCATAATTTGAGTGAAAAGAGTCTTCACCTTAGAACAAAACTAGGAGCGTCTAGAGTTGTGTTTGGCTTTCTCACTTTAAATACTCCGTATGCAATAACACACTGTTCGATTATGGCTTTTTAGAGTAAATAGAGTAACTAAATGGATGTTCGTTTATACGGAGTGGAGTAAATAAATCTTACTCAGGCACTAAACCGGAATAGCTTATCCAAAACACGTGACTTTGACAAACAAACAAAGGGTTGTGTGCCTCTTGGCGGACATTTTAATTTAAGATTGACAACATCTTGGATAGTCCAATAATCTTATTTCATTTACTCCCCTTGTGGCCGTTTCCACCAACTAATTTAGGGAAGCCTTAAACGATAACTATTCCTTAAACTGACATTTCTCAATGGAAAACTGTCAATTTAAGGTCTACTTATCGTTAAGGCTTCCCTAAAATAGTTGGTGAAAACGGCCATTACACAAACCAATAAAGTACCTACTCCTACTGTTCGAAAATGACTTTTTAGTGTAAATAGAGTAGTTTGAATAATTAAAAAACACAATAATTTCATTCTATTTACTCTGAAAACAATTGGTGAGTCAAACACAGTACAATTTAAGGCTCTCCAGAGTACTGCGTATTCACTCTAATGATTTTTTTTTAACATAAATATAAAGTAATTAGAACTCACTTTAAAGGTTCCACCACGTGATCTGAAGCATCTAGAGTCTACTCCTGTCAGTCTTTTTTTGTAACCCTAGTTTAAATAATCTCTACTCACTCCGAACATAATATCCGAATCAGTAGATTATAGAATAGTTAAAAAAAAGTGCAATTTACTCCGTAAGTACTCCAATTCGAATAAAAAGATTCTTCAGAACAGAACTAAAAGCGTCTGGAATTGTGTTCGGCTTTTTTACTTCAAGTACTCTGTAGGTTCCGACTATTCGATTATGGCCATTTAGAGTAAATAGAGTAGCTAAATGCATGTTCGATAACACAGAGTGGAGTTGATAAATCTTACTCCATAAGTTCCAGCTCAAAAATAAAGATTTTCAATGTAAAAGTTGCCTTATTTATTGTTCTAGAGCAAATGTTCTGGAGCAATAAAATTGAAATTTAATAAAATTTGGGCTTGCTTTTTCCACTCCACTGAATGTTAATAGTTTTACTCCGTTTTCTTCAAAACAGTACCCGAACCAATAAAATAGCTACTCCAAATGGCTTTTTAGTGTCAATAGAGTAGTACAGTAACCAAAACTTAGTCCATAATTTTTACAAATATTAAGAGTATCTGTCAAATATGGATTTTTGAAAATTGGAGCAGAATTATTATAATCTTGGAGTGTACCATTTTCTTTATACTCGAACACTAATAATTTTACTCCGAACACGAATAGTCAAAAAGAGTACAATTTTGAACGACTTTGACCCTCTAAAGTACTCCATATTCGATTTATTTGATTATTCTTTGTTAAGCCCAGTACTCATAACTGCGAAATATTCCAACTTACCTTAATCTCGAAGGTAAAGGTGCGGCGGGCGCAGGCGCAACAGTCGCAGGCGTCGCCCAAGGCTTAGCCAAGGGCGCCTGCGCGATCGTAGACGACTGCACTGCCAGACTAGAAGACACTACGGTGGATGGGGGCTGTGGGTGACTCTGAACGGGAGTCGTGGTCCGATTGGTGTTGCTACTGCTGCGGCTCAGCGACATCACACTACTTTTTTAGAAAACCATTACTCAACATAATCTACAAACCAACTAGAATCGTACCTGTAGCTTTCCCGTTCGCGTACCACAGCTTCGGGAGCTCTAGGGCTCAACGCCACTTTTGGAGGTGTTGTCGATCGTTTTTCGGGTGGTGTTGGTGGAGGTACCATCGTAGCTGGCTGAGTTACTGCAGGAGGTACCACAGAAGGTGGAGTAGCGTATGGTACGGAGTTGGGATACGCGGGAGTCGAAGGGTAAGCGTAAGGAGTGTAGAGAGGTTGATAGGAATGATGATATTGGCCAGGACTAGGTGCCACTGCGGCATTGGCCGAAGTGGCGACAGCGGGACTATCAATGCGTCCGACTGCCACAGTAGGATCCAATGAGGTTGCATGATGGTGGTGGTGATGGGGTGCCGCTGGTGCCGCAGCTGGAGGCGGCACGAGAGCGGTGGCCGGGGGCATTGAAGCCACCAGTGGCGGGGGCGGTTGAGGTGCCACAGCCGCTGGAGGTGCGCACGACATTGGAGCTGGTGGAGTGAAGTCTGAAATATTAATTTGTATAATAATAAAACCCACACAAGCTTGTTAATGAGGTTTTTCAATATGGGCGCAGCCACTTATATTGATTTATTGACTCAATAAAACGCTATTATGTTATTCATTGCTTTCTATTGTCATGTGCCCGTAATAAATCAAGGCGTTTATTGAATGGACATGAGATTAGATATATGAGAAAATTGTTTTGCTTTGGTATTGAACGAATGCTTCAAAGAAAAACTGCAAGGTAATAACAATTTACAAACAAGCCAATCGGCACATAAACAATGGACCGATAAATCGGCCGGAGAAAAAAATCGAAACCGAAGACCTTCTAAAATGGCGCTTAACGGCCAATAACGACGGATTGTAAAAACCGTTTTACTGACTTATCTTTAATTTAGAACCCGATAAAGTTGCTTCATAATAATATAAATGCCGATAAAGTAAGCTTTTATAGTCTAGTGGTGGAAAAAGGATAATAATAAAAATTTGTTGTTAACTATAGGCTATTACTGTTTTATGGAAATATTGCGAGTACAAGCCTGTATTGTAGTAGGCCAGGGTGCTATTTGTGATAAAATCGCTCTAGGAATTTGTATGGGGGGCAAAGTGTCACAAGCTCAATTGTTAAACTAATATTTTTGAGATTCTATTCAAAATTAGACCATGCAAAAGCGTACCTACTATTTCAAAAAAACGACATAGGTCTTGGTATAGTATTTACAAAGTCAGTTAAAACAAGGTAAAGGTAATTTGCAACTGGTGGCTGACTAGTGGCAGTAGGTACCTTTACCTTGTGTCAACTGACTTTGTAAATACTATATCATTGTATAGAACGTAATGAGTAAAGTTATGTTGTATGAATAACAATACCAGAAGTGTGTCACTTTTGTACTTTTATCAATTTATCATAATGAATATACAATTTAATATTGGAGTCATGTTTGCAACGTCCTGTATATCCTCGACTTAAAATCTTCGCTCGCAGGGTACTTATTCTTGAAACAGGGGAGCAGCTTTCCCAGGAAAACGAGTGTTCCGTCTTTGTTACTTATATTATCAGTTGCATATCATTGAGAAAGACGGAACACTCGTTCTCCTGAGAACGCTACTCCCCTATTTCAAGAATAAGTACCCAGGGCGTTTGAAACAGTGTACAACGTCCTCCATCTCTTCCTATTTCCTATTTTATTTCTGTTCCTTTCTAACCCATTGAATTTTGTATGCCATTTCTCTCTATTCCAGACACGTTGGCAAGATACAAGACCACTCAAGCGCCGGGAATAATCAAAATTCATGTCACTTTTTTTATCCTACTTTATATTTGTCTCTTTCTCAACCATTGAATTCTTTATACGTTTGTCTCTTACTCTCTTATACCCAAGCTATTTATTTGTCAATTGTCATACACACAAGCACAAACTTAAATAGAATACAATGGCCTCCATTTTCTCCACTTAAATAAAAGTTGCTCAACCAGAAAAAGGGTTTATTGGGCTACTATACTATATAGGGCCACCCTGTATAGTATTAAAATGTTTCAATGAGGTAATACATAGAATTAAAAATTTGCACAGGAAATAACTGGTTGCCCCCTATACAAATCCGAGTATCGCGTGATTGGCCCATAAAAACGTCGACTTGTACCCTTTTTTTTTTCATTATAGTAACGAGGCAAATATAAACATGAATTATTTATCCGCATAATAATTAAAACGTTGAAAACATGTAATTAAGATATCGAAAGTAATGGCGGCTATTTATAAAATGCCGCCGCACATGTTCCATAGTCGATTCTTTTTCTATATATACATAATACAACAGCTTTTGCAATTTCACGTTTATGTTATACCTAATTATTAGTATTTAATGGAGGTTTCTTTGAAACGATTAGATACGCTTAAGATTCTCTCCAATATGGTGTTTTAGCATAGTAACAACCACCAATTTAAACAGACACTAAAAAATTCTGACGTCACTTATGGTTATGTGAGATAATCATCAATAGATGGAGCCCTTAGAGCAGGTAAAGCGATGTCCTACGGACATAAGGAGTAGGGACGCGCTATTCTGCTTATGAAACTAAAGTGAAGCCAAATTTTTGGCAGGTGTTTGGCACCAAAATACAGGTAAAGCATTGAATTGCTTATACCGCCATTTTTTTGGTGCCAAAATATCTGAAAAAAAAACGGCTTCATTTTCCAACTCCATGTTACTACTCCTCTTTACCTTTACCTGCTCCAAGATGGAGCCACTGAAAGCTGGTGTTCAATGCAACATGCAACTCTGTCATTTTTTGTTAAATCTCGACTCATTAGGTTTGTTTGTTTGAATCGCACTAACTTGAACTGAGCTGTAATATTTCAGATTATGGCAGATAATAGCCAAAATAACGATCGTCACTTCATTACCATAACACAAACGAACGCCCTGAAGCAAAAAGTGCTGCTCCGAACAACACAAAAAAAACAAACCTAATGTGAATGACACTAGTAGAACAGATGTCAAATACTATAGCAACTATAGTGAACCTAATTAAAAGACACAGCACTATTGTGTAATTCTGCGCCATCTTGTAGTATTGTGTAAAACTTCCAATAAGTGACATCACACTCCCTAACAACAGATTCCAACTCACCTTGTCCGGTAACAGGTGGTACTTTAGTACCCAATTCCGATTTTATAGAGGCGCCCTCGACGACGGCAGGAGCGACCGCCGCCGATGGTATCGCCTGCATCGGATGTTGAGGCGGTTGATGAGCGGGCGCCGGCGACGGCACCGGCATAATCGGAGGCGTCGGCGCCGGCAACGGACTGCTGCCGGGTCCATGGGGTAGTCCCTGGGGCAAACTGGGAGGCAGCGCGCCAGGAAACTCGTGCTTCCGCACCGACGGCGCCGAAGGGAAGATCACCGAGCTTGCATCGGAGCCCTGAAAACAATAAAAATACACTATAGTAAGTTAAAAAGTTAAGTGATCAGTATGGCAATAGTTACAGCAAAAAATTCGCATTTATCGGCGGCAAAGCCGCTCGTCATAGATTTAAACGACTTTCGATCGCAAAAAACGATGCCATCTCGTCGCCGACAAACGAACATCGACACAACCTAAACTAGTTAATTATCCCCGTACCGCCATGCCGTTTCTCCTTTTCAGCTACGATAATTACATAATAAACCTACGGTATATGGCCGCGGCATACCTTCTACGAGAAGAATGCCAGTTATGGTTAATTGTTAATTGTGTCCGCGGCAAAAAGCCAGAATACGTCGACCGGGGGCCCACCTAAGAGGCTTCTGCATAAACTGATCCACAACGTTGTTGGATCGCTAGGAACTTTGATAATTAAGGGCCCCCCATCATTGTTGTCAGAAGTAGGTACAATATTTGTATTGTTATGAATCTCTTTAAGTTAGGTGATTTGGGCGCAATCTTACAACAGTGTATGGTGGATTAGAAATAGTCCAGACATTTCTAGAAGCAAGAATACGCTATAAAACGGAATCGGCCATTGAGGGTCAAGAATGCTTTGCTTTCACTCATCAATTTAAAGAACTTTTTCTCAAACCATTCATTTTTGAACTCTTGACATCGAGTGGCTTTCTCTAAATTATAGAGTGGAAATAAACTAATGTGAAGTTATCAGACAAAAGTTATCAGAAAATTTTCCGGAAACAGCCGAAGGTTCAGTGGCGTCGGTTTTACCTTTATATGTAACATCGGCTTATTAGGTGCTCCCTAAGGATATCACATGAAAATTCTCAATATTTTCTTATTATTAGTAGGTACAAATCTACGGTCTTTGAAATTGTTAAGGGTGAAATATGTTTTTTTACTTTTCTCAAAAACTGCCCGTACTGACAGGTTCAAATTATTACTAGACATTATTTACTTAGATCCCCAAGAACATTAAAAAAAATATACCACACCCCTGCGCCTCTACGGTCTTTGAAATTTTTAAGTAACCGTATTTCACCCTTAAAAATTTCAAAGACCGTAGGGGCGCAGGGGTATGGTATTTTTTTTTTTATTGTTCTTTGTGGTCTAAATAATGTCTAGTAATAATTTGAACCTGTCGGTACGGGCAGTTTTTGAGAAAAGTTGGAAAACATATTTCACCCTTAAAAATTTCAAAGACCGTAGGGGCGCAGGGGTGTGGTATATTTTTTTTATTGTTTCTTTGTGGTCTAAATAATGTCTAGTAATAATTTGAACCTGTCAGTACGGGCAGTTTTTGAGAAAAGTAAAAAAACATATTTCACAAATACAAAGACATTCATTGAGAAAACTGGAAAAACAACACAATTTGTTCTTATTAATTTCCAACAAACTGAAGTGAAAAACCTTTAGAAACTTTTCTCATAGGTCTGTTATTTATTTCCTTTTTTTCTCCCCCCATCTTATGCCAGGCCCACTCTCTCTCTCTCTCTCCCGTCCCGTCGTCATCGCAAAAACAGAAAACTGAGATTAAACTTGTCTTAATAAAAGAGAGCTTAAATAATTCAAAGTTCTATCTCCGGATGCCCGGGCCTCGGAGAAACTTTCGCCGCGAAACTTATTTGAATCGAATTAAAACCGCCGGCGCTCTTGTATTTAATTTCCTCCTCTCGGCTAAGACCGAAAAGTTCGTAATCAGATCTTAAAGTTCCTTGTCTTTTTGTTTATAGGAAAGAAGCAGAAAAGGGAAGTTTTTCTTGCAGCAACAAAATACCAACTTTTTCAAAATTATTCACAACTCTCAGTTGATTCTAGATGATATTATTAAGGATAACTTTAATAAAGTTTACTAATTTCTTTAAGCCAGAACTCCCTGTTCTTTTGATCCTAATAATTTGTTGGTTTAAACAGGCTAATCGTTGAGAACGCAGACAATCGATCTAATCTAGGAAGCCCCGGAACAATGTTTATCAGCTCAGTGCCAATATGGGATCGGCTGGCCGGAAAATTAAGTGCCCGACTCGACCAGAACTTTTAATTGGTTTTCCAGAGAGAAACGGGAAACGCGGAAAAGGCATTTTTGCCTGCAAATAACTTCGCTAAAAGCGCATTATTTCGTCTCTTTTTTTTGGGTATTCGAAGGCGCAGTAATTGGAAATTTCTGTGATCCTTTTGTCGAAAATCGTTGATTTGATTTGAGTGGTACTTTTTGCATATTGTAATGTGTTCCTCTATTATTTGAAATTTAATTCTATTCGGGATATAAATAGTGAACTGATTTTTAAGTGCCCCCTATAAATGAGCGGCCCAACTAAAAGGTGTCGCCATCTATTAGAGAGATATATAAGCCTGGACGTTGTTAGAATCAAATCAGGTATAAGAACACTGCAAAAAGACGAGACAGATTCTGGAAAGCATAAAGAATAAATACATGGATACATGGAACGAATTTACCATTATGGAAATAACCAAGGTTCCTAAAGTTAATAGGTTGCCTGGTAATTGGTAAGGAATGGTAGAGTTACTCCTATTCATAACCAGACCAGTTACCGTTTTACCAGTGCTCTCAAAAATATTTGAAAAAATACTACATAGGTATAAACAAATTTTCAATCAAGTCAAACATGTTATTCTGCCTCAACAACATGGGTTCCACAAAGGCAAATCAACAACAACCAATCTTAGTGTGTTTAGGGAATTTTTGGCTGAACATGTAAGCAGTGGCCTACAAAGTTATTGTGTGCACGGACCAAGTGAAGGCATTTGACATTTGAAGTCCTTATAGGAAACCTAAGCAATTCTCATTTAGTGATAATCTGATTAATTATTTGGTCTCATGCCTCAAACTGTCAAATTTGAAAAAGCTAACTGTCAGAGCTATGTAGCCATGTCTGGGATACTTCAGGAATCCGTTCTAGGACCGCTGCTCTTTGTGTTGTATGTAAATGACATACAGGGTGTTAATTTGAAAACTTCCCACCCCTATTATCTCGGAATAGAAAAATTTTTGAAAAAATCCCTGAAACACGTCAACTATAATTTCAGGGGGGATGAGTTTTTATGCAAAATTCACCTCTCCCCTTTCAACCCCCCAGCTCCCAGAGCCACCCGCTAGAAAATTTTAAATGGGAAGCGGGGTCGAGTGATACATCATTTTGGAGGGTTTTTGATTCCAAACATATTGGTAAAAAATTTTAATCCCTAAGTTCAACTGTTTTGGAAATATTGACAGTTGAAAATTGACTTTTATGCAACTTTGACAGGCTGTAAAACCTAAACGGTTAATTTTAGAGGAAAACCGATCTCACATTTTTGTCTTGGATTTTTATAAACTATCATTCGACAATTTTGACATCAACTTCGCATTTAGTCCGAAAATAAATTCAAAAATGGTGTCAAATGATAGTTTATGAAATTCTAAGACAAGAATGTAAAATCGGTTTTCCTCTAAAATTAACCGTTTAAGTTTTACAGCCTGTCAAAGTTGCAAAAAAGTCAATTTTCAACTGTCAATATTTCCAAAACAGTTGAACTTAGGTATTAAAATTTTGTACCAATATGTTTGGAATCAAAATCAAAAAATCAAAAAAAAATTTAAGCTATATAAATACACAAAATAAAATAATATAATAAAAGCTAAAAATGTAAATAAAAATAATTTTAAATGATTTTTTGAAAATCTCCAAAATGATGTATAACTCGACTCCACTTCCCATTTAAAATTTTCTAGGGGGTGGCTCTGGGGGCTGGGGGGTTGAAAGGGTAGAGGTGAATTTTGCATAAAAACTCATCCCCCTTCAAATTAAAATTGACGTGTTTCAGGTATTTTTTCGAAAATTTTTCTACTCCGAGATAATAGGGGTGGGAAGTTTCCAAATTGACACCCTGTATCTAATTATGTAGCTCAAAGTTCTTACTAATAGAAAAAAAGTTATAACCTTTCAAAGTTTTCCAAAATCTAAATCATAAGATAGGTACCTTCTTACTAAAACGATGAAATTTCATTTTTTTTTTTGTCGAAATTTTGTATCCTAATGGTCAAATCACCCCAAATTGCTTAACACGATTTTATCTCAGCAGGAACTATAAGTGAAAATGAGCTGAAATTTTCAGGAATTGTAGTCCCTTGATTGGGATAAAATTCAGTGAAAGTTTCAGCTTTCTATCTATAATAGAAAAAAGTTATGACCTTTAAAAGTTTGCCAAAATCTAAATCATAAGATAGGTACCTTCTTACTAAAACGATGAAATTTCAAATTTTTTTTTTTGTCAAGATTTTGTATCCTAATGGTCAAACAACATCCTCCAAACTCCATACCCTAAATTATTCTCAGATTTGAAGCTAAGATCTATAAAAAAACGCACTTAGAAAAATTGAAAACTTGATAAATTACCCCAAATTGCTTAACACGATTTTATCTCAGGCACTATAAGTGCAAATGAACTGAAAGTTTCAGGGATTGTAGTCCCTTAATTGGGATAAAATTCAGTGAAAGTTTCAGCTTTTTATCTACGCAGATGATCTAAAGATCTTCGAAATTATTGAAAACGAAAGTGATGCAATACTTCTACAAAGGGATGTAGATAAAATCCTATCTTTCTGTGAAGATAATAGGCTGTCACTAAATATTAGTAAATGTAAATATATCAGCTTCTATCGTAGTCAAAATCCTAATTTAAATAACTATGGAATTTGTGATGTCAAACTAGATCGAGTTCAAGAAATTCTGGATTTGAGTACATAGGTATATCATTCTGAAAAAATCTATCTTTTGCTCATCATATCGAGAAACTTCATGTTGATGTTACGAGGATGCTGGGATCTGTGATGAGAACCAATTTGTTAAGCTATAAATTTCAGGTAATTTTTGGTACCGGGTCTTGTATTGCTGTAATAAATCCTTCTGTTTCTGCTCTAAGGCAGCCTTCCTGCAGGTACTGAATGGAGAGGTGAGTGTCAGCTTCAGGTCCAAATAGATTAGTGTAGCACTTTT